GTACTTTTCACCTGCTGCGGGCGGAAGGCAGCCCAGAAGTTAAAGTGTTCACTCGTCACGCCAAAAGCAGGTTCCCCTTCCCTGATAATACTGTGATATTGCTGAAAGGGGCGTTAAACCGTACTCACTCACTCAGACGGATGAATATATGTTTGACTGATACAACTATACACTGATACAAATAATAAACGTTATAGGTTATTGAATCACAATATCCTCGCCACCCAGATAAAACACTTCAATACTCGACATCCTCATGGCCTTTCTGTCAAAACAGCTATCTGTGATTAATATACAAAATATGCCATGTGAACTGAATTCGAGGAATTACTTCAAATATAACTAAATAAATGAATGCGTAAACTATACATAATCAGTGTTTGTTTGTGTGCAGATAGTATTTGTCTCTGAAAGGCAATCAAACGGATATACGATCGAAAGTGACACGTGCTTATCATCACTGTTTTTCAGTGGTCCATTCATATAATTTCCACAGCTATTTGTACTTTACGCCAAGTGGAATCTGTTTTCGCAGAAACTCTAGGCTGGTTATCCTCTTGCATTGACAATTCATATTTACAATGAGAAAGTTCACGGCAAGGACCAACGTGCAGACAGTATTTAGGTAATCCTTGAAAAGATCTTGTCACGTACCTCCTTACTGGCGTATTCAAAATTACAAAAGCAGGTTGAACGTTTGAAGATCGTGTCAGCATTTAAGGACCAACCATTTTATATTCTGAGGGTGGGGAATGAGGGTGATGACTTGGGACTATGAGATTTTGGGGGGGACAAATTATTTTTTTCAGGCAGCGCTTTAAGAAACTACATTTTTCTCTGAAAAAAGGAGCAATTTTTGACACCTGCAATCCATTATTTTGGGATCAACTATTTTTCCTAAAATATATGAAATGGTCGGCCCCTTAAATCCATATAATCGGTCCATTTGATGGAGAAGTTATATACCTATATACTTTTACCGAAAGTACTACTTTACCGTATATCACAGTTGGTCGCTGAACGTTAAATAGAAACAAGGAGAAATTATGTTCATTTATATATAAACTTTATTCATTGTTAAGATATAAATGCCCAAATATCACATATATATTAATCTTGCTTTATGTTGTTTTTTCTCGATTCGCCTTTTAATACTCCTCGCCCTCTTCCTCGCCTTCTCCCTCGACGGAGTCAACTCCGACCTCCTCGTAGTCCTTCTCCAGAGCTGCCAAGTCCTCACGGGCCTCGGAAAACTCGCCCTCCTCCATACCCTCACCAACGTACCAGTGGACGAAGGCACGCTTGGCGTACATCAGATCGAACTTATGGTCAAGACGAGCCCATGCCTCAGCAATGGCAGTGGTGTTGCTCAACATGCACACAGCTCTCTGGACCTTGGCCAAGTCACCGCCGGGAACAACAGTCGGTGGCTGATAGTTGATTCCGACCTTGAAACCAGTGGGACACCAGTCGACAAACTGGATGGTTCTCTTGGTTTTGATGGTAGCGATGGCAGCGTTGACATCCTTAGGGACGACGTCACCACGGTACAGCATGCAGCATGCCATGTACTTGCCGTGACGGGGATCACACTTGACCATCTGGTTGGCGGGCTCGAAAGTGGCGTTGGTGATTTCAGCCACTGTAAGCTGCTCGTGGTAGGCCTTCTCTGCAGAGATGACAGGGGCGTAGGTAGCCAGAGGGAAGTGGATACGTGGGTAGGGCACCAAATTGGTCTGGAACTCTGTCAGGTCAACGTTCAGGGCACCGTCAAAGCGGAGAGACGCAGTGATGGAGCTGACGATCTGACCAATCAGACGGTTCAAGTTGGTGTAAGTTGGACGCTCGATGTCGAGGTTACGACGGCATATGTCGTAGATGGCCTCGTTGTCGACCATGAAGGCGCAGTCCGAGTGCTCCAGAGTGGTATGGGTTGTCAGGATGGAGTTGTAAGGCTCGACCACAGCAGTGGAAATCTGAGGAGCAGGGTAGACGGCGAACTCCAGCTTGGACTTCTTTCCGTAGTCAACACTCAGACGCTCCATCAACAGAGAGGTGAAACCAGAGCCAGTGCCACCACCAAAGCTGTGGAAGATGAGGAAGCCCTGGAGTCCAGTGCATTGGTCAGCCAGTTTGCGGATGCGGTCAAGGACGAGGTCAACGATCTCCTTGCCAATGGTGTAGTGACCACGTGCATAGTTGTTGGCGGCGTCCTCCTTACCGGTGATCAGCTGTTCTGGGTGGAACAGCTGGCGGTAAGTACCGGTACGAACCTCATCTGAAAGAAACAAGCATGAAGATTTTGTCCTTTCACAATTTATAATTTAGTTTGCTATCTGCTTATATGACAAAGGCGGCAGTTTTGCCCAAAGCACTAAACATGAAAATTAAATAAAGCAGTGTAATAATATATATTATTTCATTGCTTTGACTAAATTTTCATGTTCAGTGCTTTTGGCAAGAAACTAATAATGACACAAAACGAATGAAAACAATTTGTGTCGTGTGATTATTTGGTGAATTTCTGTATATATGTGCTACAGTGTACTTGGGAATCTCATACTTTATTTATAGATATAGATATAGATAACGATATAGATTTAGATTTAGATTTGATATAGATGATATAGATGTAGATAAAGATATTAGATATTAAATACAGATTAAATATATAGAGATTAAATATATATAGCTACATAGAGATATACATGGCAAATATATAACCTCACCAATAACAGTTGGTTCGAGATCAACGAAGACAGCCCTGGGGACGTGTTTCCCTGCTCCAGTCTCGCTGAAGAAGGTGTTGAAGGAATCGTCACCACCCCCGATGGTCTTGTCAGAGGGCATCTGACCATCAGGCTGGATACCGTGCTCTAAACAGTACAACTCCCAGCAGGCATTGCCCATCTGGACACCGGCTTGACCAACATGGATGGAGATGCATTCCCTCTACAGACCAAAATATATACTCATGAGTATGTTTTATATAACGCCTATTTACATTTGATGTTCTAGTTTTCAAGATCCACCTTAGCTTGTTTAACTTACCATTACAGGTTGATAAAACAATTGAAAGCATTTCAAATATGCAGGGACTGCAGATCAAATTCGCTTTTTCTGTTTTGATTAAATTCTATGTCACGTTCTTATGAGAAAATACTATACAGTTTGATAAAGCATTTGTATTTCAAAGTATCATCACCAGGTGACCTTTTACTGGATATAAAATATTAACGCCAGAGAATAAAAGTATTGACTATCTGCCGAAAGAGATGCCATTCGGCGTAAAATGCAAAACAGAGGTCAAAAGTATATGACTGGTCACTGAAATTTAGTGTAGAAGCCAGGTTTCGCGAAATGTATAATCATGTCCTGTCCTACCTGAGATATGTGATCCATACATCATACATAAACTCGAATTTGGTGTCACCATGGCAAATATCATCAGATTGTACCTTTCCAAAAGTGGTGCACACCATGGTGCTCTTGTTTGTAATGGCTAAAAAATACGACTCTTAAACTTCGTATCTAAATGGCTTTTTTCACTTTTCTCTCAAGAGATAAACTCACATGTTTGACATTTAGCCAAAAAAAACACGTATTAATCTGTGTAAAGCACTAAAATGTCACACGCGTTAGTCCATACCCCACATTTCAAAATATCAAATTCCTAGAAATGACCCTTGTAACGGTCAAGAATGTATTCAGATTTTATCATCATAGTATACCATACATTTACCTATTAAAATTTGAAAATTTCAACTCACCATCGTGCTTTAGTTGTTGATGACGCTGTACTCACTAGGACGGTTACGAGTCAAGGGAGACAAGACAGGATGAGAGTTTGACGGAACACGGGGTTTTATTGCGAAAAGAACGCGTTGCTAATCATGTGACAACAACCTCTAGCGACGACTGGTCACGTCTGGGGTTACCAATGACGCTACTATGATACACATCATAAACTCATAACTTATAACCTTTCGAAAGTGTTTCATTGAAATGAATGTTTATAGCTCTTATACCAAATACGCCCGAAGAATACATACACAGGACCATGACACAACCCTTATAATGCTCTGGCGTGAGATCTAAGGCGTATTATTATAGGCTATACACACCGGCGAACTCATTACCATTTTATGAAATATTTACAATAGAGGGGGCGCTAGGGTCGTATGGAGGTTATACCATATAACGGCTGTTATATTGGGGAACTGTATAACTCACAATCATGATTGATGTATGTCATGTAGTGATATTAATTAAACAGTTTGACTATGGAATAAACGATGTGTGTGTTGGAAATATATTTTAGACATTGCATAAGTTTCCAATGACATGAAGAAGACTGTGTACAGAATGTATATCATCATCTCTGGTTATTATACCCACCTTATGAACTTGGAAATGATATTTATTTATTTTAAATTGTATCCCGTGTCTGTGGAAATTGTTAACTTTTAGAATGATCCATCGGAGTCCATTGGAGTGTGGCCATAACAGGTACAGCGTCAACTTAGTGTGAAACAATTTTCATGAAAGTTTATATCTCATTTGATCTGTTCATCGTTCGATAAAACCGAATTCGACAAACTGGTCATATAACCAAAGTAGACACAATGTATGCCTATCAAACAAGTCATATAACCACATGCTGGATCTCGGAGTAAATTATTGTATTTTGGTTACAACAAATAGGTTTGAGAAATAGAAGTATTATATGAGCATTTCCGTGAATAACCATCTCAGAAGTAATTTACATTTTCAGTAAAATACACAACGTCAAAATGTCCGCCACGATAAACGCGACAGGATGTTTACGAATACGATATTTAATCATTTATCATATAGTGCCATGTTTGTCGACGGAATCGCCCAAACATTTGAAAACTAGACTGTGAAGGGAACGTCAGCCAATAGCTTATTTCACCGATCTCGAAAGACGTTCGCTGCGATGTTACCTCAAGTAATAGTGATGCCTTTTTTTGGATTGGTTTATCTTACCCATTACACTATCTGTTATATGATTAAGGTAATATATTACAAAAGAGAAATAAATGTTAATTCAATTATCTCTGCCGAAAGATGGTGACATTTTGTCGATGGCATTGCGTTTATGTCTTTCGTGGTTTTTACGCATCATGAACAAAATTATGTCAGATGACATTCCCTAGTTTGACCATTTGTTCGCGAGTTTTTTTAGTAAACACTTGACTTGCTTTTGCATGTGTTTGTGACGAATGCCACCGATGGGGCATACACACTCACTTTTTGGTCATGATATAGTTGGAACCGTACAACACTTTCAATAATCATAAGAAATCTCAACTTGAAGCAGAATCTATTGTTCGATTCCGACTATATGATAGGCAAGTGCTTCTGAAAGCCTCAGGGTCCCCTTGCTGTTTAATAATTACATACACAAGCTCAAAAACGATTAGCACCACCCTTCCTTTATTTTCATATATCCCTAATTGGCAAAATCTACATATTTTCTCATCTAATCTTGATAAATGTCTAAGATCACAAGTTCTACGTCATATCATATGATGCAAACAGGCAGATGAAGCAAGTTAAAAGGTCGTTAAATTCTATTGCCATGGAACTGTTACAATACATGTCATTATATTATAGATTTTTATTTCTATATTTCAATATGAGTATGTCAATAAGTAAACAAAACAAAATAGCTTTAAATGGCTACATTAGTGCTTAATTACTTCCAAGTGTATATTTCACGTGAACACTTTTTGTATCCACTGTACAGTGAATATAATGATAAACCAGTTGCTACCTGTAAATCTCAACTGCATTTTTTAACTTGACATCATTGTAATTTCTCATATATAATGCTTGTCACAATGAAAGCTATACTTTAAATGTATTCTAATACTCGTCATCTAACTCTTCCTGTGTTGTCTGTTGGGTGTCGATTCCGATTTCTTCGTAGTCCTTCTCCAGGGCAGCTAAATCAGAACGGGCGTCCGACAACTCAGACTCCTCCAGACCTTCTCCCACATACCAGTGCACGAAGGCACGTTTGGCAAACATGAGGTCAAACTTGTGGTCAAGACGAGCCCAGGCTTCAGCGATGGCAGTGGTGTTGCTCAACATGCACACAGCTTTCTCAACCTTGGCCAGATCGCCACCGGGAACAGCAGTTGGTGGTTGGTAGTTAATACCGACCTTGAAACCAGTGGGACACCAGTCCACGAACTGGATGGTTTTCTTGGTCTTGATAGCAGCGATGGCAGCGTTGACGTCTTTCGGGACAACATCACCGCGAAACAGCATGCAGCAGCTCATATACAAAGCCTTTGTGGGATTACATTTAACCATCTGGTTGGCGGGCTCGAACGCGGCGTTGGTGATTTCAGCAACTGTCAGCTGTTCATGGTGTACCCTCTCAGCAGACACAACAGGGGCGTAGGTAGCCAGGGGGAAGTGGATACGTGGGTAGGGCACCAAGTTGGTCTGGAACTCTGTCAGATCCACGTTCAGGGCACCTTCGAAGCGTAATGAGGCTGTGATGGAGCTGATTATTTGACCAATCAGACGGTTCAAGTTGGTGTAGGAGGGACGATCGACGTCCAGGTTTCGGCGACAGATATCATAGATGGCCTCGTTGTCGACCATGAAGGCGCAATCCGAGTGCTCCAGGGTGGTGTGAGTGGTCAGGATGGAGTTGTAAGGTTCCACCATTGCAGTGGAGATGTTTGGAGCCGGGTACACAGAAAACTGTAGTTTAGACTTCTTACCATAGTTGCTACTGAGGCGCTCCATCAGCAGAGCCGTGAAGCCAGAACCAGTTCCACCACCGAAGCTGTGGAAGACGAGGAAACCCTGGAGACCATTGCAGTGTTCAGCGAGATTCCGGATGCGGTCAAGAACAGGGTCGATTATTTCTTTCCCTGTCGAGTTGTACCCTCGTGCATAGTTGTTGGCTGCATCTTCTTTGCCTGAGATCAAGTTCTCTGGGTGGAACAGTTTACTGTACGTGCCGGTACGGACCTCATCTGTCGAGAACAATTTAATTGGTTAAAATGCTATAGAAATCTGAAGATAATAATTTTACGAACATGTGATTTCACATACTGCGACCTTCAAAACTTGAACCACTGTTGTTAGAGTTACTTCCCCTTTGTTTCCGAATTGTCTACCATAAAATTGGCCTCGGTGAGTCAGTAGTTTCTGACATCAGATACAAAATACATAATAAATATAGTCGACTATTATTTCAAGTTGCAAGTTGCAAGTTATCACAACTCTCCAAATGAATATTCAAATCCTTTAGAATAATTTGAAAGCTTTTACGACATCAATATTTTGAACAAGACGAATATTTACACATGACATCAAATCCATATCAATATCCTCTGAGTTGCTAAAATTAATAAACTTTAATGTCGCTCAGTGGTGTATTTTACATAAACTGACGTCCAAAAGAATTTTACCAGAGTTTGAAATCCCTCTTGCTCAAAAACAACAAAAAATATATGCATGAAGTAAAGTGTATTGAGAAGATCAATATATCAACATAATCAACACTGAAAATGACAATCATACCGCGACCGAGAATGACGTCAGAGCCCCCCAAAGTTGGGTGTGATACAAAACTCGAGCTTTCAGAATCATGGACAATAGGCAGGGTACATAAACAATCGCTCACGTTCAATAACAAGTCATTAGTAGCGTGTGTGGCCACCAAATGCCTCAATACACGCCAAAATTCTTTGACGCACAGAAAAAGTCAGTCGTCTGATGAGGTCACGTGGGATTTGACGCCATTCTTCTTGGAGGGCCAAGATCAGTTCTTGCCGGTTGGCTGGAGAGTGTGGTCGTTGTCGAACACGACGATCCATCAAGTGCCAGAGGTGTTCTATGGGGGACATGTCGGGTGAGCGTGCAGGCCACGGCAGGGCGTTGACGTTGTTGGCTGCGAGGAAGTTAGTGACAATTCTGGCTGTATGGGCTCTAGCGTTGTCATGCCGATAAATGACACCACGTGGCTGCTGTTGGAGAAATGGTAGGACAACTGGACGAAGAATGTTATCCATGTAACGTTGAGCTGTCAAGTTTCCGTCAACGATGACCAGCGGTGTCCTCTCCTGCCCACAGATCCCTCCCCACACCATGACACTCCCCCCACCATATGGTACGACCTCCTGCACGCAACACGCCGCCGTTCGTTCACCCCTTCGGCGGTAAACACGTTGTCTTCCATCAGCCCTAAACATATAGAATCGACTTTCGTCAGTAAAGACAACCCTCTGCCAGTCACGTCGTTGCCAACGTCGTACAGTCCGGGCCCATCTCAGTCGCAGACGACGATGTTGCGCTGTCAACAGCTGTCCTCTGTATGGTCTAAAAGCCCTGATTCCATGAGCCCTGAGTCTCCTGGCCACTGTCTGTCGACTAACCCTGTGACCTAAGGCATTTGTCGCCGATGACGTCACTGTCAGGAAGCGATTTCGGGGGTGCAAGGTACGCAAGTACCGGTCATCATGGGGCGTGGTCACCCTGGGTCTGCCTGTTCTTGGCCTGTCAACGGGCCGCCCTGTCTGTCTGTAACGTTGTATCAAGTTGGTAACGGCAACACGGGAGCAACCGAAGGTTCGTGCAATATGGGCGTGGGTGGCTCCAGTCTGTACCATAGTACAAGGCTCGTTCACGTTGTTCGACTGTGAGTCGTGGCATTTCTTTTGTGTTTTTTTTATCACTGTGGATGTCTGACTTGCCGTTGCAATCGTTTTATACCCTTACCCGCACGTGCATTTGCAGTTGCCCGTGGTGCACGTGTTTTTCACTTTTACGCGTGTTATCTCGCAAACATGTAACAGACGATTAACATTTTCTGCATACACTATTGTTGTATTTAGGTAATGTGTTTTAGATAGACTTCATCGAAAAAAAAATTATACTTTGTCTGAAATTTATATTTTCAGTTGGTAAAGTTTCTTTTGGACGTCAGTTTATTTGCTTATTTCTGATTTATTATGCAAGCAGACATTTGTCTGCAACATTATTATGTGGTCTCTTACGATTTCAGCATATTTGACACAGAAACATATTTCCTTACCAACAACAGTTGGTTCAAGATCAGCGAGGACAGCCCTAGGAACAAGTTTCCCTTCGTCAGATTCCATGAAGAAGGTGTTGAAGGAATCGTCCGCGTCACCGATGGTCCTGTCAGAGGGCATCTGACCATCAGACTGGATACCGTGCTCCAAACAGTACAACTCCCAGCAGGCATTGCCCATCTGGACACCGGCTTGACCAACATGGATGGAGATGCATTCCCTCTGGGGAGATAATTTAACTTTTATCGAAAGTGCAAGGTTTAAAGAGCAGCAGTCTTAATATGTCCCGAGTAAATTCAGTTAATGTACTGTTCTCACTGTGCGAAGTTTATGAAAGTGTTAAAGGTAGGGAGCCACTGAATAGGTTGGACATGTGTCACGTGGGCTGCGCTCACGGTATGAGACAAGAAGCGAATTGAGGTCCTGGAGTTTGGCGTTAACACATGTATGCACAAACAAACAATTATCTAGTCACGATAGCTGGCCCGTATATGAACGCAAGTGGCTGTGTTTAGCGTCATCTAAGAAGTATGTAAGAACTTCTGATTAAAAATTAGTGTGGAGACCTAAATTGCTTATAAAAAATACACGAAAGAAATACCAAAATATCATTCCTTTGTAACTCAAATTGTGGACTAATACATTCTGAACTCATTTAGAGTAAGCATACTGAAAACAAGACTGAACATGTATTGCATTTGACAGCAACAATATTATTCCCACTATAGCTCACGACTAGAGAGGTGACAAATATCAAAACGAAGGAGCACCTCTAATTCCTTCATGCACTCTAGAGCACTAGTGGCGTTATGCAAATACCATTGTTTAAGTAAACAGGCATACTTGCCAGCATGATGAGTAATAATTAATCTCTGAATGTGTAGTCTAAACACCCAACGTTTGTTATAACAAACAATAGAATCTTTCACAAAGAAAATTACCTAAAATATGTCATCAGTGTCACAAGCAAAAAAGGGCCTATAATGCGTTCGAGAATGTGCACATCCCCTGGGATTTCGGGAAGGGGGTTAGGGGTATGCAGACTATACCTTCTAGAGTGAGTGAGTGAATATTGCTTAAAGCCGCATCAGCAATTTTGCAGCTATTCGCGGCGATATACTTACTAGATTAGAGCATTTTAGATGTCTAGCAACCCTGCACAAACCCCAATCCCCACCTCTGGATCCGCCAGTACTCCTTCACGTGTTCATTTCTGATAACAAAGCAGATACTCCATTGTAATTTACATGATACTGCAAAATACGAGCATTCAACACTGATCATTGATACAAAAATGCATATACTCCGTGAAATTGGAAGAAACAAATCAAAGATATAGTTACATCAATAAAATATGTCTTACCATGGTGCTATGGACAAAGCTGATTCTTTAATCTGAACGACGGTTACGAAACACTATTGAATTAGTCCTGCTGAAGGAATCGTGTTCTCAACGCAGTTGTACATTGAAGTAATAGTGTTTACTACACCGGTTATCACAGACGTTGCGAGGGACGCTTTATTTTTTTTGCTCAAAGACATGTAACGTGTTCATTGCAGCGAAACGTTATTACAACTCTTGAACATCGCCTTTTGAAAAGTACAGTATTGTATTATAATACCTTACATGTCTTGTGTGTCCGGGTACATAGCGTTAAACGGAGGTATTATCAGTCCACTCTGTGCCACCGGGTCCTCTTAGTCAGCAGTGCGTCATGTATGACCGTATATCCGGAAATACCAGTTACATGCATTGTCTGAGTGTTGGGGACTGGTTGTATGTTCACTGGGGGTGACTATGGGTCTGGAAATCACTATTGCGATAACTATTGATATTGCAAGCAACTATTGAGATAAATATCGATAGTTTTCAGTCTAGTGTTTAAATGGATTTTAAAGTTGAATTAAACTTTGGAACAGAGTTTCCTTTGAATGTGATAACCATAACAACAAATATAAAGTAAAGTTTAAGATATGACTGATTTGTTTTTTCTTTACCCTAATAATTAAAGAAAAAAGGACCTTCAACATTACCATGTGTAAATTACTACCACTCATGATCAAAAGAAAAACACATTTGAACAGCATTGCATTTATTTTATTGAAACTGTACAACTATGGTAAATACAAAACTATCGATATTCCTAACTGAAATCGATACTATTGATCGGAAACTGATTTAAAAAACGATATATTCACTTTAAGTGCTTACCAATAGCAATATATCGATATTTCGATTTATCGTAAAACCCCGAATGTGCACGTCCTTTGTGAGTACTACTGTTTATGTCTAGAATCTCCTTTCTGCAAATGTTTTCGAGACATGTTCACACGGAACTAAGTAATTATCATAATTATACATCTTTACACAAGTAACAACTGTAATGGCGTTTATTCTGCACCCACGTGGATGCTGGACCTTCAAAGTGGTATTGTGGATATAGTCTATTGGCTATCCCAAAGTCTCTTATGTGTTCACATGAAAAGGAATACAGCGTTTCGGTCGCGACATTTTAAAACTGGCGGGGGAATTCATACACATTGTCTTATAGGTTTATATATCAAAGGTCATCTTTCACGGAATAAGTCTTATATAAATATAAACATTTGTAAAAATGAGAAGTGACATAGTTGCAAGGCTCGTTCAGGGTGGCTGACAATCAATGTAAAATACAGTGTGGATTAACCATTGGGATCAGCATAATATTGTTGCAGACACATGGCAGCAATTAAGTGTTCTAGACATATACATGTCTTGGCTACATGGTATTTAACCTTTGGAATTAAACTTTCATTCTGATTAAAGGTTGTCCCAACTCGGTCGCTATGACAACTGTATTCCGATTAGGACGATCAATGCTCATGATATCAATCACAGGATTGACGCGAATATTTTTGACCGCCGTCATATAGCTGGAATACTTCTTGTGCGGCGTAAACAAACAGTAACAAACAACAGTGCACGAGATCCACTATTTATACAGAAAACACAACAATAAGAATAATGAAAGCAATACTGCAAAACAAACTGTGTCTATTATATGAATACTCATAAAATGAAATGCTTTCTGGGGTTCGTAGGCTTCATGTGTGTGTGTGTGTGTGTGTGTGTGTGTGTGTGCGTGCGTGCGTGCGTGCGTGCGTGCGTGCGTGCGTGCGTGCGTGCGTGTGTGTGTGTGTGTGTGTTTTGTTGCGCAAGCATATTTAAAAAATATTTCCTTTCTTGTCGTGTTGCTTGGTGTGGAAGCGAATGAGAACTTAAAATGACCATGGTATAGCCGAAACTGAACACAGGGAAATGAGAGTTGTGACGGGTTGTGACATCACGTACAAGATTATATTGCTCATACACTGATATGCATGCAACAGGGGGCGGATGCTCGTACTGGTCCGAATATTTGCCGGTTCTGTAGTGCTAGCCACTGAGATACAATTACTCTAAACTTACCAGTCCTTGTTTCTAACCCTTAATGCAGAGCAGGGTAACAGGGTTGTTTTGAAAGTATCGCTCGGCAAGGGGAACGAACCACCGGCGCGCTCCAGGCATACGCGTTAGCTTCCTACTCTTGCTTTAAAGCAACATTTGTGTTTAGACTGGGAATGCGTCGTCTTCAACGTGATGAATGCCTAAGGGTTTTTTGGCATGCTTCAAACTGGTGGAACGCAGCGAGAGGTAGCCAATATGTTCAGTGTGTCCGAGTCTGTGGTGATTTTCAGACTTTTGAACATGTTTCTGCGAACACAAGGGCGCCATGGGTCACAAACACAAGTTTAAGATCGAATAATCAGAAACCAGGCTTTAAGAAATTGAGCCCAAACATCCAATCAATTCGCTGGTTACTTTTCTAGCTAGTCGTGAACGTGTCTGCTGGCGTCATACGAATTCAACGTTAGGCAACATGACAGGTTCGAGGGTTGGTCGTTGATGGTATGGGGCTGGATCATGACAAAATGCCACTCCGTATCGTCCACGGAGAGGTCACTCTACAGTACTACCGAGACAACATGCTGGCGCCATACGTTGTGCCGTTTCCGCCCCATGCTTGTCCATGTTTTGTCTTTCTAGGCGATAACACCCGTGCCCACCGTGTACGTTTGTAACTGACTATCACCAGACATTATCACAATGCAGGGGCCAACCATGTGTCCTGACATTTCCCCTGCAGAGCATTTCTGGGGACATGATTGGGAGACGTGTACCCCGACGTCAGAGACCATCAGCTAAGTTAGCCAAACTAGGCCAGGTATTGCAAGAGAATGGACAAGACTGCCTCAAAATGTCATTGAAGATATATTCGGACATCCCACGGGATAAACACAAGTGTTTGCCCAACCATGGGGTGATGACCAATTATTTATCAAGTCATCAAAAACTTTCATCTTTTATTTCACATCCCAGTCATCTTTTTTCGTCGCTTGCACCTTTACACTACAAGACCAACATGTTCTGTTTGTTGTCATCTTACAAATTAGTCCTTATTTTTTCTAGTCCATCCATTACACTGCTCCATACCTCTTTGTATTTCTGTGATCATGTTACTTTTTAATATCCCCTTCATTTTATGGAGAGTATAGGCTTTACACAGATAAATATATGTTAAAACAGTGATCCTTTAGGGCATGCCCAAGGTTAGCTAAAACAGCAAAACAGTCTACGTACGTCGATGGTAGCTATTTGGATTGTGGTAGCAATAAGGAATCAAATTTGCTCACTATTACATGCAAAGGGGTTAACGTGTACATTTTCAAATATGCATTGTAAACATAGGTCCACGCATGCATACGGGGCAAGGGTGGTAATTCGCTGTGCAGAGTTGTGTCCCTGAGTCGTGCCAAAACCCTACGATCGTAGTTTGATCCCGGTACGTGTGTCGTGGGTTTCGCCAATGTGGTAATCATCCAAAACCTGTGTCGCAGGTGATCCGTTGCAGATCTAGTGTTAATCGGTACACACACGGGCATATATGGTACAGGTCATGGTATTGAACATCATTTTTGTCCCTTATGCGTGAAATTTGAAAATATCGTCCAGAGGTCAACCATGAAACCGTTTGAAAGGTTTACGTAAGCCTTGAATGTTGTAATGCTGATTAAACATCTTTTGTGCAAGAGTCATATGGTGCTCTTTGAAACCTTCGATTGTACCTTAAACTATTTGGTATGTAGCTAATCAAGGCTGGGACTGATGGAATATATCTCGGAATAAAGGGACAGTTGACAATTGGCTATCCTTCTTGTCACACAGACTTGTGGATATTTTTTTGTCACTTTGAATCTTTATGCATATATCTAAATATAAAACAGATGGTTTTACTGGTCTCTAGTTAATGGTTAAATCAATAGAAGGGAATTATCGAATGATATCAAGACACGATTATAGAATTACGCCAGTGATCATTCGCGATAACGTTGTCATGGTTTCCATCGCTCCTTAGCATCGAATAAAATACTGAATGACAGTAAAGAGCCAATGTTTTGTTGATTCTTCCGCCCACATGGTTTGTGCTAATTGCTGACTTCAATTGTTCATCTATCTGTTCGTTCGGATCAAAGTTCCTGTGTTATTATTTATAAGTACAAAGCACTGAATAAACGTTATTCTAAATCCTCGTATATTCTGGAGAATGTTGATCGATGTTCGAACATTTTGTAGCATAGCCAATAACGTGTTTGAGTGGAGTATCCATGTAAAACTGCGCATGGTATCTCAATGGACCAGCACTATACAACCGGCACAGGTATAGACAAGTACACACAGACACACACCCGTACACATGCATGTACGTCGGTTTAAGTACAATAATCATGAATGTGACGTTAAAATTCACCTCCCCTCATTATCCTTCAAGGTATTGGTTTTGGTGTCAGTTTCATCGTTGTCCCATACCCAGCGCTATGAAACCGGGGAAAGCTATGACTAGTACAAGCAGTGACAATCATACACATGCATGCACGTCCCTAGACCTTATATTATCAAGCATTATAATTAGCAAATTAAGATGTATTAGTCGGATGTAGTTCGTGATATATGCAGTGTGAATGTATCATTTGATCACTTTATGCCTGTAATACTCTCTCTCTCCACTGTGTCGTCACTTCCGCAGGCATGGCGATTCTGGAACGCCTACTTTGCCCATATAGGAGCGAGACGAGGAAGGTTCGAGCCCACCCTTCCACCACCTGACTTGCGTCTGTCAACTTGCGCATTACCGAAATGATACCTTTCGGAAAAACACCGACTTTTCTACCTGTTTCCATCGCACTCAATACTTGATTTAAGTCGGACTTCATGCTTCAACCAAGCTTTGCGAGTGTGATAATGCTGAACATTCATGAGTGCACGTATTTTGCGATTTAAGTTTATTATTGTAAATTACAACTGACACATATTTTTTCCATTGAAACATTGATATCCTATGTGTGACCAGTCTGTGAAAGTACATTCTGCTTTCTCCTGAAAAAAACACATGCCAAATAAAAAATTGTACCCGTTTCTATATTTCTCTCCATCAGTATGTTGTCGCTCTTTTCAGAAAACAGGGCAATGGTGAAGTCAATTCCTATAATTACATAAGTCAACAATAACTGCTTATTTAATAATTGACATAAAAATGTTGACAAAGATAAGAAATCAGTGAAATCGATCAGTGCTAAAACCCGCCTACTCTATTATCAGCCAACCAAGAAACAGTAGTCCGTTAGCGAACATGGCTTAATTATTTTAGATTTATTAAACAATTTAAGCAGAAAATATTGCTTGGTTAGCCAACCTAATGCCATGGAATCACTCGATTTTTATTATCTTTTTATTGTGTATGTATATGCGCCTATATGTGTTTTCCTCCTCCATACGTTGCTGTACACAACATGCGCTGACTCTTCAGGTACTAGTACAAACATACCACAGTAATCAAACGAAAAGGAGGTCAACACAGTTCATCGGATAAGCCAAAGAAATATTGTGTAAAACTAGGGTATCAAACTGAGCAGAGAGCATGTGTATCATAGTAGGAACATCAAGTCAGTATATCGTTGTGAGGCTAGTTATATTGCAAATGATAAGGTACCAATCGGGAACACCTGGTGTCATCACTGATTTTCACCACTCATTTGCCTTTAAGGACAAAACAAGTGATATAGGGGTGGGGGATTTTGTAAGGAGGCTGGATATTAATTCAGCCACAGCTGCAAACCCAGATTATTCTTTCAAACTATGAGCCTAATTATGTTGTAAACACACCTTGGAAGAATGTAAGGTTTGTACCAGCAATTTGGTTTTTCTCAGCAGTTTGAAGCATTATAATTTGTTGTTTCAAGAAGTTTTCTGGGACAATAACTGGTGGAAAATACCAGCCACCACTGTCCCTGCTGCCAGATTATGAAACAATAACACACACAAAATGTTATGTTTACATCAACTATTACTGTTTCGTTACTTTTTCATTTGCATTTGCATTCATTTTTCATCAGTCCCTTAATCCGAAATCTGATCTTCCATACTAGAGACACCTATCACAAAGTCATTTTACTCCGTAACTCTACTTCCCTGTGTGAAGATCTGGCATCCCATCAATAGTAGATCACGTCATAAAATAATACCACACAAAACACATCTATTCCTTTGATTGTACTCCGGTTTGGGTGCGATTCCTGAATGCTTCCCTGGCCGTGTCCCGAATTTAGAATCATCTACGCTGATTGGCTGACTAGAAAGTTCTGTTAACGCGACCTCCTAACGAGTGGTTGACTTATCTCAACGTTGAAAGGTACCGTTTCAGAGAACTATGATTTTAATAAGATTGAACAGACACAACAAACTACTTCCAAGCAGTTCATTGATACACCCTTTACCGTGACCTCCCTAAAGTCCTTAAAGTGTTTCATTGAAAAGAAATCAAATAACATTGATCATCTTGCTTTTCAACATGCCAGCAGTACGTGGTCCTCCCCATTTACAAGTTGACGACGGAGGCAGACTGGAACAGGTACCCGGTCCCCTTCAGTCTCTTACTCTTGGAGTTGAGTTTTTCCACCCTGGAGGAAGCTCCGCACACCTTTGCTGTAAGACTTTTCCTAAGTTTTCTCCTTATTTTTCCTTTGATGTCCCTCTTAATTCTTCTTGCTGCTAACAAACCAATTGAAGCCGACATGAATATAAAGCTTGAAGTGGTTTGAAGCTTGATGTAATTTGACTTGAATCCTTCTTTTCAAAGCTGGTGCCTTTTCTACGCAAGACAAGTCATGAGGAGTCAACAGGTCAATGAATGGTAATTAAAGGTCTATAAACCCTATTCAAATCTGCAGACAATTAACTTTCACTCATTATCGACCGATGAATCTGAATTCAAATATACAAAATGGCGGACAACGCCATGGAAACGTGAATCAGTTTCGTACTTGCACAAGCTATTTGGTACAACCTTGAACAGAAACGGATGGGTATTTTGGGACATACATTTCAACCCGTATTTGCCCATTGACATTGTCCTGAACAGATCAGAGAATATGAACGAGTTATGGTTCGGAAATTATATACATATTCTCGTCTGGGAAAAGAAGTGTTTCATAATTCTTCGTTCGTTCATCTCTTTTTAAGTTGCCAACTTTGAAAATCAATCGCATATTTTGTAATCATATGTCTGATATACAAATCCAGGTACCAATTTCTCAACGGTGACTCCAAGAAAGATTCTTTCCACGATTACTGTTTTAATTGCACACATGTTTACAGTACATACATGTAGTAGTCATTGACTCTTTTTTCACCCCTTTGTGTCTTGTCCTCTCCCTTTCTGTTTTGCAATGCGATGAATAACATGATATAGAGAACTTCCGTATGATTGCAGGTGACCGTTATGAGTTGTCGGTCCATCGAGAAAAGTTAAAGAATTTATCCTGTCTGCATGATCGAGGTATAATTTATAGCTGTATACTAGTATATATCTTTCCCATTATGCGTGCCATCAACATACACATCGACTACAACCAACGCCATCTGGACTCGGTGACACCCTATTGACGACCCCCGATCAATTTAAGTCACCTCTTTAGGAACCGACCATTTAATCTTTCTGGAGGCGGGTGATTTATGCAGAAGACAAAATATGTTTCGTCACTGTTTCAAGATATACAATTGTTTTCACCATAAGGATGTGCCAAACAAGTTGAGGAAACACCACTTTTACAAGACATCCAGCATGTCCAATGAATATTCAGTGAACAATATGTTGACTTTCCTTAACAGCCTGAGGCCAAATTATTTTTGCATCTTTTTCTGAATTTTCTTTTTATCAAATCCCTACCTGACCCCGCCCCCGCGGGTTGTGTCAGATGCACCATGATGAAGTATCTTGCCACACCCACTGTTCGCCTGCACGTCGCCTGCTTGTGGATTGCCACATGGCCTGTGGGCGTGTCCGGCGTCCGCCATACCTTGGAGCTGACGTCGGACGTATTCATCACGACTTTGTAGGACATGTTGGCATCTTTCAGGTGGATGTTGATCTCTTGTAGCAACACCCTTGACGATACTCGCTTAAGAGTCGCTTGCACGTATATGTCTGTAATGAACGCGTTACACCAGTGAGAGAAACAACAAGTGGAAGTTTAAGTCTGTACCAATCTAAAACAATAACAAAATATTAACACAAATACTGTATACAATGCTTACTCGTCCAGATCCTATCTATACTCTCCAATACAATACAATAAGCTCATCCAAGTCTCATATATGATGACCAAAGTACCATCTATACTCTTTAAAATACTATCAAGTACTATCTATGTTCATCCAAGTCTTATATATGATGACCAAAGTACCATCTATACTCTTTAAAATACTATCAAGTACTATCTATGTTCATCCAAGTCTTATATATGATGACCAAAGTGCTATCTATACTCTTTAAAATACTATCAAGTACTATCTATGTTCATCCAAGTCTTATATATGATGACCAAAGTGCTATCTATACTCTTTAAAATACTATCAAGTACTATCCATGCTCATTCAAGTCTCATCCATGTACCGCCTATTCTCTTCAAATACTATTTGATACTCAACAAAATATCATCTATACTCGTCCAAGTAGTATATATACTCAACCAAATAGTATCTATACTCAACCAAGTTTTATGTTTGTTCAGCAAAGTACCATCTCTACTATTCAAATAATATCAGTATTCTACCAGTTTCCGTTGTTTGTCTCCCTCTGGGGTTAACGAGGCAGAACAGATGTCCAGTACCCCATGTTTGTCTCCCCGTTGGGAGAACAGGACAGTATAGGCGCCCAGTACCTTACGTTTGTCTCCCTCTGGAGTTAACGAGGCAGAACAGATGTCCAGTACCCCATGTTTGTCTCCCCGTTGGGAGAACAGGACAGTATAGGCGCCCAGTACCTTACGTTTGTCTCCCTCTGGAGTTAACGAGGCAGAACAGATGTCCAGTACTCCATGTTTGTCTCCCCGTTGGGAGAACAGGACAGTATAGGCGCCCAGTACCTTACGTTTGTCTCCCTGGGAGGATAACTAGGCAGAGTAGATCCTGTCTCTGACCTCCTTGGTAGGTATGTTTTTCCTTTGGTATAATGCAGGATGTATAAATATATGTTTATGAGAGAATGTACCAGGAGATAAAGGATTGATTCAATCAGAAGGAACGTCATAGAGATATGTACAGTACGTTATCAGCATATTGTCAATATATATCATTACTGAATACAGAAAAAAAAGATTTGTTTCATTGTAATAACAGAAAGTGTCAAGTATCACTGTTTTGCCTTAGACGTTCGAGGCATAGACTGCTATAGAGGAACATTTAAGATGGTGCAAGTTTGTAAATCGAAGGAAGTGGGTGTTGTTGGAAAAGAATTCCCATTAAAATTCCTTCTTCAGAAGTGAATCTTATATTCCATTTGTGCACACATCCTTTCCCAGTAGTGTATATCCAATGAGTGTTATGGTTTAACAATAGTTTAATGTGGGAGGAAAGCCACTTTGGTGGAACCCACATAGGTATGGTGCTGACTAGAGCTAATGAAATAAGGACATATATATTTATAACTTACACTTTAAGAAATGAATTTTTACTTGATAGATGTATACGTATATGTTTATATTGTAAACTACTGTTAAAATATGCATGCACGTTACGTGTTACAACTGTCATAACTGACATCTTCAATATTCCGATGGCCTGATACGTTGCTCATGAAACATCCTGATATACAATTATAGTTTTGAATGTTGAGTCGTTAATTACTAGCACGTAACACGTGTTAATCGTATCCAAAATATGTTTTCTCCCTTAGACCCGATATATTTGGTTATTTTTTAACCAAAGGGCAGACTGTAATTGTTGTTTCAGGTGTCTTCTAATTTGCATCTGGTCCTGTGCTGCTCCTGGTGTGCAAATGTGGCGTAAACTCACAACAGCGATGTATGTCAAAGTACCACGTTTATGTATTTGCAGTAGAGTGTAAATGTGATGCCTACACATCAACACTACTAGTTCGCAAGCTGAAATGGGTACATTAGATAAATACGCACATCTGGCACATTATGCTAATTGGTTTTGAAGGTTGAATTTTGATGCGCGTTTGTACGTTTGTATGATTTACATTGCGTATTTTACGCATATACGCAGCTTATCTTGAGTTCAGTCGGATATCTTTCTGTGCAAATATGCGACCAGGATATTGTTCGTAATTTTATTTTGTATATGTACTCCACCTACGAGATTCAGTCGGTATTGTGGATGGAGCTGGGTAGATCTGGAATGTTCCTGGTTGAACTCTGAGCGCTCTTGAACACATTTGTTTGTCTGTTGTTGTCCCAAACCCGTCCAGAAACATTTTCACTGAAAACCGAAATAACAAATGTTCACTCGGTGAACTATAAAACAAGGAATATTGTACAGTCTGAGATATTACACTTTCCAATATGTTGAGATATACACATACACGGAGCAGGTTACCTATGACACATACACATTGAGCAGGTTAGCTGTGAGACATACACATTGAGCAGGTCAGATGTGAGACATACACATTAAGCAGGTTAGCTGTGAGACATACACATTGAGCAGGTTAGCTGTGAGACATACACATTGAGCAGGTTAGCTGTGAGACATACACATTGAGCAGGTTAGCTGTGAGACATACACATTGAGCAGGTAAGCTGTGAGACATACACATTGAGCAGGTTAGCTGTGAGACATAGATATAGAGCACGTAGGCTGTGAGACATAGATATAGAGCAGGTAAGCTGTGAAATAAGCTGTGAGACATAGATATAGAGCAGGTAAGCTGTGAAATAAGCTGTGAGACAAACGCGTTGTGAAGGTAAGCATTGAGACATACACGTTAAACAGGAGAGGGAACACATATATTTCAGGAGAAGATAAACAGTGATATATGCACCTTCACCAGGAGATAAGCAGCAAGACATATAACTTGAGTAGGAGATAAGCAGCAAGACATATAACTTGAGAAGGAGATAAGCAGCAAGACATATAACTTGAGTAGGAGATAAGCAGCAAGACATATAACTTGAGAAGGAGATAAGCAGCAAGACATATAACTTGAGAAGGAGATAAGCAGCAAGACATATAACTTGAGTAGGAGATAAGCAGCAAGACATATAACTTGAGTAGGAGATAAGTAGCAAGATATATAACTTGTGTAGGAGATAAGTAACAAGACATATAACTTAAGTAGGAGATAAGCAGCAAGAAATATATCTTGAGTAGGAGATAAGCAGCAAGACATATAACTTGAGTAGGAGATAAGTAGCAAGACATATAACTTGAGTAGGAGATAAGCAGCAAGACATACAACTTGAGTAGGAGATAAGCAGCAAGACATATAACTTGAGTAGGAGATAAGTAGCAAGACATATAACTTGATTTAGGAGAAAAGCAGCAAGACATATAACTTGAGTAGGAGATAAGCAGCAAGACATATAACTTGAGTAGGAGATAAGTAGCAAGACATATAACTTGAGTAGGAGATAAGTAGCAAGACATATTACTTGAGTAGGAGATAAGCAGCAAGACATATAACTTGAGTAGGAGATAAGCAGCAAGACATATAACTTGAGTAGGAGATAAGTAGCAAGACATATAACTTGAGTAGGAGATAAGCAGCAAGACATAACTTGAGTAAGAGATACATAGCAAGACATATAACTTGAGTAGGAGATAAGCAGCAAGACATATATTTTGAATAGGAGATAAGCAGCAAGACATATAACTTGAGTAGGAGATGAGCAGCAAGATATATAACTTGAGTAGGAGATAAGTAGCAAGACATATAACTTGAGTAGGAGATAAGCAGCAAGACATATAACTTGAGTAGGAGATAAGCAGCAAGACACATAACTTGAGTAGGAGATAAGCAGCAAGACATATAACTTGAGTAGGAGATAAGCAGCAAGACATATAACTTGAGTAGGAGATAAGCAGCAAGACATATACCTTGAGTAGGAGATAAGCAGCAAGACATATGACTTGAGTAGGAGATAAGCAGCAAGACATATAACTTGAGTAGGAGATAAGCAGCAAGACATATACCTTGAGTAGGAGATAAGCAGCAAGACATACAACTTGAGTAGGAGATAAGTAGCGTGACAGACGTCTCGAGCAAGATAGAAGCAGGGGATCAACACCTTGAACTGCAGAGAGGCAATGAGGCCTACATTGATCAAGAGATAAGCAAAGAGGCGTATACCTTGAGCAGGAGATATAGTGAGATATATACTTCAAACAGAACTTGAGCAGTAAGGCACAGGCGTCGAACAGCGGATGACCAAGTGATGTGCAGTAAGACATACATACAAAGACATAACCAGTGAGACGCATGTGTACACAGGAGGTGAGAAGTGTGACATATGTGTAGAGCAGAAGATGAGAAGTGTGACATATGTGTAGAGAAGGAGATGAGAAGTGTGACATATGTGTAGAGCAGAAGATGAGAAGTGTGACATATGTGTAGAGCAGAAGATGAGAAGTGTGACATTTGTGTAGAGCAGAAGATGAGAAGTGAGACATATGTGTAGAGAAGGGGATGAGAAGTGTGAGATATGTGTAGAGCAGAAGATGAGAAGTGTGACATATGTGTAGAGCAGAAGATGAGAAGTGTGACATATGTGTAGAGCAGAAGATGAGAAGTGTGACATTTGTGTAGAGCAGAAGATGAGAAGTGAGACATATGTGTAGAGAAGGGGATGAGAAGTGTGACATATGTGTAGAGCAGAAGATGAGAAGTGTGACATTTGTGTAGAGCAGGAGGTGAGAAGTGTGAGATATGTGTAGAGCAGAAGATGAGAAGTGTGACATATGTGTAGAGCAGAAGATGAGAAGTGTGACATTTGTGTAGAGCAGAAGATGAGAAGTGTGACATTTGTGTAGAGCAGAAGGTGAGAAGTGTGACATTTGTGTAGAGCAGAAGGTGAGAAGTGTGACATTTGTGTAGAGCAGGAGATGAGAAGTGTGACATTTGTGTAGAGCAGAAGACGAGAAGTGTGACATTTGTGTAGAGAAGGAGATGAGAAGTGTGATATTTGTGTAGAGAAGGGGATGACGACTGAGACATTATGCTTGTTATGCTTTCGTGCAAATTGAAACATCTGAATTATTGGAAATACCAATTTTGCATCTCATATTTCGCTTCTTTGATTTGTTCTTAAGTGATTTTCTTCTTGATTTCTTCCGCCTGCCCTTGCCAGTCCTCGGGCCAGTCGACGGGCGAATCATCGGATCAATCGTGGGGTCAGTCGTCGGGCCTGTCGTCCGGCCAGTCGTCGGGACTGTCGTCGGGGCAGTCGTTGGGACAGTCGTCGGGACTGTCGTCGGGGCAGTCGTCGGGACAGTCGTCAGGGCAGTCGTCGCGACAGTCGTCAGGATTATAGTCGACCTAGTCATCGGGACAATCCTCGGGGCAGTCCTCAAGACAGTCATCGGGCCAGTTCTTGGGCGAGTCCTCATGCCATATCTTTGTCTCTTGAAATATCTGCGTACTGAACTAGCCCCTGAAACATGGCCAAGATCAATCATGATGATATTGCTAGTAATTATTATACTTCAGAAGGACATACAAGTTCATTACATTTCGGTTACGGTATTTCCAACAAATTTCGAACCAACCAGCCTGTTCGAAAGAGATGATGAACTAAAACATTATTTTCTACATAACGAGTTATTATTTCTAAATACTAATTTTCAAAGTCTGATAGGGGATGCGACGGATGCCAGGAATGCGATTGGCGAAAATGGAGCTGTTGGAGTGCTTGATTCTAACGTAGCTCTCCTGTGCATGGGCGGTCCTCTTGGGGTAACAAACACGGGCTCTTTTGGTGGTGGTGTGTTGTATCCACACCATGTTGTTGGTATCCCTCGACACATTCATGGTCCTGGAAACATCCTGCTGTGTTAGCTCAGCCCACAAATATCCGATGACATTGTAACGATGGCCTTTTGTCAGGCAGTATTTCCCGGCGTAGAAATTGTAAGCGTATACCGGGATGTTCATCTTTGGCAGTGGATAACTGATGTTGAATGAGCAAAGAACGTGCGGTGCCTTTTAACGTCAAACGTTCTCTGTCTCTGCTGTCTAAGCATATAATACAGGCCAATAGTTGATTCTGAGCCTGTCTATATACATGCAGTGGCAATAGTTACCCTAATATTTCTTGTGTATTTTCTCTTTCTTAGAGTATGAAGTCATATAGCCTTCGCTGTCAGATAACATTCAGTAAAATGACACAAGAGGTAGGACTCATTCGTATTCATTGAAAATGTTAAGATACAAAATAACAATGAAATAAATAGTTATTATTTACGAGGCCAGAACTGACTGTTGGTTTGTTGTTATACGCCACAGTCAACCATATTCCAATATGTGTGTGTTTGAGTCATACTACGGCTGCTGATGACGGAGATTACCATTTGAGGCGGCGTGGTTGGATTTCCCGAAGCAATACACGGCAGTGTGGAGCTCAGTTATAGCTTCGAATGGACGCTTAATTTCGACATATATGATTTGTCTGGCCTCAAAGCCCGCATCGTTCATGCCTGAATCGATGCCGTTGTCCCCAATGATTTTCATGTTATTTTTAGACATTGAGGAATTCCCCTAAAGTAGTTCTGTATGACTCCGATCGATTGACAACGTAATCACGTGACATTCTGACGTTAATCGAGAAATGAACGACAGTCAGCTTGGTAGTGTTCACCTGGGCGAGGTCACCCGCTGCTGTCAATATTGTACTGTGACAGTACATAATGTTGTAAGTTTATTTCTGTCGATTGTCAGTGACAGCAAATTAATCAAACGCTCGACAGTGACAAAATCTGGACATTTGTGAGTGCACTGACATATATTGTTGGGCCCGATACTTATGGTTGTTGCTGTGTTTTACCAATTGTATGGCCGTTTGTGATTGTAAAGCTAAAACTGTGAGTTTCAATATTAATTGTTGATTACTCATAATTCGTGTCTGTCTAGTGTCTGGGTTACACTTAGCGTTTCGATTTATGACTTAACACATAACAATATATTGTAGATAGTTCGGTTCTCCTTTTACACACTGAAAGTCTTTTCGCATCTTCCGTCTTAAATTAGCCCGATGCTTACATTTTTCTTTTGTTTAAAGCGCTGTGAAGAAACGACATATTCAACTCAACATTTGTTTTAGCATCAAATTCCGGAATTTTGTGCCTCCCATGCCAATTATAGTTTGCAGATTCAGATAGGAACGCCGAGGCCTCGAGGCCGCCGAGGCCTACAAATGAACTTTGATCCGTAGGGGTGGGTGAGCGAGATAAGGGGTGACGAAAATTGGTCACGTGGTAAATAAACAGTTTTCTATATATAGATAACCTAGTGAAGAAATAAAATGTACTGTAAAATCACCCCTCTCTTCTTAGTCAGTGTTTACACAAAACCCGAGAAACAAGATTACAAAAAACATTATCCGGTTTATTTTAAGTTGCAATAATGAAGAAGACAGTGTCATGTACGCAGTGGCGAAGTGTTGCGTGTCTTTCCTTGCTTCCGAGCGAATCAAGAATCATAAGAAAAGGAGAATCTGGGATTCGAACCCACCATAACAGTGAGCCTTAGACACTTCTTGGAAAATGCATGCAGTTGTATAATTAAAAACCATGTAACAATTGATTTTAAAAATGCATTTATCGCGTTCGTTTTATGTCCGCATTCGCGATTTAGAGAAGGGTGTATCTTGTAAGATGTAGAACCAGCAATGACAGAATTGGTTTATAAACTTGTTTCATTCTTTCAATGATACGTTTCAAATGAGATAGTAGTAGTATATGTGCCCTCTTTATATTATATCGCTAACATGTTAAGATATTAAATAAAGTTCTAAACAGTTCGGGATAAAAGGATTTGGAAATGTGTTTCGATGTGTGTTTAGGATCTAAAACACATTTTTTTGCAGTTTATGAAGTGCCCAGAGAATATGGATTATGATATGCATAAACACTGACCATAACCGAATGTTGTTCATTCAAACGATCTACTGTCTTTTACGACATTGTTTCAAGATAATGTGCAGATGATTGTACTCAACTTGCCGCCACCGAAATTGTAGACAGCTGAAGTGAAATAGGTAACATCTTAAACCCGCGTCCACCTAATCATGCATAACACATGTTATTATAACAACAATTAACACAATTTTTATTCATCCCGAATTTGAATTGTTAAATACCAATCTTGAAATTCAATTCACTTATCATGCACATTGTATATTTATATTTTTCTTATAGGTTATAACATATATTACTCCCTTGGTTCTGGTCTATCGGGTATTCTTTAACTAATGGGTAGACCTTTATATATTGATATTCTATTTTAAATAATGTTCAGGTGACTTTTAATTTGCTTCTGTTCATGTTTTTGCCCCACGTGTGTTATACTGGCGTAAGCGCCCCCGCAGCCATATACACGTCTAAGTTACAAGAAGCGAGAAGTATTCATTACCCACTCCTGTCGATTTCATGTATATGTGATCCCTGCCATACATAACGATTGCAAAGCAATAACAATACGCAAGCTGAATATGATACATTGGGTAATAATTATAACGCTCAGTGTAGTTGTACTGCTGGGTTATCTGGAGCTCTGCTATTATTGTTTAAACATATGCACACCTAAACAGTTGTATCTTCAACGGGCAAGTACTGAGCACATATGCACACCCTTTGTACGGTGCTTACAAATGAAATAAAAGAAGTATAATAATAGAATTTGAATAAACTCATAATCCTTTCTTTTTCTATTGTGCCTAATCTTTGAAACAATATGCACCATGAAGTGTATGGGTCTTAACCCTAATGAAAAGATTTTATTCCAAGCGAGCTATTTCTTTAAGGTAATGTTTAGATAATAATACTCGACTTACCCCCACCGTTGTATTTTGGTCTAGGTTGTATTGCAGAAGCTGAAACAAATTAGATTATTCACTGAAGAGATTTTAGGAGTCGTTTTTCTTTCCAACTCCACCAGTTATCATATATCTGTACATGTACATAACAAGACATCACTTCTGTATTGCAAAACATTACACTGACGCGTTACCAAACTGTAGTTGTTTGCCAGTATAGAAGCAGCTGATTTACCCTAAAGGGGTATTTCCTTTATATAGTATGCATATACTCACGGAATGATTGTTGTCCAGATAGTATTCCAGAAGCTGAAACAAATATTCACTGAATAGATTTTTCTTTCCAACTCCACCAGTTATCATATAGCTGTACATTTCACAACATGACTTCCATATTGCAAAACATTAAGCTGACGCGTCACCAATCTGGAGTTCTTTCCAAATATAGAAGCAGCCCATTCTCCGTCATTTCCTCAAAGCTCCAAACATTGTAACACACAACGTACTTCCAGTCCGAAAACAGCTGATTTACCCTGAAGGGGTATTTCCTTTACATACATATACTCACGGAATGATTGTTGTCCAGATTGTATTCCATAAGCTGAAACAAATTAGATTATTCACTGAAGAGATTTTGGGGAGACGTTTTCCAAAAATAGAAGCAGCCCATGCTCCGTCATTTCCTCAAAACTCCTCACATAGTAACACACCACGTAATTCCAGTCCGAAAACATTACGACCAGACCTTGGCCTTGATAAACACAACTGTTTACGATCCAGCAATTATCCACGCCTCTTACGACCAGCATATGTTGCTGGGGACCTAGTCTAATTCGGAATTCCCTCGGAGTGTATTTGAAGAGATACATGAAGATATATAGTTTCATGTTATGATATATCCGCAATAGATACTTACTTTATGCATATTGAGTGAATGGTGGGTGTCGGGTAGAACATGCTTAACCTTTTCGCGAACACCAGGTGCCATCCTTGATGTTCAGTGGTTCGTTCATATAATTATTACAGCTGTTTTTTCCTATGCTTTTGTTACAGTAGATAATCTAGAGTGGTTATTCTGTTGCATTGACAATATGTATTTACGAAAACCTGAACAACGACTTCGACTTTATATCTATTGTGACTAAAATCCTTCCAAATCTTAATATATGATAGTTTAATGGTTAATACATTAATACATTCTTTTAGAAAGTGTAACCACTTTGAGATTGTTCTGCCACGTGACCCTGGCCTTTGAACATGCCAGCATGTGGCAAAAGAATTCCTAAGGTCCGTGTGGAATAAACGTTTATTGTATTATATCCTCTAATGCCAAGTCTTTCGCCGTATTCAAGAGAAAAGATGATACAACTACATTTCAAACTTTGCTCCAAAGTGACATTGACCTTTGACATAAATGCAAATAAAATGATGTAGATATTTAGTTCCATGCCGTTTAGGTACCATTACCTCAGAACCAGACAACGATATAGCCACCTCTTACAGGTAACAGAATGTGATCTTGACCTTTTACTAACCTTAACTTTAAACTTTTGCCAAATAAATTCCCCATGGTTATGACGAACTCGATGGATGATGTTATTATGTCAATAAAGTGTGTCTAGTACACATTAAATAAAACACCGGCAGCAGCGGTCAAATTCAAACGAAATCTCAGGACCGACTATTTAATATTATAGGGCCCGGGAATATCTGTTAGGGAGGGGGAATTTTGTTTCGACCCTGCTTTAAGACACACAAATCAGTATGACTGTATACAGAGTTGAAGAGTATCATTACAATCATTGAATAAAACAAATGATCAAGTCTTTCGCATGTGTGCCCAATCTTTGAAACAGTGTCATCAACACCATCGATCAACAGTGATCTGTCATGCTTCGGAGCATTGTTTATTGACCTTGAATAACTTAAGTAATGTTTGCTACTTTTATGATTTGAGGATAGATTACCAGTATTGAACCTCAAGATTCACCTTTATACTTGTGAAATGAGAGAGAGGTGCCAGGTTCAGCAGAATGTTTGGAGTAGACTACTCAATGAATCGTATTTTCCACCACCGTCAATACTTCAAGGGCATGATCCTCCATCACCCGTGAATAAATGCGACCGTTTTGCAGTGTAGTCTCCAGATTGTAACCAATGAACGGAGCATAAACCTGGTTTCAGCAAATGTGATGCCAGCTCAGACTAATGAGCGTTCAGCTTATATCAGCAATATTTCTCGAGCAACGCGTGGTTTCTTCTACTCCACACATTGCGTCAATGTCAGGCAGCGGTGGGGTTCGCGCACAGTTCGTGCATGGAGAAGGTCTCATTTGACCCTCCGGTTGTTACAGACGACCTCATTTCATTCCTGACTAAAACAGACGTACACGTCACAACACGCAAATCAGCTGTGTGTATTCAAGGGTGATGGGGGAACGTAGTATACACACATCCGTGATGACGATTTCTATAAACTTGTTAAAACTCACCTACAGCAGGGTTGACGATCTTGCGACTCACCATGGAGTTATAGCGTGGTACACTTGCTTGTGGGAAATAAGCCCGTTCTGCAGGACCAGAATGTGTTGACAAAATTGCATTCGTAATTACCTATTTACGGGATATACATATTTGTAATCTGATCAGTGTTATAGAGGTCGTGAAAACACCTGCAATCTAGATAATATAACTGTGAAGGCGAATAAGGGGCAAGTGTTGAGTTTCTAGAGTTGTCTCCCTTGTAAATAAATTAACGTTTTGTCTGTTTGTCTCTAGGCACACAGTGGCCAGCATGTTATAATTGACAAAGAAGAGAAAATAGGAAAATTGCTCGACATCCTGGTTATAACGTTATTAATACATAAACAGCCTGAAAGTTGAAGTAATGTCAAAGCTTAAGCCTACGATGTGACCGATGAACGGGCCTCTCCTTCTTGTAATCGTCGCCGCGTATGTTCGTCTTTGTTGCCTGTTGCTCTGGCTTCGTTGCCACCATTGACGTCAGAGGAGTGACAAAATTATACTGAAACATATAAACTTAGGTCTTTTACAAAACAATTGGACATATTTTTAATTTCTCTCTTAAAACAATTGAAATATTAATGTAGTTTTAAAAATCCGATGATCTCAAAGTATAGTTTGCATACAATCTTATTTATTTCAGATCTTTTACTCCTTTATGATATCTCTCTACTTGAAGATCCTTCCATGAGAGGTCAGGTCAGCAAAAGAACTTTGACAGCCCAATCTAAAATGACATATATCTGGGCTGTTGGGTCAGCTTCAGCTCGGTTTCTTTACAAAATCGATTCCGAATTTCGATCTTAACAATAGGAACTTGTAAAAAAAAAAAAAAATTCCTTCGAAAGTTTTACCTAAAGGGTGAAGATGCCATGACAATCAGAAACGACATGGTGTATGAAACATCCACAACTATTTAATAGTGCGGTCTTCATTATTTCCATTCGTAACAGCCCGTTTACGTTTCGGGTTTTTTCTACATGCAGACGTCAGATATTCTGCTTCGTGTGAAATACATATTGGATTTAAATGAAATTATGTTTGGATTCCCCAGGAATATGAGTTATCTTCGCCTGAAAGTTTCGCTAAATAGCCGCAGAGAGTTTAGGTATAATTGGAGGTCATGTTCGTGTGAAGATAAATATATATATATGAACCAAACGGAGCATACGTTGTTGCCATAGCTACATACTATCCAGATACCAAAACCCGCTTTGCCCTCTGAATAGATGGCCAACTGTTTTAGGTTAAGGTATTGTGTTCTATCTGTCTGAGTCAATCAGTAAAGACCATGCATCATCATAAATTATACATTAATATAACTCTGACCTCAAAATACATTCATCACCATATGCATTCTTGCAACTCTGGTCTCAAAGTCCATTCACCATCATATGCATGCACGCAACCCTGATATACATCACATATACTCATGCAACTCTGGCCTCAAAGTCCATTCATCATCATATGCATACATACAACCCTGATATACATCACATATACTCATGCAACTCTGGTCTCAAAGTCCATTCATCATCATATGCATACACAGAACCTTGATATACATCACATATACTCATGCAACTCTGGTGTCAAAGTCCATTCATCATCATATGCATACACACAACCCTGATATACATCACATATACTCATGCAACTCTGGTCTCAAAGTCCATTAACCACCATACGGATTCACACAACACATTGACTCATACAACTCGTTGACTCGTTTGATTGCATGTAAAGGTACCTGCACCTCATGGGTGATGGGTGAAATGGGGTTTAACGTCGCGTCCAAGATAATTGCACTTATATAGCGTCGTGCATGTACGTGTTATGTTTGTGTGGCTGCTTGTACTAGTCCGGACTGATGCCGATTTATAGTGCAAGCTCACTGAGATACCATGCCGTGGTTTTACATGAACACCCCACTCAGACACAGTATACTGACTCCGAGCCGACCAGTCCTTGTTTAGCCCCTTAATGCCGAGCGCCAGACAGAGTGACAACAAATACCATCTTTTAACGTCTTTTGTTATGACGCGGCCGGGGATCGAACCCCGGACCTTCCGCTCTCCGGGCGGACGCTCTACCACATTTCTCAAAATCAATTACTTGGTTGTCGTCTCTGACCTGGCCTTATGCTTATGGTACGAGGCGACTTTATGGTTCGAGTAACTTTGTTGATGGCATGTCATCTTACCCCGATGGCATGGGACGTTGCTTTATAACAATCCAAACACTCGTTTATCTGGCCCAGACTAGATTAAATACAGGTCGCCGTCATATAGATGGATGCTAAACGTGTACGTACTTTGAGGGCTAACTCCGTAATCTTCCGGTCAACATCGGACTTCTCGTTCTTATACTCGTCCTTCCTCTTCTGCAGTAGCAGATCCTTGATCCTCAGGTATGCCCAGCTCCTTTCAATAACAGACGCGAAGTCCATTGGAATAGTAAAATAGGGGTTGTTTGTCGATGGCTCAATGGGTTGTGTGCTGTGGTTATCCAGAACCACATTCAATTTTCCTGTGCCGATGTCTGCAGTCAGTGAAGCACCAATCAAGGTATTGATGAAGTCACTCATACGACCGGCTACGACCACGTCATTGCCCCTGAAAACGTTCCTGAAGACCGTCGTCGTCAGGGTGTCGGGATCGACTGTGCCGTTGAGATATTTGATGTTCAAGTTCCGTAGCACAGTGGTGGAAATGTCATCATAGAATCCCTCTACCTGATCAGCTGCATCGGCAGCTTCGTATATTCTCCGAGCAAAACCGCTGTTCTGGGCGGAGACCACCTTCAACAGGTAATAATCAGCTCCATTACCAAACGCCAGTCCGAACAGAGACACAACATCCTCATTGAGGCGTTCGACATTCTTAGCAATGGAGCCGGGGTCCTTGGTGCCAACCGTGGGCTGACCGTCTGTGAGGAAGAACATCACAGGCGTGTGCTCCTTGTACCTTTCTTCCAGCATGAAGGAAATGCCGTCGGTCAAGGCCATGTTCAGGTTAGTTGCTGAAAGTCAAGACAGTGCAGCTGTAGTTTCGCTGGTATATATATCAAATCGGCATTTTGGGTGAGTTTCTCCTTTTGAAATCAACCAGGTGTCACTCATAAAAAACAATGTACCACGTGTGTTGCATTTCCCTTGGGTACTACGTGTTTCGCTCACCAAGGGCGCTACCTATTCCCAGGTAACCATGCACCATCTCTTACAATCCCCATGGACCACTTATTTCTCTAACACTCCCCAAGGATACTACGTGTCTCTTTCGCAATCCCCTCAGAGAGCCACGAGTCTCACTTACATGTCGCTATTACAATCCCACATGCACCATGTGTACAATCCATAGGGCACCTGAGTCTATCTGACAATCTCCCAGAGCACTGTGTATCTTTATTGCAATACCACATGCACATTTGTTTCCCAGACAATACCTAGGGCACAATGTGTCTCTCGAACAATCCCCCTGACACGCCGTGTGTCTCTTTTACCACCATATGACTTACAATCCCCCATGGCATCACATGTCTCACTTACTATCCCCCATGGCATCACATGTCTCACTTACAATCCCAAGGGCATCATGTGTCTCACTTACAATCCCAAGGGCATCATGTGTCTCACTTACAATCCCAAGGGCATCATGTGTCTCACTTACAATCCCAAGGACACAGGAAATCACTTGTCTCACTTACAGGGCACCACGTATCTCACTTATAATCCCCCAGGGCACTACGTGTCTCACTTACAATCCCCAGTGCACCACGTTTCTCACTTACAATTCCCCAGGGCAACACGTTTCTCACTTACAATCTCCCAGGGCAACACGTATATCTCATTTACAATCCATCATGTGTGTTTCCATATTACTGCCCTTCAGGGCCCCACGTGTCTCTCTAGCATGCACCACCTGTCCCCCATGGACCACTTATTTCTACCTCAGGATTCTACATGTCCCTTTCACAATCCCCTCAGAGCGCCACGAGTCGCACTTTCCTATTTGTTTCTCCCCAGGGTACGACGTGCCGCTGTTACATGCACTACGTGTCTCTTGGACACCCAAGCCTATCTGACAATCTCCCAGCGGATTATGTGTCTCTATTCATGTCTCTATTACAATCAATCCACTAGGGTACCACGTGTCTCTATTACATTCCCACAAGCACCACATCTTTCTATTACAATCCCACATGCACCATGTCTCTTGTACAACCCTCTAGAGCAACCGATTCTATCAATCTCGCTGAGCATCGCGTGTCTCTGTTACAATCCCACGTGTGCCACATGTCTCTGATACAACCCCACATGCAGAGTGTGTCTCACTTACAGTCTTCCGCTTCCAGTCGACTAACATAGTCGAGTGCTTCATCGATGGTACTCGACTCAACGGGGACAAGCGCCGTCTTCCATTTCTTAAGTCTGTCATCAAAGAGGAAAATGTTGAACCTGTCGGTTTTGCTCAGCTCTTTAAGAATAACCGTCATGGCTGCCTTCAGTTGCGCTATCTTGGTTCCTGACATTGAACCGCTGATGTCAAGGACAAACAGTATGTCCTTGGGGACCGGGAGGATGTCTTCACCAGCGTTCTCGGGGGCAAAGAAGTGAACGAAGTACCCGTCAACTACCTGAAATGTATTTGTGGTAGATGGTCTTGTTCCACAAAACGACCTTAGCTACGTCCATCTTAAAGAATAGAAGTAGCTCTGAGTTCGCCTTGTGCAATGGAACCCTAACTGCCTCTTACTCCGAGACAGACATGTGTACAATATGTGTACACAATCTAGCAAGTAAATCTAATCTTGTTAATTGTTAGTTACTGAAAACAGTGTAGCGGGTAAATCTAAGACTCGTTATATGTTAGTTACAGTAAGCAACCTAGCGGGTGAATCTCAGGCGTGTTCTATATGAGTTACTGTGAACAAAATAATGGGTAATTCTAAAACTTGTTCTATATTAGTTATAGTAAAAAATATAGCGGGTAAATTTAAGACTTGTTCTATTGCAGTGACAGTCAACAATCTAGCGGGTAAAGAAAGCTAAGGCTTGTTCTATATTAGTGACAGTAAAAAATCTTGCTGGTAAATCTAAGGCTTGTTTTCCATTATTTACTGTAAACAATCGAACGGATAAATTCTGACACAAGTTCTAGGTTACTCACAGTGAACAATCTAACGGATAAATTCAAAGAGATGTTCTATGTTACTTACAGTGGACAATCTATCGGGAAAATTCTAACACATGTTCTATGTTACTTACAGTGGACAATCCAGCGGGTAAATTCTAACACATGTTCTATGTTGCTTACAGTGGACAATCTATCGGGTAAATTCTAACACATGTTCTATGTTACTTACAGTGGACAATCCAGCGGGTAAATTCTAACACATGTTCTATGTTACTTACAGTTGACAATCTATCGGGTAAAATCTAACACATGTTCTATGTTACTTACAGTGGACAATCTAACGGATAAATTCAAAGACATGTTCTATGTTATTTACAGTGGACAATCTAACGGATAAATTCTAACACATGTTCTATGTTACTTACAGTGGACAATCCAGCGGGTAAATTCTAACACATGTTCTAAGCTACTTACAGTTGACAATCTATCGGGTAAAATCTAACAGGCCCTGTGCTGAAAACGATATTATATGTGTTTTGATTATTAGGATGAAAGATATATTATGGTGATAAAACACCTACTCACCAAAACCTCCCCTGCGTTCTGATCTCTGTCCACGTCATACTTGATAAGCAGCTCTTTGTTGACCCCGTTCTTGCCAAGAAGTTTCTGTTGGTCAAGTGACGGGTTGTATACGATGTATCGGCTGTTAGGACTTGGTGACAATACGGACACACCAATCTCCTCTGTGAAAACACAGTGAGTGAGACATGACAATGAGTAAGTCATGACATGACAAGGAGTAAGTCATGATATGACAATGAGTAAGTCATGACATGACAATGAGTAAGTCATGACATGACAATGAGTAAGTCATGACATGACAATGCGGAAATTCAGGTTTGAAGAACGTTGAAGTGTGCCCATCTTATTATTGATATCTGGCTCAGTTAATTTAGGGTAGGTGGACGGTTGGGTGGAGTTTGGGGGAGAGGTGGAAGTCGATATATGCAACGAAATATGCCATGCAAAGTTGCGTCTCCTTGGCCTAGAAAGCATTTGATCAAGGGTTCGAATGCCAGATTCGCCCTAACTATAGTCATTGGGTTGTCAGTACTATATGCGGTAGAGCACCTGCACAACTTCGTGCTTTACTCCGCCGTAATAGAACTGAAATGCACCTCAACGATATGTTAAACTCACTCACTCACACATTTAGGGCTTAGCTGTATTAGCTACGGGTGGACAGGGGTGTGTAAAGGGATTTCGTCAAAGATAAATATTTGCTTAGGCCATTCTTGCGACTCACGAATTGTATTGATCTATCTATTTATCTAGGAGTTTATGATGTTAACATTAACTGATGCTTGATAAGTACTGCACTTACATAATGCACTCAACACCTGCATGAAGTACTAAGATCTTACATGATGCACTCAACACCTGCATGAAGTACTAAGATCTTACATGATGCACTCAACACTTACATGACGTACAAAGATCTTACATGATGCACTCAACACCCGCATGAAGTACTAAGATCTTACATGATGCACTCAACACTTACATGACGTACAAAGGTCTTACATAATGCACTCAACACCCGCATGACGTACAAAGATCTTACATGATCCACTCAACACCTGCATGACGTACCAAGATCTTACATGATGCACTCAACACCTGCATGACGTACACAGATCTTACATGATGCACTCAACACCTGCATGAAGTACCAAGATCTTACATGATGCACTCAACACCTGCATGAAGTACTAAGATCTTACATGATGCACTCAACACCTGCATGGCGTACCAAGATCTTACATGATGTACTAAACACTAAATGGAGTTCTCAAAAATAAACTTTAACATGGTGAACCCAACACCTGCAGAGAACAGCGTGACGTTTAAAAAACCTGCATGACGTACCAAACACATTGCTGTTTTCCCCACTTGGAAACTCGGTTGTCGCTGCCGTGATGACCCGGCTGTCCTCGATGAAGACCTCAACCTTCACCTCACGCACCAGTTGACCCGGGTTCACGTGAATTCTCTGTTCATACATCCCCTTGCAACGTGGCAACAGCTGCTGATAGGTCAGATTGAAGGTCACACTACTTCCAGGCTTCAAGTTCACCGACACGTCAAACTTGTTTGAATGTCTCGCACTATAACAAAACAATATTCAGTTCCATTAGCACAGTGTACAACCCCACAGATCACGTGGCATTCCAGCTCCCAACTTGGAATCTAACCTAACCCAAATCGACAAATCTATCTACAGACAAGTGCTCTCTATCTTCAGGTACTTCTGCCGTAGGCTTGTGGTCGACGTCGAAATATTACCTAGAAAATAGGCAAAACTGTAATACAAAATGATCTCCACTTTCACCTGAATGTAATGCCTATCCGTAGCTGAGGAAGAATATATGCAAAATCGATACAATGTTAACCCTAAACATAACAATTTTATCGAATTGTTGTCATCAACGTACAAAAAACTGCTGAAATAGCTTTGTTGTCATAGGCATATTTTGTTTTAAAACGCGCAATTGTCTCTGAACTGATTACTTAACCGCAAAGTATAGAGTGTGTGATGTCAACCAATGCGATTTGTTAACACACTCAATGATGCGATTTAATCATTTTGTTGTGTTCCTCTTTATACATGCATACAAGTTGTTCTATGGAACAATACCCTGCAGCATCATGAATATAACACTTTATCATACCTCCATGTCAGAATGGTGAGATTGGTCACGTGATTGGTCACGTGATCTTCATACTATATTATGTATCCGCCAGCGAGGGAAATAAATGACTGAGCGGAAGAATGAATCCCTTATACCCCACAACGAAGAAGACAGGTTGAAACATGGACTTTTCAGCGGGAGAATAAATCCTTTACACACCCCGCTTCGAAGCAAACACCCTCACGCTTTTTCCGAGTCAATGAAAGTCACGTGACATAGCAAATGTTGACCTCAACTCATTCAAAGAGCTGTCAAATTTGTATTTATTTATTTTTACATTATCAGATTGAAACTTGTCGGTAAGGTAAATCGAGGGTTACGCATAAACCGCATGTACCCTTGGTGATACTGTTACAATTTATAAAGTGATGGAAATGCTTTTCTTCCGGAAAACCCATGATATGAAGGAGCTAGTCATGATTAGGGGTTGATAGTCCTGCACCATGACCGTGGAATATATTTATTTTATGAATAAAATAAATCTAGAAACGCATACAAAAGCAAGTCTAGCCAGCTCAAGCTAGCTCTGAAATCAGCATAGGGTGGGTTTTTTAGAGTCAAGAAGGATATTGTGTAATATATGATTTCAGAGACTAAATGTTAGTCTAAGGGGTTGACTTTTAAGTTTGATATTCTGGTCAGAGCGGTAAAAAATACAATTAATACGCCCGTAATTAATAGGAACAATAAGCTAAGAGGTTCACTATTAATGATGCTTTTCCGTTCAAAGCGATAATAAACACAATAAACACACCTGCAATTAGGGAATAATAAGCTGTTTTGGTTTTTGGTACTCTAGAGGCTTTTTATTTTTAAAAAGTTGTCATTAGGTTTTATACAAAGACAACAATTTCATGTCATAAAATGTCTCAAACAGATACTAGAGGATAATACAGGGTGTGCTGACGGTAGCGTCAAACAACAAACAAGCAGGGTATGAATGAATTAACATAGGGCGGTTACACTGACGTTGATTTGATGTAGCCAGCACTCTCCCCGCGGTCCTTGGCCTGTTGATAGGAAGTCAAGGCCTTTTGTTTCTCCTCCACGCGACCGACGTACACCTCTCCATCCACAGTCCTACAAGGAAAATGTTCACCATGTGACAATACATCGTCAATAGTTCAAGGGATTGTATACAGCACGTCCCTCCATCAGTCTATGGGGGACTACACAGTGACCTGCGGCACCTTAGACAAATAAGACACAAATGAAATAATTTCTGAACATTTAAGTCCAAATTTATAATTTAAATTCAAGATTTATTATACTTGGTCCTGCTCTCTTTGGGTTTTCCTTTACCACAGGGAGAAGCTGGCAAACATTAAACCAACTTAAAGATGTAAAGAATTATCTATGTATACTACTCAACATTTCATAAGCATAATCAGATTTATCATTCAAATTAAATATGCACTTGACATACATATATTATGAGAACCAGTTTTGTGTATCATGGAGAGATAACAAATATCCCTATCAAAAGTCGAGAAGTATATTTACACGAACAAGAGACTTCTAAATGCCCCGGGATCTTAGTCTTTGTGCAGATGTTTCCAAAATATACGGGGCGGTCGGAAGCTTAATGGTTAAAGCGTTCGCTCGTCACGCCGAAGACACGGGTTCCATTCTCGACATGGGTACAATGTGTAAAGCCCATTTCTGATGTCCCCCGCCGTGATATTGCTGGGATATTGTTAAATGCGGCGTAAAACCATACTCACTCACTCCAAAATATACATGGAAGTCGTATGATTATAACAATTGAGTGAGTTGTATTTAACGCCACTTTTAACAGTATTACAGTTATATCGCGGCGTGTCAGCTTAATGTGGGAGGAAAGCCCGAAGTGATACCGGTCTCAGACGTTAACCATTCGGTGAAACCCACGAACACGGGTATGGTGCTGACAAACCTAGAAACATAATCGGGGCGAACCGGGATTCGAACCCACAATCATAGGTTTCTGGCGTGCCCAGAGGACGCAACTCTGCACGGCGAATCGCGGCGCCTTAGATGACATGGCCATCGGTGCCCCCCATGCGTATAACAATGGGAATAGTGCTTAACTTAATCAGATTGTATATGAGAGCCATAAATCTTACATGGAGAAGTTGGAGATAAAGGCTTCCTCGGGCAACACGACTTCAAACACTGCCTCGCGGCTCTGTGTTCCATCGTCGTTGATGACGGTGCTTGCGACTACGGTGGAGGCAAACCGGTAACGGATGTGAGAGCGAACCAGGAAGGATTTCACGGTCAGCTGAAACACGAAGAGAATGGAATGAACTTGCACGTGTGTACAGGTAGTGAAACACGGTAATTATCTGTATAATGACATCATATCCAAGGATTCCACGACCTGCCGGAACTCGGAGGGAGTGACCGGGAACTTGGACGTGTGTACGGGAGGAGTAGCAAGGTTTTATGTAAGTATGACAACACTATTTAAATGGGGATTTCACATTAAGCTGAAACACAAAGAAGTTGATCGTGAACGGTCACGTGTGTACAGGAGGTGCAATGACGATGTTGTAACATGATGACATTCTGAAATTCAACGTTATTTTCACTTATTTAATTAGTCTTTATGCATTAATCAACAATATTGGGTCAGCACATTCACTATAAGAGGGTTGAAATTAATTAAGTGACTTCGTAACGGAATTCATTGAACTATGTATTTGTATATTTAAGAGTGTAAGCGATACTGGACGTTGCCAACGACTCTATGACGTACTCACTCGGTGATATGTTTTAAAATAAGTAACACGACTGCTAAACACAGTTTGCTTCACTAATTAGTTACATACATCTATCACTAAGTCTTGTACATAAATTGTGATCACCAAATGTACCACCTACCCTTTCTAGAAAGCTGAAATTAAGAAATTACAGCTGTACATAATTATATTGATTCTCACACTTGTAACAGTTGTTTACATCTTTTCCTTCTCGGAAGAGATGTTGTCATGTGATATTACTGGCGAAGAAGTTCTTAAAATGGAACAAAGCAGCGGATGATGACGATTTTCCTCTTGGATTTGTTAAATCTTTGGGTGATTTCTTATTTCCTTATTTGACAGACGCATTTAATTTAATGAGGTACTTAGTGATGCACATCCCGAGTTCAGGCCCGGCTATTTACAACTGAAAATATATTGACGTTAAATGCTCTGTGTTCTAATATTTCTGTAAGCTCAAAGGCCGTCCTTACTGCGCCTCTATATACTGAAGTAGGCGTTCGACCTTGTAGATAGGAAAAAGCGCGTATATTTGTTACATATCAAAGGATGTCATGGGACAACGTATTTTATTTTAAAAGCAGTTATGAGTGAGTTGCTCTGTGTGTGAAAACTTTTGTGAGACAAAGGGCTATAATGCCACATCAGGTGTGCACCAGGGCTGCGTCCTGAGTCCGCTACTTTTCATTGTATTTTAAAAATGATACTATTTATGTGACATGCAGTAATGGGATATTTGTAACTCGGGAAAATTGGGATCTACATTTATTTTTTTCTCTTTATGATGATATAGGTGTTTTCTTATACTGTGAATTGTCTAGTAAGCAACTTGACACTCTGCAGCAGGTTTGTAACACTTTGGTGCCTTGAGTTCAACTTAGGCAAGTCATAAGTATTTAGGAATGGTGATACAGTTGCACAAAAGGAAAAGTGGTCGTTTCGTAAAGTTGTTTCTTATCATATATATTTAGGTTAATGTTTTCTTGTCGGCTAAATTGATCAATGGGCTGCAAAAGGCTAAGGAAGCTCGAATCCCAATGCAGAAACTATGTAAAAAAACAAGTTTGTTACATTTTTAACAGCCAGTATGCTTCTTGTAGACAAATATCACCAATTCTTGTACATGGTGTCGAGATTTGGGGCACCAGGTCTTTTGAAGAAATTTAAAAGGTTCATGCGTCATATCTTAAAAGAAATCTTGCTGTTGCAATTGGAAAAGTTTGCTTCGAGTAAGCCTATACTTTGGGAGACGCGCTACACCATGTTTACTCAAACCCAGATTAAATTCTGATTACACTTATACATATGCCACATTATCGGTACGCTTACCAGCGTTATCGGTCGCAATATCTTTAGATAATAGTGGCAAACACACATGGGCATCTGATGTCAGAACACTTATTTTCTTGTGTTTTTTCTTATGCTTGGATTGCTCAAGATGTTGGGGATAAGTTATTATTTGTTTATGTCTCTGTAAACGACTCGTTGATATTTTCGTTCAAGGTTGGTCAGAAAGTGCTAGATCTTCTCATTTTCTTTCACATTATGCTTCCATTACATCTGTTTATACATGAGACATATTTGCCATTACATGATACACCCCTTCCATGAGCTGTGTATGTGTTTAGAAACTGTTTACAATGTTTCAAAACACAAAACATTAGTAAGAACAAAGATATAGACCATTCACATATTATTTGTAACATTGTAAATCTAAATGATGAAAATACTATTAAGTCAGTAGCTATACATTTTCCGTCACATTTCTAAACCTTGTTAATTTAGCAAATGTCCTTTCAGTCAACTGACTACAACTATATATTGTCGTTTCAACTATCCTCTGGGCCACGAGGCGGAAATACTGAATGCACATGTCTGTCTGTCTGACTGTCTGTCTGTATGTCTGACTGTCTGTCTGTCTGTCAGTGGTTGAATGAAATAGCTAGGGCATTATTTCATTGAAGTCACAGCGTGTCTGTTTAAAGGAGGAGGAAAGTGCTATAGACGTGTTCCGTGTTAGTGTAACCTTAAGCACGGGTATAGCAATGTGCAGGCGATTTGATGACATTAATCAGGTTGAAACACGCACGGATAAATAATCACTACCCTAAACAGCCCAACGTTGCCAGTCAATTACGCAGTATGAAATTCACTCACATGAGTGCGTGCCGCGACATCGCCAGGGCAGGAAATGCATACGATAACACTAAAGCCTTTCAGATGTCTCTCATGCGCGTTTCCCTCACTGTGTGTAACAGTCAAATATTGTTCATCGCCGAAGCGAGAATCCGTATGGACAATGGTATATTATTATATTGATATTGATAAATGTGCTTGCATTACGTTGGGAATACGGTTTAGAATAGTTCCTTTGTAACCTATGTATTGTTGTCGTTGGGGGCAACTAAATGGATCAGGTAGTCATACTCTGTGACTCGGTTGATTGCATGCCATCCTACACCGACGGTGTTGAACGGTGTTCATGGTATCAACCACTGATTTGAAAGGGTAGATTAATGATGTTCTAAACAACATCTAAATGGATCAGATTTAATGACTTGGCTCTTTGCGCGTCATCCCACGGCAACGCCGTTGAATGGTGCTCACCATATCAACCACTGATTTGAGAAACAAGAGTATTGAATGGTCGTCTTAAAGTATATATTAAAGTATATATTCAACACAACCAGTCAAACAGAAGAAATAGAGCATTACCTGATTTGCGAACACTGGTCCAATATAAACCACCGTTCCCAGCAATGCAAGGGTCACGTGACCAAACGCCTGCAGCATCTTAGACTGAACCAAGCTCCAGTGGCTGACTGTGTCAAACTGATTCCCAGCCCTCACTACATCAACATTTATAGCCGGGAATCCTCAAGGCCGACGACTTGAATTTCAGGATATGATTCAAACAATGAACAACATTCGGTGGGAATGGGTGAATTTGTCCAATGGGAGACTGATCACGTGGAGGTCAGCGGTCACGTGGAGCAGCTAGGATGTAATAATCAACGCACTCCGTTTGTACATGTGACATGACCGAATTTCGCTGCCTTTATCGTCTGGCGTGTATGATCTTACATCAACACTCCAGCCAGGCTTTGGTTCGTTTGAGACCTACAATTCTATCATCCCTTTTTCTTTAAAACCCTCTTAGTGTGTGAGTGTGTGTGTGTGTGTTAGTGTGTTTGTGTTAGTGTTAGTGTTAGTGTGTGTTAGTGTGTGTGTGTGTGCGTGCGTGCGTGCGTGCGTGCGTGCGTGCGTGCGTGCGTGCGTGCGTGCGTGCGTGCGAATGTGTATGTGTGTCTGTGTGGGTTTGAGGGGAGGGGAGAGGGGAAAGATTGGTATTTCTGTATGTCTGTCGCCTTATTATACCCTTTCATATCTATTGTGTAATAAATATTTCGTTCGCAAATACAAGTTGCAAAGTTTACAATAGTTAGAGGTGGGCGAGGTGAAACGAGGTGTAAAGTCGCGTTGAAGATTATTGCACTTGTAATCATATATAGATGTACAATCACGCATGTTGTGGCTGCTTGTAATAGTCCAGATTAATGCTAGTTTTCTGTGCTGGCCCACTAAGATACCATGCAGCAACATTGCACTCAGACACAGAATTCTGACTCCGACCCGGCCTTTCCTTGTTATATCCCCTTAATGCTGTTATAGTGCGCCATTTGGACTATTATTCCTTAAAGGCAATTTAGGAAATTTATAAAAATCAAATGTTTTGTGCTTAACATATTTGGACTATTTTCTATCATTGAAAATGTCACAATCAGTGTCACTGTCACGTCAGGGCAACTCTCAAGCAACTTGTCATGCAACAAAGTGGTCACTGTGAGTCACACATTCAATCCTTTATTTAACCCCTTAAGTACATTGCCGCCTTAATTAGCATAGCCTAGGGCTTAATCCCCTTCTGCTTCTTTAGGTAAATAAATTCAAGTTTCCTTCCAATGGAAATTTCTTAGGTTAACAATATGAGCATTGTTAAATCTAGGAACAACACATGAAAAGATAGTATTTGTCAATTCAATGTCAGCCATAAATATTAAACAATAAAGATACAGCTCGACCAATCAGAGCATTCTATCTCATTTACTTTTTGGGTGATATAAGAGAAAGGCAGAGCTATCCAAATCCAACTGTCCAGCTTATCATCTGTTTTGTGTATTACTCATACTTTGATATCACTGTAAACTTTTCTGTTTAAACTAATGATGAATATATAAGACTCTGCTCTTGTCGCACAGGGGGCACGGGTGGCCCAGTCGTCTTAGGCGCCGCGATTCGCTGTGCAGAGTTGCGTCCCTTTGGCACGCCAGAAATCTATGATTGTGGGTTCGAATCCCGGTTCGCCCCGATTATGTTTCTAGATTTGTCAGCACCATACCCGTGCCAGTGGGTTTCACCGAAGTGGTAAACGTCTATGACCTGCATCACTTCGGGCTTTCCTCCCACATTAAGCTGACACGCCGCGATGTAACTGGAATACTGTTAAAAGCGGCGTTAAACCAAACTCACTCACTCACTCACTCTTGTCGCACACGTTGCTCCATGTCATCTGTATCGCCATTATTCTTACTTCTACTTCAAGGACCAGTTAGCTTGAGACGAGCGGATTGGTGGAGAATGCGGGACGAGTAACCTTTGAGCTTACTTCTGATACAGTAATCACTCTTTTTGCCTACAATCCTGAAGGCTAATCATCAACTCAAGTCATGAAGAACAAAGAAACAAGATTAAAGAACCAACAAGAACCTAGATGAACTAGATCAAGAACATGCCTTTTTTACAGACAGTCAATTAAGGTAACAAATGAATGTGTCCGGTTCGGGAAAAGCTTGAAGCTGATATTATTGAACCAAGTGAATCTGAATGGAGATCTCCCATTGCCATGGTCCGCAAGAAAAATGGAAGCTACTGCTTTGCTGTAGACAACAGGAAGTTAATTGTCGTCACCAAAGGTATGTATTTCCTTCCGCCGCGGTTTGAAGATGTAATTGATTTAGTGGGACATGCACAAGCAAAGTCCTTTGCATTTGCAGAGCATTTAGTTCATCTGATGTGCGAGGTGCGGGTCTTACGCTGAAGCCAAAAAGGTAAGCTACCTGGGAGACATTTTCACAAGGGAAGGCATTGAGGCTCATCCATTGAAAGTTGAAACCATATCTTCTTTTCCACAACCAAAACTCAGTAGCATATTCGCCAATTTCTTGGTCCTGCAGATTATTATTGCAAACATGACAAGAACGTTTCTAAAAAGAATGTTCCGTTAAAAGATTATTTCAAAATAATACAACATGTTAATGGTTAGCTGAATACCAATCTTTCCTTGATTCCATAAAAAGTGCAAAAATCAATGTTTTGCTTGTCCCAAACTGGATAAGTGTTTATATTAACCATTAATACATCATTTTGGGTAACAGAAGAACAGGACAGATCTATCCAAATCCAACTGTCCAACTTATCATCTATTTGATGTATTACACATACATTGCTATGATTGTAAGCGTATCAGTTTGAACTAATTATGTATATATAACACCCTGCTCCTGTAATAAACTTTCGAACGCACAAGTTGCCCATGTCATCTGTATCACCGTATTCTTACTTCTACTTTAAGGTAAGGCCATTTTATGTGATGTTACCGAAATATCATTGATTCTCAAAGTTTACTTTATTTTTATTTAATTTAACATAATTTGTGAGCACATGTATATTCATATATTCTTGAATAAACCACTCCAATCGTGAGGAGTATGCTAGGATGCTCTGTTTCACGTGTCACTAGGGAAGCACGCTTTTCAGTAACGTGAATGCTACAGTCATTCTAAAATAGAGGTATCATTAATATAACATATACTCAGGTGACAATACTAGTATTTCGTGAGTATATGTCTTTGTATGCACTCCATATAGCCATGTTCCAGCTTAGTTACTTCAACTGATGTACTTATTTATAACAATTAATTTTTGTAGTAATGTATTTATTCCTTTTGTTTACAACTTATCATATATTTTATGTATTACTCATATATTGCTAGCACTGTAAACTTAACAGTTTGAACTAATTATGTATATCATAGACTCTGCTCCTATGATAAAGTTTGGAACGCACGCGTTGCTCTAAGTCCTCTGTGTCTCAATGCCGAGAGCCAGGCAGGGTAACACCAAATACCAAGTCTTTTGATATGGCGCAGTCAGGGATCGAACCACCAGTTTAAGCTCTCCGGGCAGACGCCTAATCTACATCGTTTAGAAAGAAATTGTAAGTAATACATCACTTGCTTTTGTATGTGTTTGCGGCATATGCCAGTGGTGGGTCAGGAAACGGTCATCTTTACGCGAACACTATCATCACTACTCATAAATACATGCTCATGATATGGTCGGAATCATACAACGAACTCTACTGTTTGCAGGGAAATGGTTTATCATTTCAAGAAACAGTTTGCTTACAGCAAAGTTTTTTCAATCACGCTTTCGCCATCAAAGGCCTGGCCAAGTTATTCTAAACATTTATGGTAGACATTCAGAGGAATTTTGTTATTGAATTTTGTCATATCTTATCTTTTATGGATTGAATGTCTATTTTGTTCGGTTCATTGAGGTATGAATCTAAAAACCGATGTGCAAACTGTATGAATCCGCGTTTGCCTCAATGAACCGAAAAAAGTACACAGTCAAAGCTTATAATTAAATTCAACAACGTGAAACATGTTTTATCTACAATAGTTTAACCCAAAACAGTTGTATATATCAAAACAGACAAAAATGACGAGATTGATAAACATTCCAGGTTTAGGAATACATACTGTGGCGTGACATGAATCACTTGATCGTTTAATTAATGCACATAACTTGACACGCCTACACAGACAGTATCCAATCAACGGAGAGTAGGATCAAAACAATGTTCATTGGACCTGTCAATTAAGGCAACTGCAACAGTCAGACTGTAACGAACCGGGAAAAAATATGTCCGGGAGAAGGCGGCTGTTTCAAATAACATGGTCAGTTAACGCAAGATTCAAACATTACTTCCCTGATTACAGAAAAACACAGTTGGAAAAATGCTAGTTAGAAATGAAACCCGAAGACATGAAAGTTAAACTGAGGCGAGCGGGGGGAAAACAGACGAGCGAGCCTGCACGTTTGCTGTTTCATTCATTCTCGGCCTTCGGTTTCAAAGGGTAGTTTGGACAATGAATATGCATGAAAGTCGCTAAATGTTCTGTGCATGACGATACACGTAAGCAGAAAGGGAATTCACTCGACTGTAATATTGGGATTCCCCGACATTCCGCAGTAATAAAAGAAGTGCGCCTCGGTAGGCGTGGCTTAATTTTTTACATTCATTGGGAAGTGAATGCAATAACACGTGACCAATTCAACTAATCAGAATGCAGGAATTTCAATAAACACAACGAAAATTTAATTATTTGGAGGTAAAATCTATTTACAGTCTAGTTGTACTGCTTCTAGTATTACTGTCATTGCCAGGCACCAGATGGAGTGAGCACTTGAGTGAGCAAGTTGGGTCTAAGACCAAATCAAATTGCCCTGTATTCATGTCTCGATTCCATTGAATTTATCGAAGGATCACCTGACCGATGCCGAACCCGCTTTCAGCAGAGGCATATTGATTGGATGTTGATTTCAAGCTGAAGAGGTGAGAAATTCTGTCATACCCTGATGATGAGAGAGGCGGAGGCCCAAACTGCAGTACACAGGAAAATCTAGAATGCATCATCAGAATTTCAAACAGTTTGTTGACTCAGGTACTGATCTATTACCAGTTTGATGAAACATCCAAGTGGGTAGGATGTTGACAAAACTAGTATCCTAGTATCTCGTAAATTGTCTTGATTAACAACCTTCAAGAACACGAATATAACGGTTCAGGATTATAAAGAGTTTTTATCTGAAGACTCTGGTCACAAGGGCATGAAGTGTTCTTCATATTTGTTCAACATTGTTTCAAGATGCTAACAGGGGGGCACGGGTGGTCCAGTCGTCTAAGGCGCCGCGATTCGCTGTACAGAGTTGCGTCCCTTGGGCACGCCAGAGACCTGCATCACTCCGGGCGTTCCTACCACATTAAGCTGACACGCCGTGATATAACTGGAATACTGTTAAATGCGGCGTTAAACCCAAGTCACTCACTCACTCAAGATGCTAACAAACCAAACTTCATAATCAGGGCAAACCTGTGACTTGAAACCCATGGTCAGCAGATCCTTTCTCAACTTGACAGGGAGTTGTCTTAGACAACAAAGAGGTGCACAGACAAATGTATGGTCTTTAAACCAATTGGCCGGCCATCTGTGCACATTGTACCAGGATGGGGAATATAACAGATTTACGGTTTTTTCTGAGTTGATTCCACACAAGCATCACACTGCCCCTAAACTTAATTCCGTCTCTTGTGTTTCTTTGTTTGCTGTTCAACACTCCATTCAGCAATATTCTAGCTGTATGATGGTAGCCTGTAAATAACTGAGTCTGGCCAGACAAACACGTGGTTGATATTATGAGCAACATCCCATGACATCGGGTAATATGACAGAGCTTCCTCAGCACTAAGATTATCAAAACTCACATACTTTAACATAGACGACAATCCCAGTGCTATGATCGCTCTGGGTATGTATCTATTCAGCTCTGTAAAACACAAAAAAACACTTCCTGAATTTACATTTCAATTTATTCTTTTTCAAATGACCACATTTTATTCTGAAGATAACATGGTGTGTACAATGATGTGATGTAGGATGACACCCTAGTATGTACAAGGTCAACTAAGTTCACACCAGTCTCTTGTACATTACAATACAACATAATAAACATCAGGGAGCACACACAAAACAAATTCATACAATATTCCAAAAAGTAATAAGTTCTTATGCAATCAGAACACATAGTGGATGAGAATGAAATATCTCGGATGTTTCGGTTAATTTTGTTTCGAAAACTGACTGATTTCAGTCAACCTTGAATAAATGTGTGTGACAAATCCTGTCTCTTGGATCTGTCAGTTTGATGAGAACTGAACTGAACCTGCTCCGATTAAACATGTCAATTAGTAACACACAATGTCATTCAGAAAGTGGTCAAATGTAACAAATGTCCACAAATGCCGGACTTTCAGTTTTGTGGAAGCCTCGGTGGCTAAGTGGGTTAGATAGCTGACTTTGTGTGCTGGCGATTAGGTGCCTCACTCTGGCAGTGTGGGTTCGAATCCCGGACGGGACTCAACCCAAAAAAGTACGATAATCTGTACTTTACAAAGAAAGTGTTTTCCCAAATATGACATGTGTTATGTCAGTTGAGAGTGGGTATTGATTGCATGAACAATGCATCTGATCCATGCTGTCAGGTCATGAGGACACAGGTCAGTCAGGTCACAATTCATGACCAAGCAACTTTCAGTAAGGACTAGATAATTTATGGATGACCACTACCTACTCTTTTTGCAAACACCTGGTGTCATCACTGACTTTCAGTGGTCCATTCATATAATTTTCACGGCTATATTACGCCTAATGGAATCTGTTTCAGCGGATACTCTAGACTGGTTATTCTCTTACATTGCATATGAAAACATGGATCTATCGAAAGCCTACGCATCGATGCATATCAGGCTATATAACCATGTCTGCCGATACCAGTTAGAAGTCGGTATCAGCTTATTCAACATGATGATGAAATTGCACAATTATTTTTTTCAAAACCTAACCAGGATTGAGGCAATCTAGACTTGCGTTGGACTCCAATTTTATTTTTATTTTCCCTAGGCTCGGGGAGAAAGATTAGGCAACACACTCACCGTTCACGAAGATGACGCTCTCAAACGCTCTTATGCCGTGCCCGCTCATCTTCAACTAAAAGAATCGTTCAGGGTCGTTTCGTTGGCAATGAGATTGTGACAGTACGCTAATTTCCACAAGTAAATCATAACGTTAATGGTGGTCATAATTACAGATCGGGGTTACATAGTCTTCGAGAACACCCATGCACTCGTCGAGTCCGAACGTAGATTGGAGATAAACCTACGTGTGTGTGTGTGTGTGTGTGTGGTGTGTGTGTGTGTGTGTGTGTGTGTGTGTGTGTGTGTGTGTGTGTGTGTGTGTGTGTGTGTGTGTGTGTGTGTGTGTGTTTATGTGTATATGTAGCGTTCATGTGATTATTTAAGAATAGGGAGTGTTCATGTGGTGATTTACGTTCATATTATGTCGCAGTCTTGTGTGATGTATTATGTAATGTTTACGTGGTGATATATGTAGTGTTCATGTGAAACATGTAGTGTTCACGTGGTGATATATATGTGGTATTCACGTGATATATGAAGTGTTCACGTGGTGATATATGTGTGGTATTCACTTGATATATGAAGTGTTCACGTGGGGATATATGTGTGGTGTTCACGTGATATATGTAGTGTTCACGTGGTGATATATATGTGGTATTCACGTGATATATGTAGTGTTCACGTGGTGATATATATGTGGTATTCACGTGATATATGTAGTGTTCATGTGATACATGTAGTGTTCACGTGGTGATATATGTGTGGTATTCACGTGATATATGTAGTGTTCACGTGGTGATATATGTGTGGTGTTCACGTGATATATGTAGTGTTCACGTGGTGATATATATGTGGTATTCACGTGATATATGTAGTGTTCACGTGGTGATATATATGTGGTATTCACGTGATACATGTAGTGTTATTGTGATACATGTAGTGTTCACGTGGTGATATATGTGTGGTATTCACGTGATATATGTAGTGTTCACGTGGTGATATGTAACGAAATCCTATTGGTGATGCTTGGCCTTCTTTCAACTTTGGTCCTCCGTTCAGCACACGTCTCCTCCCGAGTGGGTGGCAAGGAAGTTGCTGATTTGGATTGGGGCCGTGTTGCCGTAAACTGCCAGTTTCCGGATTATTGGGCGTGCCCACATTAGCGACTGTGGTAGAGCGCTTTGATGACGACAGTCTTGCTCAGAAGCTTTTGCCATGAGGTCACACACGACCTAGGGCAACAGGCAAATTCATAGAGATATTGGTAACTTTGTTTGTGCCATATTCCGAGTGGCCTGCAGTGGCCAGCTAGTATACATTTCTGTATTACCCAGGACAACAACCTCTTCAACCATCACCAGGATCCACTGGTCGTCGATATAATTAGAAATTGATTTCAATGTATTTATTCTGCGGTTATGAGGGTATAAACGCAAAATGTGTGAATCCGTCTTGTGGTTTTATGCCATATGTGTAAATACGTAGAGCGGATTTATGCCAAATGTGTAAATCGGTCTAGAGGATTTATGCCAAATGTGTAAATACGTAGAGCGGATTTATGCCAAATGTGTAAATCCGTCTAGTGGATTTATGTGAAATGTGTAAATACATCTAGAGGATTTATGCAAAATGTGTAAATACGTCTAGTGGATTTAAGCAAAATGTGTAAATACGTCTGGTGGATTTATGCCAAGATTTATGCCAAATGTGTAAATACGTAGAGCGGATTTATGCCAAATGTGTAAATCCGTCTTGTGGATTTATGTGAAATGTGTAAATACGTCTAGTGGATTTAAGCAAAATGTGTAAATACGTCTAGTGGATTTATGCAAAATGTGTAAATCCGTCTAGTGGATTTATGCAAAATGTGTAAATACGTCTAGAGGATTTATGCCAAATGTGTAAATACGTCTAGTGGATTTATGCAAAATGTGTAAATACGTCTAGTGTATTTATGCAAAATGTGTAAATACGTCTGGTGGATTTATGCAAAATGTGTAAATACGTCTAGTGGATATATGCAAAATGTGTAAATACGTCTAGTGGATTTATACAGAATGTGTAAATACGTCTAGTGGATTTATACAAAGTGAGCACATTGGTTTTTACGTTTATACTTCCATAAACGCAACGTAATATTGAAGGCGATTCTTATAAAATAAATAAATAAGTCAACAATAATAACTTCACAGAATACTTTTTTAATCATTAAAATAAAAAACAGTAGACAACGATAAGAAATCAATTACATCGATAACCATTAAATAAACACCGCCCAGTCTAAAATCCGCTAATGCCGAAACAGTAATTGTCGGCGTGGCCATATTTTTTTATTATGATCTTTTATGGTCAACCGACATTGTATCACTTGCATTTTATTAATACTGATACTATGATTTTTTATTTGTATCTGAGCCTATTAATAGTTTGTCTTTCTTCATACGTTGTCACACTGTGAAGTGACATGCTGTACGCGCTGACTCTTCAGGTATATTGTGTTGGCGTGTGTACAAAACTGCCACAGTAAACAAAAGATATGGAGGTCTAAACAGTACATCGGAGATGCCAAAGTAATAACAATACCGTGTAACATCCGAGAGGTTGAATAAGCATAAATATGAGTAGCATTATAAAGGCAAGAATATCAAGTCAATATAATGTTGTGGAGGCTAGTTAACATACAAATGATAAGGTGCCATTTCTTCAAAGGCCGTTTGGGAGCAATCTTTTTGCTGATGATTCCGAAGAAATTAAATTCCCCAACGACTGCAAAAAACATTTCCATTATTCCTGGGCGTTAGCATGATGGAAAATTCACTTTGCTAAATTTTCTGACAAAAGCGACAAAACCATTCCTATAATGATTGACGGTGCTAAAGTCAAAGACTATTGTACGATTCCGACTATGTCCTAAAGAAATGAACTTCTAAATATGTCCCTCCGACAGGTACACACAAAAACAATTCTTTCAATCTGACCTCGTAATGTTTTCATCAGCTATTACTGTCTCATCATTTTTCAATTTGCAAACATTAGTTCTATAATCCGTATTCTAATCTTCCTTTCAAGGAATACCTATCATATTAAAAGTCCTTTTACTCCGATACAATACCTCCCTATGTGTAGATTTTTCAACCCATCCGCAGTAGGTGGGTTCAGGCGAACCCTAAGCAAACTTTAACTGCCTATCAGATTGATGAGCCAATCAGATGTTAGCTTTCTAAAACAATGCGGCTTCATGTCTTTAATTTTGAACTTATCAAAAGAAAACCACACAGAATATAAATATTCCTTCGAGAGTACTCCCTTTTGTGCGAGATACCATTGCGCCCAGAAACGATATTGTGTATAAAAAATTCACAACAATATAATGACGTGGCCTTTATTATTTACATTTCGAACTGGTCGACATACATAGGATAATCTGGTCTGAATGCTTCGCTCACCGCATCTTGAATAAAATGCCTCGATGCTTATTGTCTGATTAGATAGTTCACCTGACCCCACTTCTTATGGAGGGGTTCTGCGTTCTGCGATTTCAACGCAGAGAGGTATCAGAAGACACAGAAGTCTACTTCCAAACACTTCATGGGTGCTTCCTTCACCTAGACCTCACAAAAGTCCTTCAAGTATTTATTTATGTGAAAAGATGCCAGCAGTACGTGGTCCTCCCCATTTACAAGTTGACGACAAGGGCAGACTGGAACAGGTACCCGGTCCCCTTCAGTCTCTTACTCTTGGAGTTGAGTTTTTCCACCCTGGAGGAAGCTCCGCACACCTGTGCTGTAAGATTTCTCCTAAGTTTTCTCCTTATCTTTCCTTTGATGTCCCTCTTATTTCTTCTGGCTGCAAACAAACCAATTGAAGCCGACTTGAATATGCAAGTATGAAGTGGTTGTGTAATTTGACTTGACACCCTCTGTTCAAAGCTGGTGCCCTTCATAACGCAAGACAAGGCATGAGTATGTTAATTAATGCCTGAAGTAACAGGTCAATGAATAGTAATGAACCCTTTTAAACAACAAAAAGACATGTCCAATGAAGCATTATATTTTCAAATCCCTACCTGACCCTGACCCCGCCCCCGCGGGTTGTGTCAGATGCACCATGATGAAGTATCTTGCAACACCCACTGTTCGCCTGCACTTCGCCTGCTTGTGGATTGTCACATGGCCTGTGGGCGTGTCCGGCGTCCGCCATACCCTGGAGTTGACGTCGGACGTGTTCATCACGACTTTGTAGGTCATGTTGGCATCTTTCAGGAGGATGTTGATCTCTTGTAGCAACACCCTTGAGGATACTCGCTTAAGAGTCGCTTGCACGTATATGTCTGAAAGCGTTACACCAGGGGGGGATTTTACACCAATATGTACTAATAAAATATCTTAAAATGAGTATTATATTTTCTAATAAAGGTAGTATCTTTACTCTACAAAGTAATATCTATACTCTTCAAAACACTGTCTGTGTTCGTCCAAGTACTATTTATACTCACCCGGATCTATGCTTATTGACGTATTAGCTTTACGTAAGTAGCTCACCATCATACCAATACTGTGCATACTCGTTCAAGTCCTATCAATACTCGTCCATGTTTTATCTCTAGACATCACAATACTATGCATACTCGTCTAAGTACTGTGCATACTCGTCCAAGTACTATCAGTACTCAGCCAGTTTTATCTCTAGACATCACAGTACTATCTATACTCATCCAAGTACTGTGCATACTCGTCCAAGTACTATCATTACTCAGCCATGTTTTATCTCTAGACATCACAGTACTATCTATACTCATCCAAGTACTGTGCATACTCGTCCATGTACTATCAATACTAATCCATGTATTATCTCCAGATATCACAACATTATCTATACTCGTCCACGAACTATCTATTCGTCCAAGTACTATCAATACCAAACCAACGGGCAGATTTTTAATGCTGTTTCAGGTGACTTTTTATGTTCTGTTCCTGGTGTATGTATGTGGCATAAGGCCACAACAGCGATGAATGTCTCAAGACGTAACTGTTTTGTGTATTAGCAGTAGAGTTCGTGTAAATATGATACCTACATTGCAACAGTAATTATATACAGGTAGGCAGGCTGAAATGGCTACGCACACTATTTCTACACTATTGCGATATTGAATTTTGAATTTCCATGCTTATTTGTACGCATGCAACGTAAAAGTTAAATCGGAAAAAGTGATTTACATTGTGTATTTTACGCAAATACGCAGCTCATCTTGAGCTCAGTCGTAAACCATGTGTATGTCTTCGGTGCAAATCTGCGACCAGGTTATTGTTCGTAATTCTATTTTGTATATGTACTCCACCTACTAGATTCAGTCGGTATTGTGGATGGTGCTGGGTAGATCTGGAATGTTCCTGGTTGAGCTCTGTGTGTTCTTGAACACATCTGTTTGTCTGTTGTCGTCCCAAAACCGTCCAAAAACATTTTAACTGAAAACCGAAAATAAACATATCTTCACTCGTTAAGCTTTAATACAAGCACTTCTGTAACAGGCATGCCAATCTCCTCGTTCTCGACCTTTGCAACATGTCTTAGATTAAGATGCGGAAATGCAACACCTCAGCCTCTGACTTTATAGTTCATTAAATCCTTTTTCCTGAAGACGATAACACGATGAACTGAAATTAATAAATTTTGTAATCTCGCAATCTTCAGTCAGAGCAAAACACATAAAATCGTGTGATGTTATTCCCTGGCATTTTAATTCTTGTCGCGCGAATGTGTAATAACATAAGACTATACGGTGGTCACTTTTTCAATCCCGCTGAAGCGCATCTTTCTATATATGTATATATAGACATATAGTAGTATTCAAAGTCTACTAAATAGCCTGCCGTCTAAACAAATAGAGCATCTGTTGTGACCTGTACATATAAATAAATAGTAACGTTCTGACACTCATCTGCTGGTAGTCTGAATAATGTAGCTCAAAGTGAAATCAAGTTCATTTCTCGTTCTTTGGGTGTGCTTTAGTGGACATAATTAAACATAACTGGTCCAGTGTAATATCACAAATGTATTCAGTGAGCAGGTAAAAGGCGGTGGGACAAACATATTGAGCAGATAATCAGTGAGACACACACCTTGATCAGGACATAAGCAGTGAGACATATGTCCTGAGCAGGAGAGAAGCAGTGAGACATATACCTCAATAAGGAGAGAAGCAGTGAGACATATACCTTAATCAGGAGTGACGCAGTGAGACATATGTATTAAACAGGTGTGATATACATGTGTTAAACAAGTGATGACCAGTGAGATATTTGTTAAACAGGAGATGACCAGTGAGATATATTTGTTAAACAGGAGATGACCAGTGAGATATATTCGTTAAACAGGTGATGACCAGTGAGATCTATACCCTGAGCAGGAGAGAAGCAGTGAGACATATACCTTGATCAGGAAAGAAGAAGTGAGACATATACCTTAATCAGGATATAATCAGCGAGACATATACCTTGATCAGGATATAATCAGTGAGACATATACCTTGATTAGGACATAACCAGTGAGACATATACCATAAGGAGGAGAGATGCAGTGAGATATATGTCTTAATCAGGAGAGAAGCTGTGAGACATATACCTTAATCAGGAGAGAAGCAGTGAGATATATGTCTTAATCAGGAGAGAAGCAGTGAGACATATACCTTAATCAGGAGAGATGCAGTGAGATATATGTCTTAATCAGGAGAGAAGCTGTGAGACATATACCTTAATCAGGAGAGAAGCCGTGAGATATATGTCTTAATCAGGAGAGAAGCAGTGAGAAATGTATGTTAAACAGGAGATGAGTACTGAGATATATGTGTTAAACAGGAGATGACCAGTGAGACATATGCTCATATCGAAAATACCAATTTTGCATCTCATATTTCTCTTCCGTGATTTTCCTCTTGATTTCTTTCGTTTGCCCTTTGACCTCCGGCGACTAGTTCTTTGGTAGAGTCGGATTCCTCCATTGCCCCCTGAAAAATGGCCAAGATCGGTAATGATGATAATACTAATAATTATTGTGATTCAGCAGGACATGATCATTTGATATTAATTTTCAACCTTTCTTCAACTTGGTCAACAGCTATTATGAACGAGGAAACACGATTGTAGGAGCTGACACATAGTCATTCATGAATCCCATGGTAGTAGTCACACGCAAATGGACATCCTATATAATACATTATTTATCCTGCCAATGACCAATGGTTTTAATGTAAAGTGACAGGCAATAGGAAAACCTGTGGTGAAAGGGTTCCCTCGTCTCGCCGAAGGCCCGGCTTCTATTTTCCATATAGGTATAAAGTGTGCAGTTCATTTGGGTGTCCCGCTGCGATAATGCTGGATTATGTCGTTTTGCTACTCTGCGGTCACATATATTCTCACTATATCACGAGTTATATTGCGGAAAATAATCGACAGCCAAACTAGTGACTGATAGCATGAACAAAGACCCAAGCTTTCGGTGTACGATATTAGTCAAGATCATTAGAGAAGACTTTTGAAATATAACGATTCTAAAATTCTAAAACGCATGATACTAATCGTCGAAACTTCTTTCACAGAAACTTAAGATAGTTATTCTGTCTCCTCAACAACAGATCGCATAAGCCTAAGACGTATATAGATGTACGTCTTTGCATAAGACGTGAACTGATGCCGACACAGATGACTGACGGCAGGCGGGAACTGGTTATGTCGTCCACATCCCTGATATACCATATGCCCTTCAGAACAGATGTGACTCATCACTGAACGGGACACTCCTCCCCCACCCGACACGGTGTCGGTTACACTACTGTAGACGTGGTTACCCTTCAGAACAGATGTGACTCATCACTGAACGGGACACCCTCCCCCACCCGACACGGTGTCGGTTACACTACTGTAGACGTGGTTACCCTTCAGAACAGATGTGACTCATCACTGAACGGGACACCCTCCCCCACCCGTCAGGTGTCGGTTACACTACTGTAGACGTGGTTACCCTTCAGAACAGATGTGACTCATCACTGAACGGGACACCCTCCCCCACCCGTCAGGTGTCGGTTACACTACTGTAGACGTGGTTACCCTTCAGAACAGATGTGACTCATCACTGAACGGGACACTCCTCCCCCACCCGACACGGTGTCGGTTACACTACTGTAGACGTGGTTACCCTTCAGAGCAGATGTGACTCATCACTGAACGGGACACCCTCCCCCACCCGTCAGGTGTCGGTTACACTACTGTAGATAGGACACACTGTCATAAGATAATGGAAAGTTGCGTTTAATTGCTTGGTTGTCAGGACTTTCAATTATTTGGAACACCACAAAATACCAGAAATAATACATCACACGCAGAAACAAGACCATTTCCTGTAATCTTGACCAACAATGTTAAGGATATAAACATATGTAGATTTCCAAACGTGTTTAAACTATTAAACAAGAAACGTGTTCAGGATTTAAAACACATTTTTCGCAGTTTATGAAGTGCCCAGAGAATATGGACTTTGCAGTGTATAGACACTAACCATATAGGAATGCCGTTTATTCAAACGATCTTCTGTCTCATTCAACATCGTTTTATAATATAAAAAAACACCTGACACAATTTATATTCATCCTTCATTTTAATTGTCAAATACCCATATTGAAATTAAATTTACTTACCGTTTACATGGGGTGTTGATAGTTTTCTAATAGGTATTAGGCCAGAAACCTATCATTGTGGGTTCGAATCCCGGTTCGCCCCGATTATGTTTCTAGGTTTGTCAGCACCATACCCGTGCTTGTGGGTTTCATCTAAGTGGTTAAATTCTGAGACCTGCATCAATTCGGGCTTTCCTCCCACATTAAGCTGTGATATAACTGGAATAGTGTTAAAAGCTCACTCACTCACTCACTCAGGTATTAAACTTATTTTATTCCATTCGGTCCGGTCTATTGGGTATTTTTAACTAATGGGTAGACCTTTATATATTAACATTCCACTCCAAATAATGTTCAGGTGACTTTTAATTTGCATCTGTTCATGTTTTTGCCCCATGTGTGTCACAAACATAAGCTCACCACAGCGATATACACGTCTAAGTTACCCGAAGCGAGAAGTATTCATTACCCACTACTGTCGATTTCATGTATATGTGACCCCTGCAGTATATTACGATAGTAAAGCAATACAGATACGCAAGCTGAATATGATTCATTGGGTAATAATTATTACGCTCAGTTATGTATTATCTGGAGTTCTGCTATAATTGTTTATTACATATTACACCCAGTATAGTTGACACATGAAATGAAAGAAGTATAATAATAGTAATAGAATTGGAATAAAACTCATAATCCCATCTTTTTCTGTTGTGCCTAATCTTTGAAACAATATGCAGACCATAATGAATAGATTTGATTCCAAGCGAGCTATTTCTTCAAGGTAATGTTTAGATAATAATACTCGACTTACCCAAACCGTTGTATTGTGGTCCAGATGGTATTCCAGAAGCTGAAACAAATCAGATTATTCACTGAAGAGAGTTTAGGAGTCGTTTTTCTTTCCAACTCCAACAGTTATTATATATATGTACATTTCACGAAATGACTTCGATATTGCAAAACATTACACTGATGCGTTACCAAACTGTAGTTGTTTGCCAGTATAGAAGCAGCTGATTTACCATGAAGGGGTATTTCCTATATATACATATACTCACGGAAAGATTGTGTTCCAAATGGTATTCCGGAAGCTGAAACAAATTAGATTATTCACTGAAGAGATTTTGGGGAGTCGTTTTCGAAATATAGAAGCAGCCCATGCTCTGTCATTTCCTCAAAGCTCCTCACATCGTAACACACCACGTAATTACAGTCCGAAAACATTACGACCAGACCTTGGCCTTGATCAACACAACTGTTTACGATCCAGCAATTATCCACGCCTCTTACGACCAGCATATGTTGCTGGGACGTGTTTTAACTCGGTATTTGGAAAGATGCATGCACCGAAGTGGTAAACGTCTTAGACCTTCATCACTTCGGGCTTTCCTCCCACATTAAGCTGACACGCAGTGATATAACTGGAATAATGTTAAAAGCGGCGTTTAACCCAACTCACTCACTCATATATCTATCCATGGTGACGTTTCTTTTGCGGTTCAGTATATATATATGAGTTGGGTTTAACGCCGCTTCTAACATTACCGATAGTCTGGAAGACCACAGGGCCGACCCTCTGTGCAAGACATATTCCACCCCACATGATGATCCTCGGACCACCCCACGAGTCTCTCTCAACAACACAAGCATCCGAATAACGTTCCCCACGGCGGCGCAGCAATATCACGATGGGGGACACCAGACATGGGCATTACACATTGTACCCATGTCGGAATCGAACCCGGGTCTTCGGCGTGACGAGCTAACGTTTTAACCACTGGGCTACACGACCGCCCCGTTGCTGTGATGTGTTTGGGCGATCGGTTTTATTGTATATACTGCTTTGTGTTTTTTTATCATCAAATTTCAGTTTACCGTACAAGGTAATGTTAATTTTACAAACTTTGACAAAAATGACCCAGATATTTAAATGACAACTTTTAATGCAATGTTACTTTTCTTTTGCGGTTCAGTATAGTTTCATATTAATCATATAACCATGTTTTACGGAAACATGTACGCCGACTTCGACCTTTGACCTATTTTGATCAAAACCTTCTAAATCTCAATATATGCCAAGTTTAATGACAAATGCATTAATTCTTATTTAGAAAGTGTAACAACATTGAGATTGTTCTACCTCGTGACCCATTTTAACATGTCAGCATGTGCCAAAAGAATTCTCAAGGTCCATGTGGCATAAACGTTTATTGTAATATATCCTCTAATGCCAAGTCTTTCGCCGTATTCAAGAGAAAAGATGATACAACTACATTTCAAACTTTGCTCCAAATTGACATTGATCTTTGACATTAATGCAAATATAAGGATGTTAATATATAGTTCCATGCCGTTGACGTACCATTACCTCAGAACCAGACAACGATATAGCCACCTCTTACAGGAATGTGACATTGACATTTAATTTATCTTGACCTTAGTATTGTGCCAAATGAAATCGCCATGGTTATGTAGAAGGATGACATATAATGTCAATAATATTTTTGTCGTGGCATTATATAAATCACCGGCGGCGGCGGTCAAATTCAAACAAAATCTCAGGACCGACTATTTAATACTATGGGGCCCGGGAATATGGGTTAGGGAAGGGGAATTTTGTTTCGACCCTGCCTCAAAACACACAATACTTTTCTCTGGAAGGATATGTTAAACACTTTTATTTTTTATCACAGCACATCCCTTTCGAAGGGGATGGTAAATTATACGAGTGTCGAGCCTTCCCAAAAAAATGTGTCATTAAATTAAAGCGCCAAAGCATTGCCCTTTGAAACATTACCTCATAAATCGACAAAACTTACAAGTAGGCCACAACAAGAAGACTGCAGACTAAGGATACAATAAACGAGGGAGAATTAGCAGAATGACTGTATATGCAGTGTTGAAAAAAGTCTCTTTACAACCTCTGAATAAAACACGTGACCCGGGCTTACGCAATTGTGCCCAGTCTGAAAGAGTGTCATCAACATTATCGATAAACAGCGATCTGTCCTGTTTGCTTGGGGGCATTGTTTATTTACCTTGAATAACTTAAGTAATGTTTGGTACAAATAAGCCTGAACTTCGTTATCGTATAAATTCATAGTACTCGTTTTATAATTGGAGGATAGATCACCAGCACTGAATCTCAAGATTTATCTTTATACATTAAAGGGGGCAAACGGGAGGCCTGGTTCAGTAGAATGGTCAGAATATATCCACACTACTCTTTGACCCGTATTTTCCACCACCGTCAATACTTCATTGGCTTGTATACACCATGTTCCTCCACTCCCCGTGAATAAATACGATCATTATGCAGAGCCGTCGCCGTCAAAGCAAAAACCTGGTTTCAGCAAAAGTGATGACAGCTCGGACCAATGAGCGTCCAGCTTACATCGTCAATGTTTCTCGAGCAACACGTGTCATAGCCTGGTTTCTTCTACTCCACACATTGCGTCAATGTCAGGCAGCGGTGGGGTTCGCACACAGTTCGTGCATGGAGGTCTCATTTGACCCTCCGGTTGTTACAGACGACCTCGTTTCATTTGACTAAAACAGACGTACACGTCACAACACGCAAAGAAGTTGTGTGTATTCAAGGGTGATGGGGGAACGTGGTGTTTATATATCCGTGATGACGATTTCTATAAACTTGTTAAAACTCACCTACAGCAGGGTTGTCGATCTTGCGACTCAGCATGGAGTTAAAGCGAGGTACACTTGCTTGTGGGTCATACGCCTTTTCTGTAGGACCAGAATATGTTGACAAAATTGCATTTCGTAATTCCCTGTGTTCATAACATACATATATGTAATCCACTCGGCGTCGAAGAGGTCGTGAAAACACGTGAAAAATTAATATAAGTGTGGAGAAGAATGAGGGGCAAGTGTTGAGTTTCTAGAGTTGTCTCCCTTGTAAATAAGATAACGTTCTGTCTGTTTGTCTCTAGGCACACAGTGGCCAGCACGTTAGACTTGACAAAGAAGAGAAAATAGGAAAATTGCTCGTAATCCTGGTTATAACGTTATTGATACATAAACAGCCTCTAAGTTGAAGTAATGTCAAAGCTTAAGCCTACGATGTGACCGATGAACGGGCCTCTCCTTCTTGTAATCGTCGCCGCGTATGTTCGTCTTTGTTGCCTGTTGCTCTGGCTTCGTTGCCACCATTGACGTCAGAGGAGTGACAAAATTATACTGAAACACATATAAATTTCAGTCTTTGACAAAACAGTTGGAAATATCTTAAAACAAATTACTCTCTTAAAAACAAACATGGATCTTATTGAAACAATCCGATTATCTCAAAGTATCGTTTGGATTCAATCTCATTTATTCAGATCTCTCTACTTGAAGATACTCTACGTGATGAGAGGTCACGTCAGCTGAAGCTTGAGAGAGCATTGAGAGCCAAATCTAAATGGCGTGTGCCTGGGTTCTTGAGTCATTCAAATGTCAGCTCTCAAAAACGATTTAAATGAAATTGTGTTATGGATTCCGAAGGAAAATTAGTTATCTTCGTTAGAGAGTTCCGCTGAATAGCCGCAGACAGTTGAGGTATGACTGGAGGTCATGTTCACTTTACAAAGAGATAAAATCCGAACAAAATGGAGCAAAAGTTTTTACCATAGCTACATACCGCCCAGATTCCAAATTCAGCTTTGTCATATGCATAGATGGCCAACTTTTTTAAGGTTAAAAGCATTGTGTTTCATATGACAGCACTGGGACTGCATTCATACTAGTCAGTCAGTCAGTCAGTCCATGCATATACATTGATTAAATGCTGGTCTCCAGTTCCATACAACACCATATCCATTCATGCAACACTGGTCTCCACGTTAATACAACACCATATGCATTCATGCAACTCTGGTCTCCACGTTAATACAACATCATATGCATTCATGCAACTCTGGTCTCCACGTTAATACAACACCATATGCATACATGCAACTCTGGTCTCCACGTTAATACAACACCATATGCATTCATGCAACTCTGGTCTCCACGTTAATACAACATCATATGCATTCATGCAACTCTGGTCTCCACGTTAATACAACACCATATGCATTCATGCAACTCTGGTCTCCACGTTAATACAACACCATATGCATTCATGCAACTCTGGTCTCCACGTTAATACAACATCATATGCATTCATGCAACTCTCGTCTCCACGTTAATACAACACCATATGCATACATGCAACTCTGGTCTCAACGTTAATACAACACCATATGCATTCAAGCAACTCTTATCTCCACGTTAATACAACACCGTATGCATTCATGCAACTCTGGTCTCCACGTTAATTCACCACCATATGCATACATACAACCCTGATATACATCACATATACTCATGCAACTCTGGTCTCAAAGTCCATTCATCACCATATGCATACACACAACCCTGATATACATCACATATACTCATGCAACTCTGGTCTCAAAGTCCATTCACCATCATATGCATACACACAACCCTGATATACATCACATATACTCACGCAACTCTTGTCTCCACGTTCATACAACACAACAAGCATACACACAAACCTGATATTCATCACATATACTGAGGCAACTCTGGTCTCAAAGTCCATTCACCCCCATACGGATTCACACAACACATTGACTCAAACAAACTCGTTGACTCGTTTGATTGCATGTAAAGGTACCTGAATCATCAATTACTGGGTTGTCGTGTCTGACCAGGCCTTACGCGTGTGGTACGAGGTGACTTTATGGTTCGAGTAACTTTGTTGATGGCATGTCATCTTACCCCGATGGCATGGGACGTTGCTTTATAACAATCCAAACACTCGTTTATCTGGCCCAGACTAGATTAAATACAGGTCGCCGTCATATAGATGGATGCTAAACGTGTACGTACTTTGAGGGCTAACTCCGTAATCTTCCGGTCAACATCGGACTTCTCGTTCTTATACTCGTCCTTCCTCTTCTGCAGTAGCAGATCCTTGATCCTCAGGTATGCCCAGCTCCTTTCAATAACAGACGCGAAGTCCATTGGAATAGTAAAATAGGGGTTGTTTGTCGATGGCTCAATGGGTTGTGTGCTGTGGTTATCCAGAACCACATTCAATTTTCCTGTGCCGATGTCTGCAGTCAGTGAAGCACCAATCAAGGTATTGATGAAGTCACTCATACGACCGGCTACGACCACGTCATTGCCCCTGAAAACGTTCCTGAAGACCGTCGTCGTCAGGGTGTCGGGATCGACTGTGCCGTTGAGATATTTGATGTTCAAGTTCCGTAGCACAGTGGTGGAAATGTCATCATAGAATCCCTCTACCTGATCAGCTGCATCGGCAGCTTCGTATATTCTCCTAGCAAAACCGCTGTTCTGGGCGGAGACCACCTTCAACAGGTCATAATCAGCTCCATTACCAAACGCCAGTCCGAACAGAGACACAACATCCTCATTGAGGCGTTCGACATTCTTAGCAATGGAGCCGGGGTCCTTGATGCCAACCGTGGGCTGACCGTCTGTGAGGAAGAACATCACAGGCGTGTGCTCCTTGTACCTTTCTTCCAGCATGAAGGAAATGCCGTCGGTCAAGGCCATGTTCAGGTTAGTTGCTGAAAGTCAAGACAGTGCAGCTGTAGTTTCGCTGGTATATATATCAAATCGGCATACACTGCGAAAAAACACAGTGAATTCTGTTAGCTTAATTAGCGGCAGCCAGAAGCTTAGTAAACAGCGAATTTACTATCCTGCAGATTGCACAAAGATGCTGAAGGTTAGTAAATATAACTTATTAAATTAGCATAATATTCACTACTTACACCGCACTGTAAAAAATGTGTTAAGACTATAGACACATACAAGACATGTTTAGGAATCTGTTTCAACCCTAAACGGTATGCACATTTCGTGTGTTCTATCTATCGCGTCATAGCCTAAACACCAACTTAACACAACATTACCATAATCCAAACATGTTTAAGTGCATACAATCAGGCTATAAGTCAAATGTGGATGGGAATGAGATGTGTAATGGATATTGAAATTAGATATGCATAACACAAAATACTACCAGGTCTTCCAAAGTACTTGGTACAATATTAACATAACAAATGTACAAATAAATCAAGGTAATGGTGACTAGGAAAAATGACACTTGTGACGACAACAGTCTCGGTTTCACAGGTGGTAGCGTGACGGACTTGATTGGTTGGTTGGTTTGTTGTTTTACGCCGCACTCAGCAATATTCCAGCTATATGACCGCGGTCTGAAAACAATCGAGTCTGGACCAGACGATCCTTTTACGACGAGCATAGTCGCCTTTTACGGCAAGTATGGGTTGCTGAAGACCTATTCTACCCCGGATCATCACGGGTCGTGACGGACTTGTAATCACGAGGTTGCAGGTTCGAATCCCACCGAAATTAAAATCATTTGTGTTCAGCAATGTGTTGTTACTGTATGTCTCATAGTATTTCTCTCATACAGGAAGCCGACAAGGATAGTATATCTGGTTACTACTTAACCTGTTAATGACGATAAAAAAAATACTAACTGATCAGTAAAGTTTACTAACATATTAGTGTATGAGTGGACAGTGAAATTCGCTAACTAAGTAAGTCAACTTCACGAACTATTTCTATCAGTGTTTGGGGTGATTTTCTCCCTTGCAATCCACCAGGCGTCTCTCATAAAATATCCCATGCACCACGTGTGTTACATTTTCCTTGCGTACCACGCGTCTCACTTACAACCTCCAAGGGCGCCACCTGTCGCCAGGGTGCCATGTACCATCTCTTACATGGTCCACGATTTTCTCTTACAATGCCCCCAGGATACTACGTGTCTCTGTCACAATTCCCATGAATGGCACGTGGGTCCCAGAGCACTGTATCTCATATGCAATCCTCCAGGGCATCCCACATCTCTCTAACAGTCACCCAGGGTACCAAGTGTTTCTTACTGTCCCTAATACAGTACAATCAACCATTGCACCATCCGCCTCACTAACAGTCCTCAGTGCTCCACGTATCTCACATACTCATGTGTCTCACTTACTGTGCCCTAGGAGGCCATGTGTTTCTCTTACAGTCCACTCGGGGGCACCATCGGTCTCCCTTACAAACCCTCAAAGCACCACGTGTCTCACATATAGACCCCCAGGGCACCATCTTTCTCACTTACAATTCCCCAGGGTACCACGTGTCTTTCTTAGTCCGCAAAGGCATCACGTGACTCATTTACAGTCCCCCGTGGTACACGCATCTCTCTTACAGTCTCCTAGGGTGCCACGTGTTTCTATGACACCACCTGCCTCTATTTCTATTCCCCAGGGCACCGCGTGTCTCACTTACAATCCCCGAGGGCACCACGTGTCTAACTTACAATTCCCGAGGGCACCACGTGTCTAACTTACAATCCCCGAGAGCACCACGTGTCTAACTAACAATCCCCGAGTCCACCATGTGTCTAACTTACAATCCCAGAGGGCACCACGTGTCTAACCTACAATCCCCAAGGGCACCACGTGGTGTCTCACTTACAATCCCCCAGGGCACCACGTGTTTCACTTACAATCCCAGAGTCCACCATGTGTCTAACTTACAATCCCCAAGGGCACCACGTGGTGTCTCACTTACAATCCCCCAGGGCACCACGTGTTTCACTTACAATTCCCGAGGGCACCACGTGTCTCACTTACAATTCCCCAGGGCACCACGTGTCTAACTTACAATCCCCGAGTCCACCATGTGTCTAACTTACAATCCCCGAGTCCACCATGTGTCTAACTTACAATCCCCGAGGGCACCACGTGTCTCACTTACAATCCCCGAGTCCACCATGTGTCTAACTTACAATACCCCAGGGCACCACGTGGTGTCTCACTTACAATCCCCAAGGGCACCACGTGATTCACTTACAATCCCAGAGGGCACCACGTGTCTCACTTACAATTCCCGAGGGTACCACGTGTCTAACTTACAATCCCTGAGGGCACCATGTGTCTAACTTACAATCCCCGAGGACACCATGTGTCTCACTTTCAATCCCCGAGTCCACCATGTGTCTAACTTACAATCCCCAAGGGCACCCTGTGGTGTCTCACTTACAATCCCCCAGGGCACCACGTGATTCACTTACAATCCCAGAGGGCACCACGTGTCTCACTTTTAATTCCCGAGGGTACCACGTGTCTAACTTACAATCCCTGAGGGCACCACGTGTCTAACTAACAATCCCCGAGTCCGCCATCTGTCTAACTTACAATCCCCCAGGGCACCACGTGTCTAACTTACAATCCCCGAGTCCACCATGTGTCTCACTTACAATCCCCAAGGGCACCACGTGATGTCTCACTTACAATCCCCCAGGGCACCGCGTGTCTCACTTACAATCCCAGAGGGCACCACGTGTCTCACTTACAATCCCCCAGGGCACCAAGTGTTTCACTTACAATCCCCCAGGGTACCGAGTGTCCCACTTACAATCCCCGAGGGCACCACGTGTCTCACTTACAATCCCCTAGGGCACCACGTGTCTCACTTACAATTTCCCAGGGCACCACGTGTCTCATTTACAATCCCCCAGGGCACCATGTGTCTCACTTTCAATCCCCAAGGGCTCCACGTGTCTCAATTACAATCCACCAGGGCACCACGTGTCTCACTTACAATCCACCAGGGCACCACGTGTCTAACTTACAATCCCCCAGGGCACCACGTGTCTCACTTACAATCCCCCAAGGCACCACGTGTTTGGCTTACAATCCCCAAGGGCACCACATGTCTCACTTACAATACCCGAAGGCACCACGTGTCTCACTTACAATCCCACATGCATAATATATCTCACTCATAGTCAGTCCTTCGCTTCCAGACCACTAACAATTCCAGCTATTACAATCCCACATGCACCACGTGTCTCTTGTACAACCCTCTAGAGCAACCGATTCTATCAATCTCGCTGAGCATCGTGTGTCTCTGTTACAACCCCACGTGTGCCACATGTCTCTGATACAACCCCACATGAATAGTATGTCTCACTTACAGTCCTCCGCTTCCAGTCGACTAACATAGTCGAGTGCTTCATCGATGGTACTCGACTCAACAGGGACAAGCGCCGTCTTCCATTTCTTAAGTCTGTCATCAAAGAGGAAAATGTTGAACCTGTCGGTTTTGCTCAGCTCTTTAAGAATAACCGTCATGGCTGCCTTCAGTTGCGCTATCTTGGTTCCTGACATTGAACCGCTGATGTCAAGGACAAACAGTATGTCCTTGGGGACCGGGAGGATGTCTTCACCAGCGTTCTCGGGGGCAAAGAAGTGAACGAAGTACCCGTCAACTACCTGCAATGTATTGGAGTGTGAAATTGGAGTCTCGTTCCACAAAACGACCTTAGCGTTACGTCCATTTTCAAGAATGGGAGTTTCGCCAGGGTTAGCTCTAAGCTCCTTGTTTTAAAAGAAGAAACCCTGATTGCCTCTTACTCCGGGGCAGACATATACACAATTTGCGTAAACAATCTAGCAAGTAAATCAAAGACACATTCTACGTTAGTTACAGTTAGGAATCTAGCGGGTAAATCTGAGGTATTTTTCTATATCACTAAGTGTGGACAACCTAGCGGGTAAATCTAAGACATGTGCTATGTTAATTACTGTGAACAATCTATGGGTAAATCTAAGCCTTGTTCAATGTTAGTTACAGTATACAATCTAGCGGGTAAATCTCAGACGTGTTCTCTAGTACCTACAGTAAAACATCTGTAGTCCGGACCCCGTCATCTTCCCGAGGCAAGAGAGTTAACTGACTGTAAAAGTCCAGTTTCCACCCTTGCCGAACTTGGCTGGAATTACTGGGCTCGATCGTAGCGCCACCAATGACTATTACCAGTTATGTCCCTTCTAAGCCTCTCCTATGGACCAATCAGATTCCATCTCCCGTACCACTTGCGTTTGCTTCACACAAAATGTGAGCCCACCCCAACCACTGCTCACACACAACAGGCAGGCAGGCACGCACGCACGCACGCACGCACGCACGCACGCACGCACACACGTCCACACTCTTTAAATTAATTACTTTATATAATGACCTTATACAGATACATATATTGAACAATTAATAAAGACCAATTTATTATTTATTTTTATGGACCAGTATATCCCAGCTATTGCCAAAGTACAATAAACACAATGGATCTAACTTCAACTAAAATGAGTATTTTATACTGGAATACAATGGACTTCGATAAGTGTTTCATACCAGATATGCGTTTGGTGTTCAATTGTTTAGCAAACGTAAAATAAATTTGGCCAGTCGTAATAATTTTATCAATCAAAATGGCTCGGGTTTTTTTCGGATAGTGATTTACAGCAGAACAGATAATGGAATTCGTCACCAAGTGCATTTGTATCATATAGTGTGCATAAGCTGTCTTCACGAGGTATACCATCTTCCCAAGGCAAGAGAGTTAACTGACTATAAAAGTCCAGTTTCCACCCTTGCCGAACTTGGCTGGAATTACTGGGCTCGATCGTAGCGCCACCAGTGACTATTACCAGTTATGTCCCTTCTAAGCCTCTCCTATGGACCAATCAGATTCCACCTCTCGTATCACTTGCGTTTGCTTCACACAAAATGGTGGCGCCCAGTCAAAACGATCTGATCGATAATCAAGATCTATATTGTGACAAAACGGGTCTTACAAAAGATTTAGAAAACGAGTTGGCGGTGCACATTCTTTGCAAATCCTGCAATCGACCGAAATCTCCAGGACAGTTTCCGAACCGGATTTCGATTTCGGTGCGTGAATTTCATTGTAATATGCACAGACTCGGTAGTCCAGCCAAAATGTAACTCCATAATACCAGCCTAGTTCGGCAAGGGTGGAAACTGGACTTTTATAGTCAGTTAACTCTCTTGCTTCGGGAAGATGTAGGAACGTCGGATCAACGTTCTTTTAATTAAGTTCTGTAAAGCCAATTTTTAATCAGTGTGATAACACATTTATATTCATATGTTCAAAACACTATTTTGTGTTTTAATTCTAAGGATGAAAAAAGGCATGAAACACCCACTCACCAAAACCTCCCCTCCATTCTGATCTCTCTCCACGTCATACTTGATAAGCATTTCCTTGTTGACCCCGTTCTGGCCAAGTCGTTTCTGTTGGTCACGTGACGGGTTGTATACGATGTATCGGCTGTTAGGACTTGGTGATGATACGGACACTGGCATCTCCACTGGAGAAAACAATAATTGAGATATGACATGGGAATGAGTGGGAGATGACATGACAATGAGGACATCCAAGATTTAGAACGTTGAAGTTTGCCCCGTTTATTAGCGATGCCGTGATCAGTTCGTCCCAGATTCGTCAAAATTACGTTTAGCTGTTTCTCAGTACTATATTCGTGGGTTTCACCAAGGTGGTACAGGACCCGCATCACTTCGGGCTTTCCTCCGCCGTCATATAACTGCAATACCGCTCAAAGTGATGTTAAACTAAACTAACTGAGTAACTCACTCACTCACTCACTCACTCACTCACTCACTTAATGCTCAGATGTATCAGCTACGGGTGGTCAAGGGTATTTTATCAAAGACAAAAATTTATTTCGGCCATTCTTGCATCTTCCCGAGGCAAGAGAGTTCGTTGGGATGGTCCATACAGTACATTAGTTGTTAAAACGTGGGAGAAAAACACCAAAGTGACATAGGTCCTTACTCTTGTTTTTGTGATGCTTAATCGAATAATACGATTACCTTTTACATCAACACAAATACTAACAAAAATGGTACTAATCAAGCATCAGTTAATGTTTACATTACTACCTCCTGATAGAGAAATACAATTCATGAGTTGCAAGAAAGGCATCTTCCCAAGGCAAGGGAGTTTACTGACTATAAAAGTCCAGTTTCCACCCTTGACGAACTTGGCTGGAATTCCTGTGCTCTATCGTAGCGCCACCAGTGGCTATTACGAGTTATGTCCCTTCTGAGCCTCTCCTTTAGACCGATCAGATTCCACCTCTCGTATCACTTGCATTTGCTTGAAACAAAACAGTGGCGCCCAGTCAAGACGATCTGATCGATAATCAAGGTCTATATTGTGACAAAACGGGTCTCACATCGCGCAATGCGTGAGCACCTTGATTTAAATCATGAAAAGATTTGGAAAATATCTGTTGACAACGAGTTGGCGGTGCACATGCTTTGCAAATCCTGCAATCGACCGAAATCTGCAGGACAGGTTCCGAACCTGATTTCGATTTCGATGCACGATTTTGATTGGACTATGAATAGACTCGTTAGTCCAGCCAAAATGTAACTCCATAATACCAGCCTAGTTCGGCAAGGGTGGAAACTGGACTTTTTTAGTCAGTTAACTCCCTTGCCTTGTAAAGATGCCTTTCTTGCAACTCATGAATTGTATTTCTCTATCAGGAGGTAATAATGTAAACATTAACTGATGCTTGATTAGTACCATTTTTGTTAGTATTTATGTTGATGTCAAAGGTAATCGTATTATTCGATTAAACATCACAAAAACAAGAGTAAGGACCTATGTCACTTTGGTGTTTTTCTCCCACGTTTTAACAACTAATGTACTGTATGGACCATCCCAACGAACACCTTCATGACATATCCAACAATAAATGACATTCCCTACTCCCAGAAGACGAAGGTAGTACGTGAGCGAAGAAGTTCTTACATCATCTACATAACAACTGCATGACGTACCAAGATCTTACATGATCTACTCAACAACTGCATGATGTACCAAGATCTTACATGATCCACTCAACACCTGCATGACGTACCAAGATCTTACATGATCCACTCAACACCTGCATGACGTACCAAGATCTTACATGATGTACTCAACACCTGCATGACGTACCAAGATCTTACATGATCCACTCAACACCTGCATGACGTACCGAGATCTTACATGATCTACTCAACACCTGCATGACGTACCAATCTTTTACATTGTGTACTCAACAAATGCATGGCGCACCAAGAAAATTACATGGTGTACTCATTACCTGCATGACGTACCAATCCCTTACATGATGTATCCAACAAATGCAACGTACCATGAAATTACATGGTGTACTCAACAAATGCATCGGGTATCAAGAACTTACAAGGTGTACTCGACACGTGTATGACGAACCAGGAACTTACAAGGTGTACTCGACACGTGTATGACGTACAAAGAACTTTCAGGTGTACACGACTCCTGAATAACGTGCCAAGAACTTACAAGATGTACTCGACACCTGCATAACGTGCCAAGAACTTACAAGGTGTACTCGACACCTGCATAACGTGCCAAGAACTTACAAGGTGTACTCGACGATGTAACAATATCTTAATTGTGAACTCAACGCGTCATGACATTTCAAAAACCTGCATGACGTACCCAACACATTGCTGTTTTCCTCACTTGGAAACTCGGCTGTCGCTGCCGTGATGACCCGGCTGTCCTCGATGAAGACCTCAACCTTCACCTCACGCACCAGTTGACCCGGGTTCACGTGAATTCTCTGTTCATACATGCCCTTGCAACGTGGCAACAGCTGCTGATAGGTCAGATTGAAGGTCACACTACTTCCAGGCTTCAAGTTCACCGACACGTCAAACTTGTTTGAATGTCTCGCACTATAACAAAACAATATTCAGTTCCATTAGCACAGTGTACAACCCCACAGATCACGTGGCATTCAAGCTCTCAACTTGGAATCTAACCTAACCCAAATCGACAAATCTATCTACAGACAAGTGCTCTCTATGTTCAGGTACTCCTGCCATTGTCTTGTGGTTGGTCGAATCGAAATATTATCACTTTGTGTTCACCGTCTACGTGTTGGACAAATTGTAATACCAAAAATGAGTTCAATTTCCACTGGATATAATGCCTATTATTAGCCCAGGAAAATGTCTGCAAGATCGATACTGTGTTGACTCTACACATGACAGAGTTATTAAATTATTGTCATCAACATACAAAACTACTGAAACAGCATTGTTGTCAATTGTATATTTGGTTAAAAACGCCATTGTCTCTGCACTGATTACTTAACTGCAAAACACCGAACAGTGTGTGATGCCAACCATTGCGATTTGTTAAATCACTCATTGGTGAGATCTATTTGTTATGATACTATACATACATATATACAACTTGGTACAAGATATTGCATGAGTTTGTCCTATGGGATAATGGTCTGCAGCTAATGAATGAAACATTACGTGATGGAAATGTTTGCGGTACACATGTTCTGGACGAAAGCAGATTTCGATTATTAATATTGTTATTCTGTTCAAAGCGGCACTAAACACACCTTCAATTAATAGGAATAATAAGCTTTATTGGCATTTGATTTTCGTTTTGTGTGTGTGTGTTATTTTGTAAAATAAGATATCTCTTATCCCGGTTAAAAAAGATTGTTCTAAGGTTTTACACAAAGAAAACACGCTGGATCTCATGGAAATTGGTTTGTCACTTCAAGGCTTAAAACGCTGAAAGATAATATCTCAAACAAAATAGGATAGTAGAATAGTCGGGGATGTGCTGACGGTGGCGTCAAACAACAAACAAGCACGGTATGAATGAATTAACATAGGGCGGTTACACTGACGTTGATTTGATGTAGCCAGCACTCTCCCCGCGGTCCTTGGCCTGTTGATAGGATGTCAAGGCCTTTTGTTTCTCCTCCACGCGACCGACGTACACCTCTCCATCCACAGTCCTACAAGGAATATGTTCACCACGTGATAATACATCGTCAGTAGTTAAAGGGATTGTATACAGCACGTCCCTCCATCAGTCTATGGGGGACTACACAGTGACCTGCGGCACCTTAGACAAATAAGACACAAATGAAATATTTCTGAACATTTAAATCTCAATTTTATACTAAATTTACGTAGATTAAGGTCCCCCTAACGAAAATTTACGTAAATGTAAGTGTATGTTTACATACATTTGCGTAAATCTATGTTTATATTTGCATACCGTTACGCATATTTAAGTCTAGAATGATGTTTTCCGCCAGTATTGTTCAATTTGGTAACACATGCACCCTGATTTAATGCTGGATGGATTTCCGGTCTTCGCCAGTCACAGCAGAATCAATTCAATTGGTACCATTGTGTTGCGTCCGTTTCAGCGTTTTCGCTATATCGAAGGGCACTGTTGCTTATTGGCACTCAAGTTTCTTCCGTCAGCCGGGTCCGTTGGTTTGAATCCCAGATTCTCCACAATTATAATACTTTGTCATACTTTCTTTGGGTTTTCCTTCACCACAGGGAGAAGCTGTCAAACGTTAAACCCAACTCACTCACGCCTAAAACAGCATGCCACACAATACTACTCAGCTTTTGATAGGGACAATTAGGGTCATTTCTTTAAATATACACATGATATATTATGAGAACCAGTTTTGTGTATAATGGAGATATAACACATATAACTATCAAAAGTGGAGAAGCTTCTTAATACACTCGAAATCTTAGTCTTTGCGTAGATGTTTCCAAAATATACATGGAAGTTGGGGTCGTATGAGTATAACGAAGTGATCATGGTTAAGTAAAACCGGAGTGTATATGAGCACCATGTGTCGGACTTACATGGAGAAGTTGGAGATAAAGGCTTCCTCAGGCAACATAACTTCAAACACTGCCTCGCGGCTCTGTGTTCCATCGTCGTTGATGACGGTGCTTGCGACTACGGTGGAGGCAAACCGGTAACGGATGTGAGAGCGAACCAGGAAGGATTTCACGGTCAGCTGAAACACGAAGAGAATGGTCGTGAAACACGGTTATTATAATGTATAATGACAAATTATCAAGACGGATTCCACGGCCAGCTGAAACTCAGAGAGAGAGTGATCGTGAAATGGCACGTGTGTACAGGTAGTGAAGCATTATCTCTAAACCTTTACTTTTCTTCCGTACATGTAACCATATATTGCCTGGTAGATGGGCACGTATACCTCCATCTTCCCGAGGCAAGAGAGTTAACTACCAGTTTCCACCCTTGCCGAACTAGGCTGGTGTTATGGAGTTACATTTTGGCCGGACAAACGAGTCTGTGCATAGTCCAATCAAATTCGCGCACCGAAATCGAAATCCGGTTCGGAAACTGTCCTGCAGATTTCGGTCGATTGCAGGATTTGCAAAGCATGTGCACCGCCAACTCGTTTTCTAAATCTTTTGTAAGACCCGTTTTGTCACAATATAGATCTTGATTATCGATCAGATCGTTTTGACTGGGCGCCACCATTTTGTGTGAAGCAAACGCAAGTGATACGAGAGGTGGAATCTGATTGGTCCATAGGAGAGGCTTAGAAGGGACATAACTGGTAATAGTCACTGGTGGCGCTACGATCGAGCCCAGTAATTCCAGCCAAGTTCGGCAAGGGTGGAAACTGGACTTTTATAGTCAGTTAACTCTCTTGCCTTGGGAAGATGGTATACCTCGTGAAGACAGCTTATGCACACTATATGATACAAATGCACTTGGTGACGAATTCCATTATCTGTTCTGCTGTAAATCACTATCCAAAAAAAACCCGAGCCATTTTGATTGATAAAATTATTACGACTGGCCAAATTTATTTTACGTTTGCTAAACAATTGAACACCAAACGCATATCTGGTATGAAACACTTATCGAAGTCCATTGTATTCCAGTATAAAATACTCATTTTAGTTGAAGTTAGATCCATTGTGTTTATTGTACTTTGGCAATAGCTGGGATATACTGGTCCATAAAAATAAATAATAAATTGGTCTTTATTAATTGTTCAATATATGTATCTGTATAAGGTCATTATATAAAGTAATTAATTTAAAGAGTGTGGACGTATGTGCGTGCGTGCGTGCGTGCGTGCGTGCCTGCCTGCCTGCCTGTTGTGTGTGAGCAGTGGTTGGGGTGGGCTCACATTTTTTTAAGAGAATAATATATATATATATCCCAGATTCTCCGCAATTATTATACTTGGTCACGCTCTCTTTGAAATTGTATAAATTAACATAATTAATTTACTTTTTTAATGGCTCAGGAACATTGAGAATAAATAAGGTGTGTACACTCATTCTGTATAAACAGTACTTGAATTGTACCTCTGATGTCGCTGCCAGCGACCCGCGTGAAATAAAGTTTTTTTCATTTCAGTTAAAACAAGCAACACGACGACCAAACACAGTTTGCTTTACAAATTATTTGTATTCAGCGTGTTGGTTTAAAGTAGGAGCTAGGAAACTGACGCATGTTATAGATCTGATCCCTGTTGGTGTAACCCACAGCACGGGTATGGCAATGTACAGGCGATTTGATGACATTAATCACGTTGAAATACACGAGTGCTGCCAGGAAATACATACGATAACAGCAAGGACTTCAAGTTGTCTCTCAAGAGAGTGTTTCCCTCATTGTGTGTAACAGCGAAGTATTGTTCAGCGCACACAGCGACGACCCAATAAACAATGCTATACTAGAGCCGTGTACACATTGACATTGATAAATGGGTGTGACTTACGTTTGTTTGTTTGTTTATTTGTTGCTTGTGGCCTCTTACGACAAGTATCGCCGCCTCTTACGACAAGCATGGGTTGATGAAACCTATTTAACGCGCATCTACACGGGAGACTTATTCTGGGATTCCGGGTTAGAATAGTTCCTTTGTGACCTATGTATGCTTGTCGTCAGGGGCAACTAAATGGATCAGGTGGCCAGACTCTGTGACTTGATTGATTGCATGTCATCCTACCCCGACAGCGTTGAACGGTGCTCATCATATCAACCACTGATTTGAAAGGATAGATTAAGGGTGCTCTAAACAACATCTACTAAGTACTATCTGGATACATTGACGGTGAAACAGACACGGTGATGTGTTTTGCACACACACACACACACACACACACACACACACACACACACACTAACACTAACACACACACACACACTCTCACACACACACACTAACACACACACACTAACACACACACACTCACACACACACACTCACTCACACACCACACACACCACACACACCACACACCACACACATACATACATACATACATACATTTGGGAAAACGGGGCCCAGACACCATCGGCGCAACATTATCAAATTATTAAAGAATGTCTTGGGTTGCACTTACACAACGTACACCAACTACATTTTCCCATCTCAATCTATATTATTGCGACGTGTAACGGCCATTCATCTTTTGTTTCGATTTGTCAGAAACATAACTCTGCAGTGCATACGCGTTTCACCACGGACTTGTATAACGGTTATATATGGTTATATAGGTCCGTGGTTTCACCAAAGAGTTACACGTCTAAAAACTGCATCACTTCGGGTTTTCCTCCCACATGAGCTCGCAAGCTGTTATATAGTTGAAATACTGTTCAAAGTGGTTTAAACCAATTCCATCACCCAACCGTGTGTCTTACATTATATAAGTATTAAACACAACAAGTCAAATAAAAGAAATAGAGCATTACCTGATTTGCGAACACTGGTCCAATATAAACCACCGTTGCCAGCAATGCAAGGGTCACGTGACCCAACGCCTGCAGCATCTTAGTCTGAACCAAGCTCCAGTGGCTGACTGTGTCAAACTGATTCCCAGCCCTCACTACATCAACATTTATAGCCGGGAATCCTCAAGGCCGACGACTTGAATTTCAGGATATGATTTAAACAATGAACAACATTCGGTGGGAATGGGTTAAATTGTCCAATGGGAGACTGATCACGTGGAGGTCAGCGGTCACGTGGAGCAACTACTCTGGTGTGGCGTCAGTTTAGAGGCTAATGAAATAAACAAAGAACTCAGTAATGAGATCTGAACAGCATGCCATGACCTAGTTTCGTTGCCTTTATCGTCTCCGAACATCAACAGTCTATGTAGTTATCAATTGGTTTGGGACAGACTATTTAATAACCTATCTTTATATGTGTGTGTGTGTGTGTGTGTGTGTGTGTGTGTGTGTGTGAGAGAGAGAGAGAGAGAGAGAGAGAGAGAGAGAGAGAGAGAGAGAGAGAGAGAGAGAGAGAAACAACAACAATCAGTTATGGCCTGATGAGACGCGAGTTGATGGCGCTAGCGAAATATAACTGTGTTCAATATAACTCCTCTTTTTTCTTTTTTCTAAATCGTGTATCGGGGAGAAATTGGTGTGTGCAAACTCTCTCTCTCTCACTCTCTCTCTCTCTCTCTCTCTCTCTCTCTCTCTCTCTCTCTCTCTCTCTCTCTCTCTCTTGAAGTCTTTTGGTGTAACGCAGTCAGGGATAGAACCACCTATATTGTGTATCGGGTAGAACTTGGTGCTCTCTCTCTCTCTCTCTCTCTCTCTCTCTCTCTTGAAGTCTTTTGGTGTAACTTGGTGTGCTCTCTCTCTCTCTCTCTCTCTCTCTCTCTCTCTCTCTCTCTTGAAGTCTTTTGGTGTAACGCAGTCAGGGATCGAACCACCTATATCGTGTATCGGGTAGAACTTGGTGTGTGCTCTCTCTCTCTCTCTCTTGAAGTCTTGTGGTGTAACTTGGTGTGCTCTCTCTCTCTCCCTCTCTCTCTCTCTCCCTCTCTCTCTCTCTCTCTCTTGAAGTCTTTTGGTGTAACGCAGTCAGGGATAGAACCACCTATATTGTGTATCGGGTAGAACTTGGTGCTCTCTCTCTCTCTCTCTCTCTCTCTGTCTCTCTCTCTCTCTTGAAGTCTTTTGGTGTAACTTGGTGTGCTCTCTCTCTCTCTCTCTCTCTCTCTCTCTCTCTCTTGAAGTCTTTTGGTGTAACGCAGTCAGGGATCGAACCACCTATATCGTGTATCGGGTAGAACTTGGTGTGTGCTCTCTCTCTCTCTCTCTCTCTCTCTCTCTCTCTCTCTCTCTCTCTCTCTCTCTCTCTCTCTCTCTCTCTCTTTTGAAGTCTTTTAGTGTGACGCAGTCAGGGATCGAACCACCAACTTCCCGCTCTCCTGACAGCCGCCAAATCTACATCATGCAGAAAGAAATTGGAAGTTGTAGTTAAAACACGACACCGAGGAGAACTGTTTCAACAAACTTATGAACCTTCTAAATGCAAGAAATATCAGAGAGAATAAACAACATCGGGATACCTTATAGTGATACAATGAAGAAGACGTACAGTCACTCATGTTTATCTTCTGGAGGATGGAATCAACAATTTTGGGGGACATTAATATTTTATTTATCAGAAAAGGCTGATTGATTTTGAGGATATATATTTGCGAACACATCATATGTTTCCAGTTCTTTCGTAAAGTTTATTTCTTATTAAATATCCCAGCGTCTCCCCCATCACCCCTCTTCCTCGCTAATCATCCCGGACACCCCCTTCCCTGTTTGTCCCTATTAATTCTGATGAGAGATATATCTGTATTGGGGGCGTGTGAACTGGGTTTACACGGCTTTGAACATTTTTTTCGTACCACGGGGTGCCACCCCCCAACAGTCGTTCCAACAAGACGTGTCGCTTATGCACTGGTAAAATGCGTTGGGCTGTATTTAGCTCAAGTGTGTGGCTGAGAGAGCGCCGGTTTGAACAGTAGTTTAGTCATATCATGGCGCGTCAACTTAAAGTGGGAGGAAAACTCAAACCGGCGCAAGTCGCAGAAGGTTACCATGAGCACTGGTACCATCTTTTACGACTTCGGTATGTCGCAACCGGGGATCGAATCATCCACCTTCCGCACTCTCATCCGGGCAGACTATATTCACTCGACCACAGATGTATGGTGGCCGAGAGGGGACATCGCTTTCTCGCGCCTTTTTTTTATAACGGTGTTAGAACCTACACCGAAACGTCGCTCCTAATTGTAATAAAGAAGTTGTTCTTCCATATATCTTATCTTTGCTTAGTACTCCAACTTCCAAATGCCTCTCAAAGAGGTTAACAGAATAGTCGTTATTCATATTTTCTTATTTAATACCAGCCTATTCTTCCATCAATCTTAAAACTGAAACTTTAAAGGATAAATTGAACTGGAACAAATAATGATTTACATATAGATCATATATTGACAAATAATTGTCTGTATTATCAGCCACTGTTTGTATTGTTTGCAATGTCCAAAGAATTATTTTGTCGGTCAACAGATTTGAAGTTGAAGCCGAATATGTGCCCGTCCTATTTCGGGATGACAATTATATTGATATAAAATGCATGTACATTATGCAGACAAAAGTTAAACATGTATAATACAGATCGATAAGATCGATATGTGTCTCTCCCTTAGGTCACATATACGACTTTTGAGAGCGTTATTACCCCATAACCTCATCCCATGGACAATAGAAATGAAATGCGTTGTAAATACTATTTAAAAACAACTCGTTTCTCATAATTCCTTTCGATCAAACTGTCTTCGGGAATTGAATTTAAAGCTCAAATGATTGTGAAATAGAGTTTAACTTTCTCGCCAGGGGAGACTAGATATCCGAGTATAGTATAGGCTCAATAAGGAATATATACTCTTCAAACAAAGAAACGCAAAACGGATATTTGTGGCCATAAAAGCAGGATTAGCGGACCAAGAGGTGCGAAATGAAGAGGTTTAATGTGTTATTGTGTCAGTGACACATTTCCCGGATCAAAATGATCAGAACAAGGACATGCAAACCATTAGTCGGGAAACACGTACGATTCGGAATAACGCACTCAGAGCATTAACTGAAAGGGACATGGAGCTCTATGTGCTGCACGTGCAGCAGCACTATGAACAGTATTAAAGTGCAGGGTTTTTGATTGCCTGGCATCTGAGTCAATCGAACAGTGACAGTTCAACAACTTGCCAAGATTAACAGAAGTGCAAAGAAACAACGTCATAGGCCGCTTGCAGGCAGGGGAATCCCGATCAGCTGTAGCCAGGATTTTCAAAGTAGCGCCCAGCACCATCACAAGGCTATGGGATCGGTTTCAACAGCATGGGTCAACACGTGATCGGCCAAGGTCGGGACGACCAAGAGTAACCACCCCCGCCAAAGATCGCAACATCCGACTGCGACACCTACGTGAAAGGACGACCACAGCCAACTCAACCGCATCCCAATAGCCGGACTGCGCAGAATCTCCGACCAGAACGTACGAAACCGTTTAAGAGCAGCAGGTCTACGAGCAAGTCATCCTGTTCGACGAGTCACATTCAGTCGACAACATCGTCAACAACGACTCGTCGAGACAGGGTATGGCCTCAACAGCGATGGAGAGATGTCTGGTTAAGCGACGAATCAAGATTTCTCCTCCGTCGAGGGGATGTAAGAGCACAGACGTCGATGTTCTCCAAATCTCTATCTGTTATACTGAATGGTAAACAACTATGAGTTATGATGTGAGTTATGTAGTTTATCTCCCACATATATACACAGACAATGAGTCAGACACACACAAACATCCTTTTACAACGTTTTAGGTGCAACAGAGCATGCTTTTTCTACGAAGATTTCAAACATCATACGAAGTTGTTTGACCGCTTCCGTGGTCGAGTGGAAAGAGCATCTGCCGGGAGAGCCGAAGCTTGTTGGTTCGATCCCCAGCTGCGTCATACCAAAATACGTTTAAAGATGGTACCGGTTACACTACCTGGCACCTGAGTTTAAGGTGATAAAACAAGGACTGGCCGGCTCAAAGTGCGGTAGCAATGTGCATTCGAATCTGCATTCCGGACGTCCGAACCAGCGCAAGTAGCCACCCACCCCCAACAAGACACAGACACGCTATATGTCAATGCAATATTCTTCAACGGACATAAAACCCCATTTCACCTCACCTCAAAAGTTGTTCAAGGACTAAGTAAAGTTTTAAATGAGGTTATATGGAGGAATTTCCAAATTTGACGCATTAATGACCAAACGATATCCGTTGCAATTCCCTATTTTGACTTGTACCATATGTTCCCTTGTTTGTTCAGGTGAACAAATCACGTGCCTTTGCATGTGTTTGTGGCATGTGCCACCAGTTGGGCAGGATACGCTCACCTTTACGATAACACCGAATATCATCACTAGTCAGTGCTTATAAAACAGTCGGAATCGTTCAACGAACTCAGAGAAAGGGTTTATCATTGAAAGATACATTCCTATACATTCCGACCTGGCATTCGGAAAAGACATTTGGACTGGCTGTTGATTTCAAGCTGAAGAGGAGAGAAATTCTGTCATAACCTTGTGACGACACAGGCGGAAATGGTGATGCCAATTGGGTCTGGTGTGTTTATAGGGGAAGTGAAATGGGGTTTAACATCTTGTCTAACATTAATGCGCTGTATATAGCAACGTGTGTGTGTGTGTGTGTGTGCATGTGTGTGCGTGCGTGCGTGTGCGTGTGTGTTAGTGTGTACCACTAGACCACGGAAGCTGTCCTGACATAACTAGGGTCCTTCTGGTGTGCATCTGATATTTCAACCCATGACTAGCAATGTCTGGCAAAATTGTCTTGATTAACAACCTTTCAGACTATAAATACAACAGTAAAGGATTAAAAAGAGATTTCATCAAACACAAAGGTAAAAGGGGGATGAAATGTTCTTGCATGTGTTCAACATTGTTCCAAGGTGCTGACAAACCAAAGATCATTATCATGGCAAATCTGTGACTTGAAACCCATGATCAGCAGATCCTTGCACAATTAAGGGATGCAACTCTGCACAGACAAATGCATGATCTTTATACCAGTGGGCCATCAGTGGCCATTACACATGGTACCATAATGGGGAATATAACAGATTTACTGTTTTCCTGAGTTGACTCCACACAAACATTCCATAGCTCCCAACCTAATTTCAGCAAAGGATATTGTGAATATACACCCTATATTTATGTTTATTGTTTAACCCTGCATACAGTAATATTTCAGCCTGTAAAATAATTGGGCTTGGAGCAGATAACCAGTGTTTAATATATAGAGCAACATTCCGTGTTGTCAGGTACGATGACAGGCAATAACCCTGTTATAAGCATTCTCAACCAAGCTTTGGGTATTTATCTTTTCAACACAGGGCGATCTTAGCACTAAGACTATCGTAACTCCCATTCTTTATCATAGACTTACGACAATCTTTGTGTTAAGTCCACTATGGGTATTTATCTATTCAGCTCTGGAAAACACAAAAGAAACACTTCCTGAATTTACATTTCAATTTATTCTTTTTCAATTAGCCACATTTGATTCTGAAGATGACAAGATATGTACAATGACGTGATGTTGGATGACATCTTGGTATGTACAAGACAGAGAGGTCAACTAAGTTCACATCACAGTCTCTATTATATTACAATAAAACATAAGACTGAGTGAGTATGGTTTTACGCTGTTTCGAGGAATATTCCAGCAATATCACAACAGGAACACTAGAAATGAGTTTCACACATTGTACCCATGTGGAGAATCAAACCCATCCGTTTGGCGTGATGACCGAACGCTTTAACCACTAGGCCACCCCCCACCCTTAAAACACAATAAACATCAGCTAGTACATAAAACAATGAAAAAAAGACAAAACTTGTGCATTAAAAGTACAAAATTTAAACATTATTTCCCAAAAGTATTCATGTGCAATCAGAACACACTGTTAACTGAGACTGATTCAAGTCAACCTCGAATAAACCTATATAAACATAATCGGGGTGAACCCCGGGATTCGAACCCACAATCATAGGTTTCTGTCGTGCCCAAGGGACGCAACTCTGCACAGCGAATCGCGGCGCCTTAGACGACTGGGCCACCCGTCCCCCCCTGTAAGTTGGATGAGAACAGAACTGAGCCCCTCAGCACAGACATGACAGTTGAGAGTGTTGTAGTGAATGTGTGAATGTTGTTCAACTGCGGTCAGCAATATCCCTCCAACAATCAAGCTACCTCACAGTGGGCAGTAAATAATCCTTCTGAGCCAGGAAAACCAGTGGTTGATAACATGAACAAAGCTTCTGATCCATCCTGTCGGGTCAGGAAGACATGATCAGCCAGGTCACAGTTCATGACCAAACAACCTTCATTCCTTTTAGGAGCAGTCAATAGTGACTGATAAATATCTTAATTCATTTCAGTCAGGGTTTCTGGGGGTTTGCAGGTAAGTTATTTTTAAATCAGATGTACAGCCAAAAAAAAAAACACTTTCATTAGCACTATCATAAATGAAAAAGATGAGCTACAAGACAGAGTGGTACTTTGGGGTGAAACCATACAGCAAGATCATGATTAGATACGTATCACGATACATAGGTAACGATATGCATTGTGTTTACAAGCAAATGGATTCCACTTTAACATGTAGGTTACACTCAGTTGACTTCTCTGTTGATTAATGATGATCAGTTGAAGAGTATCAGTTCATCAGCACTTCAATCTGTACAAGTCTGGAGTTTGTATCCCCCGGTAACCGGTATGGCAGCATCCCGGCAAACATGATCAGGGCTCTTGCTTGACTCCTCAAGTAGTTCAAATACTGAGAAAAAAAAAGTTTGAAGAAATAACAATCAAAGAATGGAAACACTTCGTTTCCAATATGAAGGCATCCGTTCTCAACATGTTCAACGAACATAACTATCAAGAAAAGGAAACATTTAATTTCTAATATGAAGGTAACCATTCTATATGTACAGCAGAAACAAGAGTCAAGGAAAGGAAACACTTCATTTCTAATACGAAGGTATCCATTGTCATATATAGTATACACAGATGAAATAACAATCAAAGAATGAAAAACTTTTATATGCAATGTAATGGCATTCATCCTAGAACATGTATCCATAGGGTGAAATCGTTACATAGTGTTCCTGTCTTAAGAGTATCTTTTTTGTTTTACAGAGAACTTTGCATATGCTAAATATCAGTAATGACAAAACACAAAAACAGATTCTTTATTCCATTCTGAATAAAACAAAACAAATTAAGATGCCTTATTCCATAAAAAGTATACATATTTTGGATCCGACTTATGATTACTGTTAATCATATACTTCAAAATCTATATCAACATATATTTTCAAACTAACCTCTTGGATTGAAAATAAACATTCAAATTTTACACCCTCAAAACAAAACAGCTATCAACTACAAACACAGGTGTATAAACTTATTGCAAAAATATGTTATATAACTGACCGTATCCTTTCCCCCATCATCCAGTCGTCCTCTCTGTCCTGGTGTCGGACTTTGGATACCAGCATTTCTGAAATAAATAAAGTGTTCTACATACATACCTGGTTTCTGTACTATTTGTTATCAGGTTCAGTCATGTACACAACCACAATAAGTAACTGGTTATAAACCAATATAGTAAGAAAGGACCAGTCGAATCAAGAAAGTACCAGCTGAGTCAGGAAAATACCAGTCAAGTTAAAAAAGTACCAGTCAAGTCAAGAAACTACCAATGTCATTAAAATGAGATCTTAGTTTTCGCTACCACTAACAAATCTGAAGTCATCCCATTACGGGTCACATCAGACCATCCTTTCGCTAACTTTGACCGACAAGAAGTCTACATTAGCCAATCAGAAAGCAGCTTTCACGTGCTTTACGGCACAAGTTTCAAACTGGCAACTATGTTTCGAAATATCTTTGGACAAATTCTTGATTAAAAATTTGAAAACTGAACAAAAGAACATTCTGGAATGACTAATAAATGGCATAGATTGTATGGATTCAGCCATAAAGCCAATAACTGTAGTTTGGCATGCTCTGATTGGTCGGATGAAAGGTCGTTATGACATGACCAGTGATGGGATATCCTCAGATCTTTGTTTCACTGTAGCAAGAACTAAGATCTGATTTTAATGAGATTGAGAAACTACCAGCTGAGTTAACAGAAACAAGTCATGTCAATTAAGTACCAACTGAGTAAAGATTTGATGTACCAGTTAAGTTGAGAAAGAACAAATTCAGTCAAGAAAGTACCGGTTGAGTTAAGTAATCATCAACCACAACATCTTAGATCCAATTAATGCACTTAAAGGTGGTAGACATTAATTGAAAGATGGCTATCTTCTTTGTTATCTAACACTATCTGATAGCTGATGCCTAATACCAGCTATTAATGCGGAGCGAGTGTTTACTAATGATGTTTTTGGCAAAATAGAGCAGTATCATAACAGGGAAGATCTACATAAAGTTTCACAGACAAATTGAAGGCCTATCCACAGATGGCTGCAGATTTATGCCTCTTCTATGACCAGCAATATGAAGACCCCAAGTATGATGCAAGCCAACAGATTGCAATAAAGACTGCAGCCTTGCTTCTTCTTTGACCAGCAAAATGAAGACACCAATTGTGATGCAAGCCCAGAGATCTCAAGATGGCTGCAGCATTTTGCTTCTTCCATAACAAGCAGATTGAGTGTGTGCTGCTTGTGTTGCTTACCTGAGGTTCTTGTACTTGTTGTGGAGGATGTTCATCACAGCAAGGAGGATGTCTGGCAGGCACCGTCTCACCTACACCAGTTAAACATGAGTATGAGTGAGTGAGGGAGTTTGGATTAACACTGCTTCAAACAGCATTTCAGCTATATAACAGTGTTTGAGGAAAGCTCAAAGTGATGCAGGTCTTAGATGTTTAACACTTTGGTGAAACCCACAAGGTTATTGTGCTGACAAACCTAGAAACATAATCAGAGCAAATCTGTGATTAAAACTCTGCAAAGCAAAATGCCAAACTTCTTACCAATACAATCATATTTTATTATCCTGAAGCTGAACACCTAACAAATACATTGTAGCCAACTTAACGAGTAATTCAAGGACAATAACTCTGCTACCTGTCAAGTTGTCCGTGAAAACATTGGCAAAAAATTGTTATCAACTGGTCCCTCAGGGCATAGAGTGTGATATTCCCTGTATGCCAGTCGATGTACCCTGTGTGAAAGCCAATGTACCCTGTATACGAGCCAATGTACCCTATATACAAGCCAATGTATCCTGTATGCGAGCCAATGTACCCTGTATACGAGCCAATGTACCCTGTATACGAGCCAATGTACCCTGTATACAAGCCAATGTACCCTGTATACAAGCCAATGTACCCTGTATACGAGCCAATGTACCCTGTATACCAGCCAATGTATCCTGTATGCGAGCCAATGTATCCTGTATGCGAGCCAATGTACCCTGTGTGAAAGCCAATGTACCCTGTATACGAGCCAATGTATCCTGTATGCGAGCCAATGTACCCTGTGTGAAAGCCAATGTATCCTGTATACGAGCCAATGTATCCTGTATGCGAGCCAATGTACCTAACCAGCATCATGCTGGCGGTTATGACATCAGAGTGACATCATAGTTGTTTAAGAACCTGCAGTGACCAATATCATTCTTCAGTGGAAGATACACCTTGCATTGTAGCAGGACAGCAGGATGTATGAACCTTCACTGACAAGGATGTGACAGGTCCAGATAGAGATCGTGGCAGCATCTCATGTTGACTCGTGTTTACCTGTTTGGTTACCTGTTTATTTGTTGGATAAAATGTTTGTGGGCCCATTGTATTTAGTCTTTTTTTAATGAACTTGTGTGATCTGTGAATACATTTTCTGTTTTGTTTACAGTAGTGGTGTTGTCCTATACAGGGATGGGGCTGTGTACTCTCTATGCGAGCTGATGCACCCTGACTGCGAGCTGATGTGCCCTGACCTACCGCTGAAGCTGACTGACAATGAATATCATGACTTGTAATATACATAGAATGGTATCAAAATACATCCTTACCTCATCTGTAAAGTGTCGGAAAGAGTTGACTCTGTGTTCAACTTCCTCTGCAGTCAGTGGAAGCAACTTCAGCTGTTTAACAACCTGTAACAATATATTACTCGTAGACAATCTCTCAAACACAGAAGCTACCATAAGTAGCAAGCCCAGATGAGAACAAGCAGCATTTCACATACTATCCGGAGTATGGCGACTTACATCATTAATACTGGATACAAAATTGCGGTTGGTATGCTGCAAATATTATACAAACAGTTTGGCACTTTGAGCTGGGAACATAAGAAATGTACCTGACATGTTAGCGGGGGTACATTGAAAATAACAGAATGAGTCTCAGCCAATCACAATCCAACATTCATATGTAAGGTAAGATAATAGTCAATCACTTTAGCCTTGGTACTTCACAAGGATTCTCACCTCTAAACCTTGGTCCAAGCTACCAACATGGTACAGGTCGAAGAAGGTGATCAAGTCGAGCAGAAGGTAGAAGGTGTTGGATGTGGCCTGTGTGCCCTCATAACCAAGTGTGCGATACCTGCAATCAGGGGGGCATCATTACTGCATTGATGAGTATTGTTTAAATGACACAAGTTAAACTTGCTAACACTGAAATGTGTACAGATTTCAGTTAATAACTACAAAATACGACTTGGCATCTGACATGAAATATCCATGACAAACCAAAGAAGTCATACCAATTTGAACAGTCAGCTGGATGTGGGAGTAAAGCCCAAAGTGATGTAGGTCTGAGACGTTTACAACTTTGGTGAAACCCTGAGCACAGGTATGGTGCTGACAAACCTCGAAACAGTCAGGGCAAATCTAAGAATCGAACCCATGATCATAAGTTTCTCGTACGCCTAAGGGATGCAACAGTGAATTGCAGCACCCTAGTTGATTGGGCCACCCCAAACAAAAGAAGTTTGTTTTGTTTTTTATTGTACAAGGTCAGTTCAAGGTATACAAGTCTTATCAGGAGATTCACTTTAAATACTGTACATCAGTAATTTCTATTGCCATTTATTAATATTGTTCAAATTTCCGCATCATACTCTGTTAACCACAACATGACATACTTGACAACAGTTATCCGACTTCTGTGTGTGCCCACTTGTGTTTGTGTTGGTATTCTTGGTTGTGGGAAAAAACTCCCTCCTCACTCATAAGAAAATGACAAATCTCCCCCGACCCCCACAAATTTGAAAGAACAAATCATCTGATTGTTACAGCAAGTCTAACTTGATGAGAGAATTTCCATCTAATCTGTCTATACAAGAGTAGTTATTGAGCTATCAAAACAATGCCATGGTTCAGCCCCTGGTTAATACATGTAGCAAGTTTGGATGAAAAATCTTTTATGGTTTTCAAGTTATACTCCAGAAGCGAAATATGGACAGACAGATAGACAGACTGACGGACCAGATGATTATACCTACCCACATTATATGCCAGGGGGGATAACAATGTGCCAGGCTAAACATCAAAATAATCTATGCAGCCTTACAGTGTTATCATGAACAACCATATGGTCCTGAATGACTGCAGCACACACTGACCTCTGAGCAATACCAAGAGCCATGTTCTTCAGCCTGTCCCTGTTGGACTGCGGCGCCCCTGGCTGGGAGATCACCTGACTCAGCAGTTTGTTTAGTAGGGTCAACGTCTTCTCGTGATTCTGAAACATCAATATGAATTTGATTGTGTGTTGTGTAGGTGTATACAGAAATATTTCAGCCATATGTCAGCTCATAAATCATCAAGTCTGGACCAGACAAACAAGTGTTGATACAATAAGAGCGTCCCACAACGTCATGGTGCAATGACATGCAATCAACCAAGTCACTGAGCCGAACCACCTAAGTCACCTAGTACGACAAGCACAGGTAGCTAGGACCTGGAATTTAAATCTGGTATCCACATTCACATCATAACTGGTAGTTACAATGCAAGGACCTCTTAGGGGTAACCACATGCTTAATGTGAATCACATCAACAGTCAACTAATATTAATACACCTCTAACAGTTTATTCAAATAAAAAAAATCTCACCTCACAATTTTAAAAATTTGGATGAAAATGTAGTAATTAATAAAAAGTGGTCTTATCAACCTTAACAACAAGAAATTGTACTTGGAACCCACAAGGCTATTGTACAGTGATCAATGGTATGTCCTTAATGCTAACCGGAGGAATATCTAAAATGACATAACTGTATATATGGTTAAGGAAATATACCTTCGCTAAATCAAATAACATCACTGCATCTTCAAAGAGTCCTTTAGATTCTGTATCCTTGGCAACCAGCTCTATTATCTTCTGGGTGTCTCTGTTGAACTTGTCAATAGCTCCAGGCTGAAAGTCAATGTTTGAATTGCCTTGTGTTTACCCACTGTTTTACAAAATAATACATCTGTAACAAGAATTCTGTGAGATATAATCTTCCTTATATGAGCTAAAACGAGATTCACCATTCAAGTTTAAGGGAGACAACTCTCCCAGACTTGTCAGCTTTTGTTAAGGCTGTTAGGGGCTTTGCCCATTTTCATTTGATAATGTGGCGAGGGACTTCTACCGTGGATGTCTCTTAGGCAGTAAACATGATGTGTTGGCAGTTCATGTGTTAGCAGAGACAATAGTACATCCAGGTGTTCATCTGATAAAGTCAACACTTACTTTCCTTGTGCCATCTCTTTCTAGTTTTCCCAGCAGCATTTCAAACTGGAAACAGAAAATTGATTACGTGTGAAATTAACTTTGACACTTCACTTCCATGTCATATCTCCAATTACAATTAAGAATATATTTCGAATGTTCTAATTTATCTGAGGTATGTATTTTTAAAATCTTAACGACTTCATCTAAATTTCAAGTTGAGAAAAGAACAGAGTTTATATGCTGCACTGGGTGCACTTATCAACAAATTCACACTAAACAACACAGGCATATACAGAACATAGGGAAATGTTGACAGCAACATACAGATCTAATTAATAGTCTTAACATATTTAACATTAAAACGTCCATCTGTTAGAGTGCAAATGTTTAGCAAATACATAAAAAAAATGTAGATTTAAATATTTCCAACAATTTCTAAAAGAGTCGCCATACAGTGCAAAGATGCCACGCATCAAATTAACCATATATTCACATAGTTAAAAGAACATTACTTTCCTACAATGTCCACAAATACAGCAATACTTTAAATATATCAAGGAGGAGTGGAGATAATCAAATCTGATTCCAGTTACTGAGTAAGTAAATCGTTTGTACAGCAGTCAGCTACTTTAGTGACTGGGAAGTCTCTTTGCACAATTCAAGCATGATTTGAATTTTGAAAAATACGGTAAGAGGCCTGTATGAGAAGAAGTTTTCTTAATTGCGCCACCAAGTTCACCTTGACCAACAAATTCCAATTTCATGTCTTCATCACGACCAATGATTTGTCACCATCTTCGCTAACACTGCAATACTCATTCATACAAAATTCCTTCTGTAATTTGCCAATTAAGTATGATTTGAACTGGCTACATCAAGCATTTGCTCAGTGCTCTTTATAGCAATTCTAGTTTCACCATTTGCTTTGTGGCTGACATGTAAATTCCACAATGTGGACAAGATGGAAGCCGGGCTAATCATCAATGCGAAAATGGGATTAGGACCAGCTGAAAACACAATGCTTAAACTTGCCCTATTACACCCATTGTTCAAAAGACAGTGCCTGAGAAACCATTGCTCTCAGTTTCAATGGTTACCTCTCTTGTTTCCAGAACCAGCTCACTGACACAAGACATGAACAAGTTGTCGTCACTGCTGGTGCGTAAATCCCTACAACACAAAACAGAAACTATCATCAAAAGTAGTCTTCATCATGCATAAATTATAACATCCTTTTTGACTGAAGCCTTTGACTGAAGCCTTTGACTGAAGCCTTTAACTGAAGACATTATCATGAAATCATTACAATCAAATTAAATGTTTGAGTATTGTAGGCATCTGGTGAATATACACTGTTGATATCATAATAGAAAATGCTATGACGCAACCATGATATACAGCAAACAGAGCATCACATCACATCACAACAGGAAAAGAATATCACAAGGCCCTGTAACTGACCTGTCTGCTAGAATCATAACTTATGTTTTCTTCATAAGAGATCTTGCACACAGTTCTTACAATTATTTTCATCGACTATTGATTTTTTTCAATTTTGGTGACCTTGACATCTTAATTGTAGAATTTTCCTATTCGGAATATTCTATAAGTAATACGTTACCACTGTTATACCGAGGCTGTTGTCTCTCACAACTGCTCTTATAGCAAAATCTTCTACAGAGATCTCAATTACTTCATGCAGCACGTGCCTAGCCACCTATGCTGTCATGTAACACCCTTCACTTTTGTCTCTAGCGAGAGCAAGTGCTCAGGGGACGGTCGGGCGGGCATCAGCCAAGTGGTAACGTATTACTTATAGAATATTCTGAATAGGAAAATTCTACAAATTACATTAAGTAATACGTTACCACTGTTATACCGAGGCTGATTACCACAGTAGGCGGTTGGGAGCACCTACAACCCGAAACCTGACTGCTCGTGTTCCTTCCGACCAGCGGAAGTAAACAACAAGGCGGAAGCACTCGATGCGCATGCTCCTAGCTTGGCGTTACCATATAGGGATACCAAAGCACTGTCAAGCGCATACCATAAGGCTCAATCGTCTTGCAAACGATTGGTGACTCCAAACGGCCCCACTGGATAGGTATTTCGTCGCCGCAGCGGAAGAAAACACAGTATCAGTGTGAGCTAAATCTTAGATCAGGTGAAACAGTCGGAAAGAGGGAAATTAATTTCATTCGGACCGTATATCCCAAGAACAAGCCTACTTTAGCGTATGTAATAGGCGCGTGACCTAAAATCAATATCTGAAAGCATGCATTACAAGGTTGCAATACACGACAGACAATTAAGTACATAATTGTCAATTCAAATAAGGAAACACACAGAAAGCCTGTGGATGAGCGCGCTGGCTTGCAGGACCCCCACTCCCGTACCCACGGCTGTGGGAACATTGGAGTCGACCCAGACTGACCACCGTGCAAGGTCTGAAGCCTGAGGAGTTCGGAATTGCGCTGGGCACACCCCTTAGATGACTGCTTGCCCTGCGATCAGCGGCCCAAGACGGTGCACACCCTCCACGTCTTCATCAGAGACCTTTCTGAGGTAATGATTGGAAAAAAACGAGTCAGAATGCCAGTAACAACCCCGCAATATTCTGTGAACAGATATATTGGAGTGTAGGGCAAATGTTGCCGCTAGCGCCCTGATCTCATGCAGGTTTGACCCCGCAACCGGTAACCCCCGAGACCGGTACGCCAGATTGATGACAGAACTAACCTATAACGCAATCGAGTTGCGAGTTATGTCGGCAGTTATATCTGGCGAATGAATGTGATGTTTACAACACCACTTCGTGAAAATAGCCCAGCGTGCATTATACACCTTCTGGGTAGAATCACGATGCATATTAACGCATGCCCAAACGCACGACGAGAAAATCCTTTACTCCTCAGACACTCGGTGACAACATCCACGTGTGCAGAATGAACAGCCCTGCGTTTGGATGAAGCTGACAGGTGTGAGGGTGGATCAGGAGATCCGGTCTCACAGGCCGGTCTCACAGGCAGTGGAAGTGGCGACTGCGTGACCTGGGCAAGCAAGTCGGGGTACGATCAGTAACATTCGACAGTGAACTCCTTGCAGCCGGCTTAGAATGGGTGGTATTAATGCTGTCGGCGGGTAAACATAAGCGTCCCTGCCCGTCCAGTCTTATGCGAGAGCATCGTGATCGATGGCCCTCGGGTCCGGGACTGGTGATACAAACAACGGGAGTTGATTGTTGAACCTGGTTGCGAACAGGTCGACCATCGGACGACCCAAACGTTCGCACAGCCACTGAAACACTACTGGGTTGAGCATCCACTCTGTGGGGCTCAGATCCCGAGGCCTCGATAGAGCGTCGGCCAGTACGTTCCGCACACCGGGGATGTGACGGGCGCGTACCTGGCACGGGACACTGTCCACCAGAGCGTAAAACTCGAACGTGAGATCGAGTAGCGAGTGACTGTGGGTTCCCCCCAGTTTGTTCACATAGGACGCTACCGTCGTGTTGTCGGTCGCCAGCATGAGCTGTGCATCGACGAGACGATGCTTCCAGTGAGAGACTGCGTTGATCACTGCCTTGAACTCAGGGCAATTGATGTGAACACCTAGGCTTAGGCTTCCCCAAGTGTCCCTTCTTCCCCCGAAAGGGTGGCAGGTTGCCCTTACCAGGGCCCTCAGGGCGGGGCCTCTTCCCAGAGGAAGAAGCCACCGACCCCTTGGACTTCCCGGCCGCAGCATCCTGAGGGGCACTCCGTTTAGGGGCAACACCAAGGCGTCTGTGCAGAGACCCAACCAGATCCAACGTGTGCCGCGAAGCCGTGACAGACGAAGCAGACTGCTGTTCCTTCAGAACACCAGGGATCCGGTTATTAAACAGGGTCTGCGCAGACCAAGGCTGCGAAAGTAACACCTCTTGGTTGGCGGCGTCCAACCCATAGGAGGCAAGGTACGCTTGTCGCCTCAAGAAATGGCACGTGCCGGAAAGAAAGGCCGAAGCCCCGGCAACGTACTCAAGGGTTGCATTTAAACCGATCAGACAGTTGTAAATGCGCTGGTCTCAGTCCGAGGGGGAACCTTCGACCAGACTGGCCGCCGCAGCCAAGTAGGTCTCGCAATGTGACATAGCGAGCAAGGAGTGCCGAGAGAGGGTGCTGTAAAGTCGCCTGAGGGACTGAAGCAGCAGGTGGGGCATGGACACCCAGCCTCTCCACATGGGCCTCCGTGGTGGGACCTGCCTCAGGGAAGGCTAGGTCATGCACCGGGAACGAACCCTTTCTCCATGACAGGGGAGGCAACTGGAGATAAGGCCGCCAGTTTGGAGTCCACCAGTTGAGACAATAAGGCCGCGACGGAATCCCCGGACAGCCCAAGAGCCGCCGGGGGATCCGCCGCTGTGGAAGTAGTGCCCGCAAGGGGCGCTCGACCGGACAAACCGGCCACCTCAGGGGTGATAGCAGAGCGCGCGTAGTGCCTGTATCGCTCAAAATCCTCCGGCCCCAGACCCTCGCACTGGGTGCACCGGGTGTCCTCGCAAGAAACCCCGACAACGCAGGCAACGATCATGAGGATCCCGAGAAGACAGAAACTTCTGACAGGCCACACAGCGCCTGTTTACAGGAGTAGCAGGGGTGCTGGACAAAATGTCCAATTCCATGTCCGACATTGTTCTTTGAACAAAAAACAAAACATGGTTACAACACACGCACCATACATATTCTCAAAACGGATATTTTCCAAAGAAAAACAAACGATAAATGAGAATACATAAAATAAATAGAATAGAATTATATATATATTAATAGGTGATGCAAAAAAAACCCAATTTATACCACTAAAGGTGGACGGAAGACACAAAGTGCCAACTCCATGCCCCGTTAGTAGCGAAAAAAGGCGCGAAAATTTAGGCGGGACAATTTTCCCAGCACCTTATAACATACGCCCCGTAAATTACAGTTTACTTAGGACTAAGAAACAGTAATAAATATCACCAAAGGATTGGCAGGAGGCGAAAAACAGGACTGTAGTAGGAACGCAAGAGAGCAGTCACAAATCGTCTTGCTAGGGCAAGCAAAGAGACAAGAGTGAAGGGTGTTACATGACAGCATAGGTGGCTAGGCACGTGCTGCATAAGGTAATTGAGATCTCTGTGGAAGATTTCGCTATAAGAGCAGTTGTGGGAGACAACAGCCTCGGTATAACAGTAGTAACGTATTACTTAATGTAATTAAGTCATCCATAGTTTGTGCAACTGGAAACCATGTCTGGGTCAGGTGTTAGGTGAATATCCTACCATAAAATCCCATTTTTATAGGTTTATAAGTAGTTTGCAATCTTATTTGACATGTCGTGACCTTGACCTCCAAAGTAAACCAATCATTTGCTGGAATAATCCCCTAAAACCCCTATTGGGCTTGTATGCAAGTATGCAGATTGTCATGTTCAGTGAGCATGTGGTAGGCAAAATTGAACATTCAACTGATTACATATACCCTTCATTTGGAATTTGTTCTAATGTTGTTGAAGACAGTGTAGAGCATGATCTGTGAAAATGATATTGATATGTTTAGTAGATGAGAAGTAAGATTCAGTGCTAATGGATGGACCATCTTCCCAAGGCAAGGGAGTTAACTGACTGTAAAAGTCCAGTTTCCACCCTTGCCGAACTAGGCTGGATTTCTGGGTTCGATTGTAACAACCACCATTGGCTATAACGAGTTATGTATCTTCTACATCCCTCCTATTGATGAATCAGCTTCAACCTCTCATATCACTTACATTTGCTTCAAACAAAATGTCAACGCCCAATCAAGACAATCTGATTGATAATCAAGAAGATCTATATTGTAATAAAACAGGTCTTACTTCGCGAAGTGCATCAAATCATGTGAGTACCTTGATTATTAACACAAAAAGATTTGGAAAATATCTATTGATGCTAAGTTTCTGGTACTCATGCTTTGCAAATCCTGCAGTCGACCGAAGTTTGCACAGCAGTTTATGAACCGGTTGTTGCCCAGCCAAAACATAACTCCACAATTCCAGCCTAGATCAGCAAGGACGGCAACTGGACTTTAAAAGTCAGTTAACTCCCTTGCCTCGGGAAGATGATGGATGGACAGACAAAGACCTATAACATAAGCTCACACTGATCATACCAAAACCAGGTGAACCAAAACATTGGGGCTTAAGTCAAACATTACCAAACGATAATAAATCAGTCAAATTTTACCTGAGGAAGTAGAAGTACTGCAAGGCTTCCCGAGCATCAGTAGCTTCAAACTTGCGTGTGTACATCATGATGAGTCGAGCCAGATTCAGCCTCATCATTGGGGACATGTCACTGGAGTTACTGGATACTGGAAACATAGATTTCAAAATAACAATAAAATCTCATCTGTCTCCGTGTCCAAGTTTGATATTGTAATGTTAGAAAGAGTTCTATTCGTGAATTACCACCTCCCTGCAATCCCACCAAAAATCAGATCTCTTACTTAGCCTGATCTTCAATGCAGAAGGGGATAAATATTCGATTCCAATGACAATGCATCCCCATCTCGAAAAGAGTGAATTCTGATTCTTTTATCTCAAAAACATAATTTGATAAGTGTTTCAAAACTTTAACCAAATCAAAACGGTTATAAAAACGTCTGCAAGTGTTACATCAGCAAAAACACCCTGATTTGAAAGCAATTTATCTCTTCAGTTGACTGGGAGTGCAAGGAGTTTCCTCCCATACACAGGTTAACTTCAACACACAAGACTGCAAGGCTCTACTCACACAGCTGTGCCTGACAGTTGACTGGCAGTGCAAGGAGCTTCAGTTCATATAGGACAAGAGCCACATGAACAGCATGACATCGCAGCCTCTCGATCCGGGACAGAAACTCTATGGCGGCCTCAAACTGTGCCGTCAAACAGAGCACTTGGAAATACAGGAATGGTTGACTGTAGCCGTTAAAGTGACTCTCACCTGGAGAACCGAAAAAACAAAATACTGTTGGTTTAACGACAAGAATCTTTATGACTAGGATTAAGATGCAATGTACATAGCTGTGGGCTAGGACTAGGTTTTACTTCAGATGGACTAAAGTCCTATACCAAGGAACCAATTACCGGACCAAGGGAGCTAACTCACATCCTCCCTTCTCTGACATGCACGTTGGAGACAAGGAAGAGAATCAGTATGAAGTACCTCAGCAAGTTTGTCTCTATGATGAAGTTATATCTATCCAAACATTTGAACTAACTAATCATCTACTGGGGTTTAAGGGCAGAATAGGCCCCCATTTTTTTCCTTAGGGAGCAAACTAAACAGAGATTATATGAGACTTTTCTGATCAAGTGACACTGTTCCCTGACAGAATGGATCTTTGCTCATTTTGCAAAGTCTGTCAGATATAATTAATTACAATCACTCAGTCAAAGGAAACAATAATCAACAGAGACATCTTTACCATAATCTTTATACAACAGTGTCTGCAACTTCTGCAAAGTAAACTGCTCCTGCCCAGTCTCATCTGGTTCAAACTGGATCTGCCACAACTTGAGCCAAAGGTAGTCATCTATCTTGTCCGAGATCTCTGCATGATCTTCACTGAAGTCACACTGGCCAACCACACAGTACACTGCCCTGAAACAAGAGGCAGATGACATGAAGTACATTCACATAGTTGTGGATTTGGTCTTCAGACAATGATTGATTGTGAGTGATTGAGTATGGTTTTACGCCGCTTTTAGCAATATTCCAGCAATATCATGGCGGGGGACACCAGAAATGGGCTTCACACATTGTACCCATGCCGGGAATCGAACCCGGGTCTTCGGCATGAATCAGACAATGAAAGTGATGACCTACAAAAAGAAACACTGCATGAGCAACCACTGATTTATAGCACAAAGCCTTGTTAAAGGTGTCAACCAATGGGTTCAGGTCACAGTGAGGTGAGGTCAGTGGGTGTAGCAAGGAGATGCACATCTATTGTTGGGGCAATGCTTGAACAGACGTCTGTGGGGAGGTTGACATCATCCACTGACCACCCTTTGTTGATATTTGTCTCACAACTGGGCTGCAGTCATTTCTCTAAACAGCCATCAACAGTGAAACAGGTTTCACAGATGCAACACTACCCCATTTAACAATTGTTTACACACATAAACACACAGTATATACAATGCCTGACTCTCATCGTTTTTCTCATCTCCCTGGAGCAATGGTAGCCCAGTCATATAAGGAGACATGTTGTACAGAAATGCATCCCTTAGGTCTGCTAGAAACCTATCATCTGATGATGTCAGTACCATGCTCATGGGTTTTACCAAAGTGGTAAACTTCTAAGTTTGTTGTTTGTTTGTTTGTTGTTTAACGCCGCACTCAGCAATATTCCAGCTATATGACAGCGGTCTGTAAAAAAATCGAGTCTGGACTAGACAATCCAGTGATTGACATCATGAGCATTGATCCACCTAAATGGGATACAATGACATGCATCAACCAAGTCTGCGAGCCTGACCACCCGATCCCGTTAGTCGCCTCTTAACTAAGACCCACATCATTTCATGCACAGCACAAGGTTGACACTGACACTCTTTCCACTGGGCACTCATCTACTGTCCTGTTCTCACCTTTTGTATGGGTCTGTGCTGTTCTTGACGATGCGTCGATACTGTAGCTTGATCTTCGTGTCGCTGCCAGGACTCAATCTGTGAGAAAAAGAACTGAGATTAACTTCAGTGGGTCTTGTTCCAGAAATGCAATCAGCAAATGGTATATTTGTGGCTACACGCTGAGTGTATATGGTTTTACGCCGCTTGAGCAATATTCCAGCAAAGTCACAGGAAATTGAACTTGGTCCTTCGGCATGACGAGTGAACACTTTAACCACTAGGCTAACCTATCCCTGAGAGAAGACAAGCACCCACCTGTGGTCCGAGCTGTTGACGTATTCCCTGAAGAAGCCTGGGAAGTCATCCAGCTGATGCCTGTAACAGATTCACATGCAGCAATATGTAGTCACTTCCTGGACAATGAGAGGGAGCAAATATACACATGGAAACTTAGATTTTCTAGTGGTCTGAACTTTATATAACGACTGAATCATCTCCCTTTCCTAAAGTTAACATTCCATAAGATGTACTTCTGATTTCATGAGGCCCTAGGTTCAGTAGTAGTCTTACATTTGTTGTTGTCGACTTGTTCATATTCGACTGTACTATACCTGTGTGATGTAGTTAGTTTTGGTGATAGCTGCTAGAGGAAAGGTGCTTTCAATAGCTTTATAAGGCTGAAAGCATTTTGACTTTCACTGTATACCGTCACCTGATTTTAACTTGAGAATTGCCCTGGTATGAATGTAGAATACATGTACCGACTATCTCGGTGTCCTGTGTTGAAGCAAGGAAGCATGCTGAGAGGATAATTTCTTCACACTGTTAACATGGCTAAGTTACACTGACCCTAGTTGAGAACTGATCTGATGGTCAATATATCTCAATACTAAAACACTCAGTGGCCACTGTGATCACAGGACCATAAGGGAGATAACTCATTTTCCACAGTTTCTGGTTTCTATTTTCCTATGTAGAGAAACGTGACTTTCAATTGATTTGTTACTTATTGCATCATTAATAAAGAAGTTGAAATCCACATGTCAACACATCTTCATTGTCTTCAATGGCAACTACAGCTTCTTCAATGCCACTTAAAGATATTTTCTATGTTTCATTACTTACGAAGCTTTTTCCACAACTTGCTGAGCAGCCTTAAGATCCCCACAGCGAAGACAGTAGTAGATGAGTGCCCACACTGGCAGACCCTCCAACATGCCCTCCTGGGAACACAGAGTGTCACAGACTGTGTAGATACTTAGTCACACACCACATTGTCACAAAACTCAATTAGTTCCGTGACTTTGTTGGCAGGATAGTCATAATCATGACAATGAAGTCTTGTGATATATCACTGGATAACTCTGTGTTATATCAAAGTCATGCTTCATTAAACAACATAATCTTGTTTCATAATATCATTTCTGTCTGTCTGTCTGTCTGTCTGTCTGTCTGTCTGTCTGTCTGTCTGTCTGTCTGTCTGTCTGTTTGTTTGTTTGTTTGTTTGATATTTAACGCCACACTCAGCAATATTCCAGCCATATGATGGCAGTCTGTAAATAATCAAGTCTGGACTAGACAATCCAGTGATTGGTTGGTTGGTTGGTTGGTTGGTTGGTTTTTGTTTAACACCGCACCCAGCAATATTCCAGCTATATGATGGCGGTCTGTAAATAATCGAGTCGGGACCAGACCAGATCCACGCATTTGGGATCGATGACATGCATCAACCAAGTCAGCGAGCCTGAAAACCCGATCCTGTTAGTCGCCTGTTACGACAAGCATAGTATCATTAATTGTATCCTATCTTTTTTTAACATCTAGAGGTAACAAACTAACAAGCATGAAAGACTCATATCCCCACTCCCAAGGTATGTTCTAATGAGTACTCCTCACCACAAAAGCTGCTTGGGACTTCTTCTAAAGAGACAATGACACTTAATGAATCAATCTGAGAGCACCCATGTCCATACCCTCCCACTTTTTGGCTGGGGATATGGATTGTAGAATCTGAAATCCTATAGACATAAGCTAGAATCTCACTTGATACAAAGTTTTGGTATTTACAAAGCTCGGTAATACATACACAGGTGTTGACACTTACCTCTGATCCCCGCACTGTGACAGGGGGCCTGACTTTCAGGTAGCTCTTCACCAGGTTGAGTGTTCCAGGGACTCCACCCAACTGGGCTTGTTGCAGGTTCACATAGATTGTTGTATGAATGTACTTCACGTACCTGAAATAGCATTTTCGGGGTTTCATAAAGTAAGAGAAAAAAGGAAATAGTAACATATTTACACACAGGTTCAGCATACATTCATAAGGAAATACGGCTGCCAATTGCAATGTCCAGGACGGAAGACAATACCCATAACTTTTTATACCAACTGTACCTTCCTCAGCAATATTCCAGCTACATGTCAATAATCAAATCTGGACCATACAATCCAGTGATTTGATATGAGCATCAATCCACATGGTCAGGGTACCATGACACGCTATCAAACAAGTCAAGGAGCATGGCCACCCAATCCATAATGTCTCATCTTTCGACCAGCATAAGTTGCTGTGGTTCAATTCTAAGAGGAATCTGCATGGGCAACCAACTTACGTCTGTTCGAGGTACTGCCGCGCCTTGTTGATGAAGGCCATCTGCATGCGCTTGTCCTGCCTCATGGCTGCTGGGCTGGTCCCCACCGGGAGACTGAGGGGGACCTCCACCATACACTGCACCATGTTCCATAGGTCACACACACTCTACAGCAGACAACATAAACCATTTCTCACCAGTAAATGTCTACACTAACACCCGGAGCAATCATCATTGGTTGTCATGACAGTAGTATTAACGCTACACCAACATGTTGCAAGGCTCCAGGGCTCTGTTTCACAAAATGATTGTAGCACTATAAATCTTGTAACGCTACACTAACATCTCCCAAAAGTCAAGGGCTCGGTTTTACAAAGTGATAGGTAAGCAGAAACAACAACCTCATGTGAATTATTTACTGCAGTAGAGTTCATGTATATGTGATGCCTTCATTCGATGGGTAAATAAAGACTTGTAAAGAAACACAGGCATGCAAGCAGTATGCAGCATTATCCATGGTGCTTTTCCTGGTGATGATTGTCTGAACACCAAGACAGACTTTTATCATGAGCTCCTGAAAATATTCACAAAACAATGTTGATACTTTCACAGTTGGGCAGCCTGGTGCATAAAGTGTTTGTTCGTCATACCAATGGCCCGAGTTCAATTCCCCACAGGATTACAATGGGTGACAACCATCTCCATGCCATGATGCTGGAATATGGCTAACAGCAGCATCAAACCACACTCACAGACTTACACAGTATAATGGGGTGTTTCCTCTTACCTTGTCATCAATTTTCTTTGCTACTTCAACAAACATGTCCACCAGGCTGGGACGTATACTGCCCTCAATGACTTGCTCATTGTACATGAACACCTACAAGCAGTCAGTCATCATTCAATGTCACAATAACCAATATTGCAGCCATTTCTGTAACAAAGACACTTTGGACTCCAAATATTGATGACAGTCCCTTTTGGTGATAACCATTACCTATTTTCAGATTTGCGGGTGGTATAGAGTCTTGAATTTGTGAATAGATAGAAATGGAGAAAAATATTGAGCAAATCAGTGTTTCCAGTGGTTTTTACCTCCTCTGTTCACAGAGCCTGGTCATGGAAGCAAATACGGGACATTACTACATTTTGCCAGGTTTTTTTCATTTTAACTTTTTGCATCATTATCAAACAGAGTACTGTGCCCAGTGTGTTACTTCACTTTAATGAAACAGGGCGATCGCGTAGCCTAGTGGTCAAAGCGTTCACTCGTCACGCCAAAGACCCGGGTTCGATTCCAGACATGGGTACAATGTGTGAAGCCCATTTATGGTGTCCCCAGATATGACATCGCTGGAATATTGCTAAAAGTAGCGTAAAACCACTCACGCACTTTAATGTAACATAAGTAAATATTTTTTAAAACAGTAATGACAAACCAAAGAAAGTATACTGTATGGTTCAGATAATGATTACAATCTTACATTGTGTTTTTACTGAACACAGAGACAGAGAGCACTTGAATTTACCAGAGAAGGCCATGTTTCACTAGTCATCATGAGAAATATAGTACATAACAGAAATGCAGTACATGGATAGTGCTCTACGTATGTCCATGTTCTACAAGTCCACACACCTGTCTGGCATAGGCCATCTCCACATGATCCAGGCTGCTCCGCCCTTGTGTGTATATTGTGTCACCGATGAACGACTGAAACGATACAACACAAGATGATTGTCTTGTAGGTAGTACAGAATGAAATTGGTTTGTTTTCTTATGCCCATAGTCAGCAATATTCCAGCTACCAGTGCAGGCTGTAAATAATCAAGTCTCTGCCATCAAACCAGTGGTTGATAGCATGATGAACACCCCACATCAAGGTACAATGGCACACAAGTACATTGTCAGGAGTGTCGGACACCATTTTAGTCAACTCTTATGACAAGCCTTAGGTACTGCAAAACTTTTCTGACCAGACTTTTGAAAAAATTATTTCACTTCAGATGTAGCTTATGTTAAACATATTATCAAACCTCTGTTTCCTGTTGTAGCTCCAAACCATCTTGACTGGAACTGAGCAGCGTGTTGAGGATCTTCTGTTTCTCTCGTTCCCATTCATTTTCCATACATTCCCACTGGCGACGCTCGGCTTCTTCAAATGTCTAGACAGAAAATCAGGTAGTAACTAAATGGCTGCTTTTGGCAAAGTCAGCATTATAACAACTACAACATACAATATCAGCCTTATTATTAATTAAGTGATGAAACACTAAATCCATCTCCTAAAACAAATCAATTTTTCACTCGAGTGAAATAACAAGTAACACTGGTTTAGAGATGCATTTACATGTATCCTCTTTCACTCAAGTAACATTTCACGTTGTACTGGAACTACTTTTAGTGTGCCTCACACGGATTTCAGTGTATTGTTTGTTTGTTGTTGGCCGCCTCTGATGACCAGAACAGGTTACAGGAGATCTATTCCAACCCAGAATCCCAAGGGGCAAATGTTAGAGTAAGATCATGAGGAATATGAAGATATCGCAAGAAAATACAAACTAAACAGAACATTTTCTTGTTGTGGTGTTTTGATGGGAAAAAAACATGATTGACAAGAAAAGATAAATATCATCTAAGTATTAGCCTGGAGTGAGTGAGTGAGTGAGTGAGTGAGTGAGTGAGTGAGTGAGTGAGTGAGTGAGTGAGTGAGTGAGTGAGTGAGTGAGTGAGTGAGTGAGTGAGATTCATTGAACAGCATTTCCTTTACATAACAAAGTATCAGCTTTTCGTGGGAGGAAAAGTGTATTTCACCCTATCATGGTCAACCATCCTCAAACTAGCATTGATTTATCAAGAATATCAAAGAAAGTCCACTTGGCAGGCAAGCTGGGCTGAAAAATTGCTATTTTGGGACATTCTAAATGACACAGTTTCAAATATTCAGGGGTATTTTAACATTAAGTTCAATATGATAATCTAAAACTAACCATGAATATCTGTTCCTCTTTATTAGTCTTGTTATCAGTGATATACATGTCACTTGATAATAACATCACTTATAACTAGACGAATTGTCATCAATGGCAATAACCAAAGATTGATTCAATGATCCAAACGATCACACAAACTAACATAATTTTCCTCAATCAAACACAAAAGATTCACCCAAATTCTCAGCTGTTGTCATGAGTCATTATATCCCCACATAACACATTTTTTAGCATCACCTCTTTTCGAGCCCCTTAACAATACATTCCTATGTGGAAACAGGCTTGAACAAAGTTTCCAGCTTCCTAAAAATATTTCACCCGAAAACATTCCAGTATCGCCATGGTCACTTCCCAAACAAATATGTCATGTACCAGTGTGTACTGTACTCCCATGCATAGCGAACCACTCGACCATATGACATGATGAACCCTGCCATATTATCCTCTTTCGTCAGAGCTAACAGACTAGAGTAGTTGTGATGCGGGGATCGTTGGAATGGCATATAAAGTATGAGATAGGATAAAGATATAAATATACATTTTACAATGAAATTTCCAAATTTTTAAACTTATCCTATCTTACACTATGCATTTATCTTAGTTTGAGGAACGGTGAGCCTCTGTAATGGTCTAAGCTTCCCACTTGGCAAGAAGGGACCTCAGCAGATATGCAAAACGCAAAGATGAAGCAATTCATGCAATGGGTGGAGCAGCTAGGAATGAGGCGGAAAGGCATAAGCATTGAGGCCTTCCCATGAGATTGCCAGAGCAACGTGATCCCATGCTTGAGGATTGGGAATCAGAGAGACGAATTGAGAGAGCTAAGCTTTAAACCTTGTTGACAGATCGATCACTGGGAGCGGGTAGAGTAGACCTGGTTGATGGGTCGTCATTCAGGGGTAGTTGGTACCCGGTCTGTAGAAGGACCGAGACAAAGGAATCATCCAGGATGGCCCTATTCCCTGCAAAGAGACCGAGTCTTCCACCTACACCTGATGTGTCATCAATGGGCACATTTGGTGGTGGAAGTTCCCAGTCATCCCAAATCTGTGGCAAGTCACTTGTTGGACGAGTCGCCTGCTCTGGCTCGCTGATGTCCTGCGACCGAAGAATGACACTGTACGTCCGGAGAAGGACTTGGATCCTTGCTGTCCCTGGCAGCCTCTCCCACTGCTGCAAAAAGAGCTTGATCTTCTGCTGATAACTTCTCAGAGGTCCCGTTGGGCGAGAACAAAGTGTTGGCGCCAACGCTTTCTTCTGTTGGTCTTTCAAATGTTGTCGCTTGACGCGCAGGAGATCGACTGACACCTGAAGATTAGTATCCTGATTGATATCCTAATTCACAAGGAACAGTCTGTGTGAGAGCTGGTGTGGAAGATGACAATCGGTAACTGCTTGGAGACTGTTGATCCATATGAGCGGCCATCCGAGGGGGACATCTATGAGTAGGAAAGGGACGTTGAGAATCTTCATGAGAGTAGATCCTCCAAAAGTCAATTGCTGGAGAGTCTATCCTCCAAATGGCAATGCTCCCCAGAGTGACTACGTGAACCCTAACGCCAATCCCCCGACTGACGAACTGAACCCGAATACCAATCTTCTGATTGACAAGACGAACTCGAATGTTAATCCTCTGACTGACGAGCTGAACCCGAATGTCAATCCTACGATTGACAAGCCGAACTCGAATGCCGATCCTGAGAGTGAGAATCAAGCCTCGCGACCAATTCTTGCTGTTAATTTGTAGTCGAAGTAGTTCCCGATCTACTTATTCCTGGTAAAGCACTAGTCGTCGACTTCGATGGCAAGGATGCGCGATCAGCCTCAGTCTAAACTGTACGCAGAAGAGCGGGAGACGAACATTGACTGGTAACTGATGAACCATGAGCAGTAATAGGATCGATAAAAGGTGTAGTCACTGGAGGTTCGGCTAGATTGATTGCCACCAGCACTTTATTAACATCCGAGATCACTGGTTGTTCCATTGTAGATTTAGATTCAGAGGTAACGGGAACACACTGCTTAGGCATCACAGGTGGGACATCATCAGTGAGAAAACAGTCAGAAACAATATCCTCTGTTATCGACAGCACAGGTACAGAGGAACCCGGAGGTGGGTCAACAACAACGGAGGAAGGGACATGCCCCTTATTAGATTCTTTGGGTTTCCTGACAGCTTGGGTTTTTTGATCGCCTGTCCATTTCACGTCTGTGGCATCTACATAAATATATTTTGAAGGATTCCTCTATCATGTGATCACACTCAGAACATCGCTTTGAAAAATTGCATTGTCCCCAGCAGTGCCATAAGGGTCTGAGGCAGAAAAAGTTGTTCTGCTTTCCTGACAAACCAAGCGAGGAGTAAGGTCATTGCTCATCCTATCCTCAAAATGTAGCATATTCAGGGCGATTTAGAGGAAAACCTGGTAAAAAAACAAACCTGCATTCTCTAAATATTCAAATACATGGTGATGAGAAAGAGGATGATATGGCAGGGTTAATCAGGTGATTAGGCCGTGTAGGTCGCTACGCATGGGAGTAGACAACGTGACCTGTTTGCTTGGGTAGTGATCATAATGAAGCTGGGCTGTGTTTGGGTGAACTAATTTTTAGAAAATTGAAACTCTGTTCAAGCACGTTTCCACATAGGATCGAAGAAGAAAAAAGAGATGCACAGTGTGCGATAGGATAAATTTCAAAATATGATTATACAAAAAACTTTCAACACTAACTATAACTATGAATTATGATCACAAATTGTGAAAAAAATGTATCCCTAATTGTAGTAAGTAGGTAAGTGAGTATGGTCTTACGCCGCTTTTTAGCAATATTCCAGCACTATCACGGCAGGGGACACCACAAATGGGCTTCACACATTGTACCCATGTCGGGAATCGAACACGTAACCCTAATTGTAAGGTTTTACTGACATTTGCTGCCAACTTAATACATCATGGACAACTTATGCATCAATGTAATGCATCATTTCTTTGATATATCTGAGTAACAATTTGATATTGACTAAATGAAGGTATACCTATTGTGCAGTAAATCATCTCATAGGCCAAGGTGGCAGGACCAAAATATTCACAAGTCGTACTGATTGTAGAACATCACAATTTGTATCGTTGTTTTTAACTAAACTGATATTAGCGAACATTTAAATCCATCATACAATGATTTCAGACACAACAGCTGTGTGATCTGTGCTCATGGGAACAGACATTCTGGAAATACTTACATGTTTTCTCGTTTGTTCAATTACAGCCAAGAAGGCATTTTCCCTCTCATTTCTCAGGAATCCCTGGACAAAATAGAGCAGCAAGAGTGTGAGCAGTCGGCTAGTACATAGTATGCTGCATTCAGCAATATTCCAACAGTATCTCAGGGTGGGACATGTGGGGAATCAAACCCCCATGCATTAGGCATGACAAGCCAACGCTTTAACCACCAGACCAGCCCACCAACCCAAAAGCAGTAAGACAAACCGACACAGGAACATGTTTGTTAAAATAGTTTGTAACATGTATTGATCAACTTCTTGTATTATCTCAGACAATTGTCAGAGAAAGTTATCTGGCTATAGCCACAGAATGAGACCAGCCCCACAAAAATCATCACAGGTCCCACAGAATATTGGTTAGACAACTACAATTTTCAAAATTGTACACTTCAAAACATTCAAAAATTCAAACATTTCCACAATTTCTGTAATTTCATGTCCAAGGTAAATAAAACACTGACATTTAATATTTTCAACTTAATATCTGACCACTTCAATCTTAAAATCACTGGTTCCAATTCAGGTCTTACTGACACTTAGTGGGCCAGTATACTTGTCAAACCCTGATCAATGAATGTTAAACACAAGGCCTCCATATTCTGATGCTACCTGAATATCTGTGTCAGCAACAGGCTCCAGTGGCTCAAATGTTGTGGTGGCCTTGAGGCCCTCGAGTCTCTCTGCAATCTTGGGTACAGCATAGCCCTTTGACCCCAGTAGAATTGACCTACCAATGGAGGGAAATACAACATTTCATCACTAATAAAACATTCTGTTCCTGTTAGTCACCTCTTACGACAAGCGTGGTCGCCTCTTTGGGCAAGCATGGGTTGCTGAAGACCTATTCTATCCCCAATTTTGTATATTGTTGCCATGGAGACTTAAAAATTAATTTTTCAAAAATCCCAAACTATCAAAAGAACCAGAAGAAGAAATATTCAACATTTGCTCCGGAAAAGACATCTTGCACAGACGGATGGACAGTGTCCATTTTATTACATTTCAGTCCGTGAAATTCTAAGAAGTCTATCTATTCACATTATTATATACAGCAAATGACACCTAGTGACATGCTTAGTTAGGTTACTTCTATTGCTATTGAAATGGAATGACAAATCATGATGTCATAATGCGACATAAAACTTAAATCCTCTGTTTCTGAGTTTCTGGGGTTTCGGTCCTGCCTCACATTGAAACACACATGTGATGTCTCCTTAGTCAAAGAGACTTGCACCCAGTAGGACAAGGCTTAACAGTCTAGTGCCTCACACGGCAACATGGGGGGCGGTCGGGTAGCCTTGTGGTTAAAGCGTTCGCTCGTCACGCCGAAGACCCGGGTTCGATTCCCGACATGGGTACAATGTGTGAAGCCCATTTCTGGTGTCCCCCGCCGTGATATTGCTGGAATATTGCTAAAAGCGGCGTAAAACCATACTCACTCACTCACTCACGGCAACATGGTTTGTACATACTCCACAGGGCACTGCGAATAACATTTGAGTACACACTGATCCAAAGACATTTGTAACAATAACATAGTGCCATAAGCATTCACTTAATAATTTACTGGTGAATGGAATATGACATATTATAAATGGACTCTTTATTGTATCATAATCATTATTCCTTCCTGTACTCACGCCTTAACATCAGATGCATCCTGACTGACAGGGGCTGTCTTTGTGAGCAGTCTCTGGCCAGCCTCTAGAATCTGATGCAGGTTCCGCTCAACGTGAGGCAGGTCAGTCCCGCTGTCCATGTCAGCGGTCAGCTGTTCTGCCTGCTGAAGCAGGTCACCAAACCCCTCCACCTCCATTGTGGGCAGGGCTGCTGCTTGCTGCTAAATAACTGTCAACACAAAAATGTCAAGTCTTTGATTGGCATTTAGAAGTTTTCAGAACACCAAGACAAGAAACTTTACAAGGAGAGCAAATTTTTCATTGTTTGTAAATACACAAATCCAAGAAAATCAGCCAGCCATTAACTGAGACTAACATTGTTACAAAGTTTCTTTTTTTATGTCTTTTTATGTCTATCGATCATGCTGTAAAGGACAATGGGAGAAAGGAATGCAATGGTGTTTTCCTAATAAATTTTCTGAGCTGGCAAAATATATGTTCAAACTGAGGCAAATGACAACTATCAAAATACCAATAACAGTACAGGTATCAGGCCTTAATTATCTTCAACATAAATATTTGTTTGAGGACTGAGTAATAGCAAACACAGGATTGTTGTGCATGCAGTGAGGTCTGTTTGATAACATGTATGGATATACATGTATGAGGCAAATGACACATTTCCTTGGTTCATAAACAAGAAATTACAGATTGCAGAATGTAGGAACCATGCCTAAAAGCTTTGTTTCCAGTCATATAATAATGTAAGCTGACATCTTATTCCGCATCAATATATCAACAGTAGCATCATGATGATTACCAATATGTCATTAACATAAGAATGAATCCCTATAATTTTGTCTATATAATCTTGATAGTGAATGTTGTTTATCATAAACATTAGTTTCTGTATAGTATGTCTATATATTATCGAGGTGTCTGTAAATCTTGTAATCCACACCCATTGTCGACTGTCTACTTATGCAAATCTAAGCATGATTTTTCATTGCTTGATCGAATACAGGACTTGTTGTGGTACATCACAGCTACTCGTAAGTGTATGTGTTAACTTTATTATGATATTTTCTGGCATGTTTTTGAAGTGTAATTACCCCTACTTCCATTTCGAAATTAGTTTGAAAAGAATCCATTTGTTTGGACGAAGTCCCTTGCCCCAACGTAGTCGTATGCATACTGATTAGGCATAAACCAAAACAGGTAGTTATGTAACCACATAATCCACACGTATCACACCACAAAATAGTGTTTCCACGATAATAAGAAAATCAGCATCAATCAATCCTATTTGGTGTGTCATAAAAGTTGAACAAAGTAAAAGAAACATTTTGTGTTTGACACATTTTATAGGTATCAAATATAAATAAACTACTGCAATAAAATAGTGTATCATGCTTAGTTCTTTTACAACAGGTTGGATAATAAAGGGCAAATCAATCCATTTTTAGGATCAATAGTAAAACGGTTCATCTCTATGTTGTTAGGAATGTTCAAATCGCGACAAACTCTGCTCATAATTTTATCTTTATTAGTTGTAGTTCATCTTAAGTATGGTCACCCTCCCCAAAAACAGTGGGAAATGAGTTAAGAAAAAAGAAAAACAAATGGGTAGGAAACAAACAAAATAATCTCAAACATAGTAGCAAATGCAATCTGCACAAAGTGAGCTCTATAAGTAATACGCATATGTGTATAGGACAACTGGCACATTTAGTAAGTTACAGTGAGACAATTCATGAACTACCCACAGACAGTTCAGAGTAGAAAACGAAAGTGGTTGCCGAACCTGGCGAAATAAATCAGTTTGCAAGGATGATGTGAAGTTCAAACAAAACAACTCTCACATATTTCTTCCAACATCCAAATTAATAGTTAAATTACGGCGGGTATCAATGTAGAATTTATGTCAGTTACCTGGTTAAGTGTGGATGATGATGTTGAGTCTCAAACGCCAGGTTTGAAGGTCTTCGCGGGGAAGGACGTTTCCGTTTCCGTAATTTAGGATCATACAAATGTTTGATCTAGAAACGAAAACCGTTATTGTTTCCCTATGGGATTTGTAGCACATATTAGCAAAAACTAATTTTGAGCTAAAATACAAGGTTATATGAAGAATGTACATGTTAAAATATGTTTTTTGAGTTTGTAGATCAAATTGTATCTTTAAAAAATGTTGGTGATTCCAGAAATTATTCCCATGCAGTGATTTGTAATGTTCCTTACTATACCCATAATGCAATGTTGGTCAAAATGGCCGCCCCCATGATGAAAACATGGTCCACATGAAACGTAATGATGCGTTTTGATTACATTTTCAGACTTCTCACTATGTGTTAAAATCAATTGCCATGTCAAAGTCGGGTTGAGGCTTATAAATATACAGACACTATAAAAATTCAGATCGATGTTCAAAAAGTTACACATTAATTTGAAAATAAATAGATCTAGGTCCACGTTGCAAATGATAACATTGTCGATCAAGAACATATGCCACTTAAAGAGTTGGAATGTGAAGATTTTCTTTTGAAATTGAATACTCCAATACTTCAACACAGTCGTCTCGCCGGCACCGATTTAATTCACCCACGTAGTCACCAGATGCCAATTATCGACAGCAAACCAAAGAACTGCGATTCCCAGCCTTCGGACCAACTAGGGGGTATCCGTTGTTTTACACGACACAACGCCTGGGTTGCCGTGGTTGTAACCAGGGATCCCGAAATTGTTTTTTGGCAAATCAGACTTTTGTGTTCCACCTACCTCATATGTGGCAGTTACTGTTGAACGTTCATGTATGAATAAGAGAATAAAAATCAAGTGTTACTTTCATAATATATACCATATTTTCTGAGTATAGTGCACACTTTGTTGAGTGGGCGCACAATGCACAGACATTACTGTGAGCTTGAAACACAAAAAAAAACATGTCAACATATCTGTACTGAAGTATGCAATTTAATCAGGACTGTTTTTACACTATCTAGTTGTCTGTTCATTGGACATTCGGACTTATGTTTGTAGTCTTTGTAATTAACTTTATTCAATATTTCATTCAATATTGTTTAGATCTATATTAATTGCAGCGAAATTGTGTGTGAAGTGGTCGACAAAATGCACTAACTTACTGCTATTTACAGCAACCCTGGTTAGGTTACCGCTATGGTTGTCGTGAAACAAACTTTAGCCATACTTTCACTCAATAAAGGCACATTTGTTGTAGTTGACATTTATGAGTCAGCATAATGTTTTCAGGATCAAGATACTTAGACCACAGGAAACCAGGACAGTGACTGGTCAAGTTGTTCCATACGTAAACAAGTGTAACGCTTAGGATCATAATTTTTTTAGCCGCTGTGGCTCTTGTTTTCACTGAATGCACTTGGGTTTTCGATCCTTAAGTTAGGGCTTAGGTAGGTAACTCATAACTTAAGTACCCCCTTCTGATCATGAGGGTTATGTAATACCCTTTCCGATCAAACACCCCATCACGATTCTGAGTGTTGGGCACCCTTTGCCAATCTAAGAAAAAAAATTCTTTGCTATAATGTTTTAAATATTTTAATGAAACCATTTGTTGTATGATTTCATTTTCTCTAATCCTCTGATCTGTTATTACCAGGAAATGGCACCTTTTTTGCCAAACTGAGGTTTTTTTTCACTTGGGGCCATTTTTACCATAACCCACACCCAGGAAACTGGTAGTGCACGTTTCATAAAAGTCTTGCATGTCTTTAAGAGGTAATACTATTCCAGGTCTGCACATGACAACAACTGAACATTGATTTGGTCAACAATGCCTTTAGACTACAGACAGAAAGTTATCCTCGCCCCTATGGTGAGGGTGTGCACCATCCCGATGAGACTGCTGGCCCTCGAGTATGGAGCTGACCTTGTATACTGTGAGGTACGTAGCAAACTTTTGTCTTGATCTTGATTTGTATAATCAACTATAGTCTTCCTGAACGAGGCAGGTCACATGATTCCTTGTGCCTGGTAGGGTGCCAAAGTCACCCTGTGTTGGAATGAAATGTTCTGTAGCCCTAAATCGGCTGACTGAGAGTCACCAAATGGCGAATGGCATTGTTTCGTTGAGCCTCATTAAGTCAAGGCATGACTTCAAGTACTCACTGCTCCTTGGGTGTGTGATGAAAATAGTCAAGACACTTGCACTTTATCGCCACTAGTGTATGTTTTTGTGCAAACACAGTGTATCTGTACGGTAATGAAAGCCAGTACGTGTGAAAACCAACAATCCACACATTGTGAAACCATTTATTGATAAAGATACCCATCTCTGAATCACTTACTTAAGTTGTTTCCAACTGTGCTGTTCCTTATTTGAGTGGTAGAATTGTATTGATATTCATGAAGTTTGGTGTGTTAACCCCAATTGAATTTTAGATATTCTCGGAGTGTTATGTATCATTTTACCACTGTTTACTAATTCCTGTAAATTTTACTTATGTACAATTAATGTCAGTGGATAAATGTATATATATATCATGTTAATGTTTTTAGTTAATAATATTATCATGATTATAGTAGTTATATAGTTTAGATAACAATATTATCATGATTATAGTAGTTATATAGTTTAGATAACAATATTATCATGTTTATAGAAGTTATATAGTTTAGATAACAATATTATCATGATTATAGTAGTTATATAGTTTAGATAACAATATTATCATGATAATAGTAATATAGTTTAGATAACAATATTATCATGATTATAGAAGTTATATAGTTTAGATAACAATATTATCATGATTATAGTAGTTATATATTATAATAACAAAGAGTGGTTATCATGGTTATGGGACCACAGATGTGATTTCTCTGATAAGTCTAAATGTTAAATGTAAGGAATATGTTTCTGAATCTCATGTTGGTTAAGGGGCGGTGAGGTAGCCTAGTTCTTAAACCAAAGACCCAGGTTCAAATCCCCACATGGGTCCTTGGTGTGAAACCCATATCTGGTGAAATTGCTGGAATATTGCTGAAAGTGACCTAAAACCGCAGTCACTCACTCAAGTTGACGTAGGATAGTTAGTGCCTTTAATGGTTCAAGTGTTCACCCTTGCAACAGAATACCTGGCTTCAATTCCTTACATGGGTTATCATTGGTATTGTTAAAATGGTTCATGACAACTTATCATTACTTTCAGGAAATTATAGACTTCAAGATTTTGACAGCCAAACGAAAAGTAAATGGTTTGTATATTAAAACTTATTTTTATCTTTTTTAACTGTTAATGCTACATTTTATACTTATAGCACATGATAATGGCACAGAGAATATTTATGTGTTTGTATCCTTGTAGATTTGAAACAATCATTCAAATTTTTAGAATGTCCTTTTTATTTATATCAGGTTATTTTTATCAAGGTTCGTTAAATGATAACATCTACCATGTAAAAAACCTGTTCAGTGAATGTGCTGTTTTATTGGTACTTGAGAAGTGACTATATTATATACTACTCAAAAGAAATAATAGAACATCAAATTCTTTTATATGACAATAGTTAATCTGTCATGGCATTACAGATTATCTTTTGCTATATAAAGAATCAGATGGTCTTAACTTCTTTTGAGTAGTATGTTTCTAAGAGTCAGCAAGAGTGAGGATTTGATGGTAACAACGTTAGGCCTCTCTGGTTGTGTGTCATTGTACTCTGACTGTGGAATGTTGCTCATGGTAACTACCACAGGTTTGCCAGCAATCACTGTCCGATTTTCTACTCCCATACATTAGGTCTGTACATGAAGATTGGACGACACCTCCATAGGATGTCACGTTAGGAGAATCTTCTAGTAAGCTAGTCAGTGTTGAGGCTTATAAATTTCCTGTACAAGTGATCTAAGCATTCAGACTAGCATGTCTAATTTGTGTGTCTCGAAAAACAAACTAATACGACAAGTTCTAAATGTAGATAAAAAGTACAGGTCATATTAATATCAGGGGGGCTTTTGTGGCCCAGTCGTCTAAGGCGCAGCGATTCGCTGTGCAGACTTGCGTCCCTTGGACACGCCAGAAACCTACGATTGTGGGTTCGAATCCCAGTTCGCCTCAATTATGTTTCTAGGTTTGTCACCACCATACCCGTGCTCATGGGTCTCATCGAAGTGGTAAACGTCTGAGACCTGCATCACTTTGGGCTTTCCTCCCAGATTAAGCTGACATGCCGTGATATAACTGGAATACTGTTAAAAGCTGCGTTAAACCCAACTCACTCACTCATTAATATCAGATCTTTTACTCCAATTTCGATACGTCTTTGCACGAAGACTTGACAAACCCTCTGTTGGAGATAACCTCAGGTGAATTTTCTAATCAGCCAATCAGCATGGAGCCTTCAAAATGAGTGTGGTATGAGCGAGCTAAGTTTTCCCGAGTAATACATTTTGTATCTCGAAAACAAACGTTATCAGGCAGTTCCAAATGGAGAATATAATATAAACATAAGCACCATGTCATTTTTCCCTGGCATCTGTACACAAAAGGGAAGAAGATACAAATATACCCTTGAAAGTGCACCCTTTTGTGACAGTTGTCCTTGTGTCTGGGGGATGGGGGTTGAAGTTTATGGCAGTATTGCTCCCAGACCTGGCGGGTAGCCAGGTGCGTGGAAGCTATGCCCAATTTTTTAAAAGTACTGATTTAATTTCAAAATTTTACTGCATCTGCCATCTTGTTTATTTGACTTATTGACTTTTGCCATTGACATATTACATTTCTTGGTGTGAATGTTGTCCAAACTGCACGAAATTGCTTAAAATGCAATCAAATGTTTTAAAAATTTCTGGGGGGGCATGCCCAGATCCCCCTTGACTTTTCCTCTTTCCTCGGGAAAACCTGCTCACATCCCTGATCTTGTGTCCAAATCAGTAACAGAAATTGTGACAATGAAAACCCACACATCTTTCATTTTAATTAAGCAGTCAAATTTCATTCAGGGTTCACCTGACATGTCTCTCCAGGAGGGTTTGTCAGATCTTCATCATGTTCATGCAGAGACGCATCTCATATTTGTATGTAGGACATGGTGATAATAGTGCTAGGGGCATGTTGATAGATGGAATATGTGTGTGTATTGATTGGATACAGGAATGTGTTTGAAGACTGACATTTGCCCATGTTTGTTACAGATGTTCTGGGCACAGTTGATTACATCCTGAATGATGACATCGTTGTGTTCAGGACATGTCCCCAGGAGAAACACAAGCTTGTGTTTCAGTTGGTAAGGTGTATGGAATGCTTTTCTACCATTTGTTATGTTTAAAAATTATTCATCCTATTGAAAAATTACGCTAAAGGATTTAGGGTATTACGGGTGAACGTTTTTTTCCATGAAGTGACTATATTATTTGGATTAGTACTTGTTATGGGATTGATCGACAATCCTTGGGACGGGCCAGTTATTTGAGGCTTGTAATTTTCTTTGCAGATATGCATCCAGTAACCATAGCAAAAACGATGAATGTGAATGTGAATGTGAATCTCAAATTTGACATGATTAAGTTTCTAGGTTTGTCAAAATCATACCCATTATCGAGGGTTTCACCTAATTGGTATGGTCCAAAACCTGTATGACAAGGCTTTCCTGCACTCACCACCCACCCACTCACCTACTCAACCCCTCAACCACCCTCTCACTCACCATATAAAATAGTCCTGCATTTAGTTTGGTAAACATGATGATACTTAGTTGGAATTGAAGGAGAAAGTCACTGTTGTTTTTCTTTGATTCAGGGAACAGCAGATGCAAAGAGGGCTCTGATTGCAGCCAAAAAAGTGTGAGTAACTATGGTTACAGAACCTTCCTCACCTCCCAGGATGTATTGAGGTCGTGGGTTTGAATCCTAGATTTGCCCCATGGATCAAGAACTCACTTGCATCCCATTTTCACACTGACATGAAATAGGTTGGGCAGGTATAAATGTTACCACCTTCTGCCAGAAGACATATGCCCAGACCTGTGTTACAAAGGTTATTGCTTGAATACAGTATTTGCTTTATGTGTCGTATTAATCATGTTCATTGACATTATGTTTATGTTTAAAAATAATAATTTATCTTTATATGTCCCTTTTGTATGCCGCCATTTTGAAAAACGGGGGGATATAGTACAGCCCCAATCAACATGTCCATCTACTTTCATTTTCCTAAACCGCTGAATGTTTCAAGATGAAACTTGCTATACAGATCAGTCTAGTGGTGAACTGGTACCTTTTATGATTTGGGATTTTTATTTTCTTTATTTTAATATTTTTTCATGAAAACAAGTTGGACTTTACTGAAACCAAGTATGGTGCTCGTTTCCGGAGCAGAACTCCAAAACCGATGAATATTTCAAGATAAAACTTGCTATTTAGATCAGTCTAGTAATGAATTGGTGCCTTTTGATGATTTGGGAATATCTTTTTCTTTTTTTTATATGTTTTTCATGTTTTGGGATAAATAAAATTAAAGATTTGTTAATATTTTCAAGATGACAACTTAGACTTTATTGAAAATGAGGGTGGTGCTCACCATTGAGCATCAGTCTAGTGGAGCACTGGTGCCTATTGATGATTTAGGATATTAGAAACTGCTGAACAGCATTATTTGTTTCTTCTCTGAACTGAAGGTATCCAATGGCAAGGAACCAAAAGACGGATACAAGTAGCCAAACTCCATTAGAACCAGAACAAGAGGATAGGTCATCTCCAGATGACTCTTGTTTAAACCATCTTCCTTTTTAATTGAGGTAGAACTGGAATGATTCTAAAGCATGGTAAATACCGGTAAACATTATGCTGAGTGAGAAATTCTGTTCTTTTCAGGGAGAATGATGTTTCTGCCATAGATGTCAACATGGGCTGCCCCAAGGAGTTCTCCATCAAGGTATACACTTTGTGTGTCAGCAGGTCCTGTACCAAGTCTGGCCACAACTCCACATCAGGGCTGTACTATACACTTTGTGTGTCAGCAGGTCCTGTACCAAGTCTGGCCACAACTCCGCATCAGGGCTGTACTATACACTTTGTGTGTCAGCAGGTCCTGTACCCAGTCTGGCCACAACTCCACATCAGGGCTGTACTATACACTTTGTGTGTCAGCAGGTCCTGTACCCAGTCTGGCCACAACTCCGCATCAGGGCTGTACTATACACTTTGTGTGTCAGCAGGTCCTGTACCCAGTCTGGCCACAACTCCACATCAGGGCTGTACTATACACCTTGTGTGTCAGCAGGTCCTGTACCCAGTCTGGCCACAACTCCGCATCAGGGCTGTACTATACACTTTGTGTGTCAGCAGGTCCTGTACCCAGTCTGGCCACAACTCCGCATCAGGGCTGTACTATACACTTTGTGTGTCAGCAGGTCCTGTACCAAGTCTGGCCACAACTCCACATCAGGGCTGTACTATACACCTTGTGTGTCAGCAGGTCCTGTACCCAGTCTGGCCACAACTCCGCATCAGGGCTGTACTATACACTTTGTGTGTCAGCAGGTCCTGTACCCAGTCTGGCCACAACTCCGCATCAGGGCTGTACTATACACTTTGTGTGTCAGCAGGTCCTGTACCCAGTCTGGCCACAACTCCGCATCAGGGCTGTACTATACACCTTGTGTGTCAGCAGGTCCTGTACCAAGTCTGGCCACATCTCCACATCAGGGCTGTCCTATACACCTTGTGTGTCAGCAGGTCCTGTAAGTGAGTGAGTGAGTGAGTGAGTGAGTGAGTTTCTGGCGTGGCCAAGGGACACAACTGTCTGGTTACAATACCCACATTGGGGCTGTACTTTTCAGTTTGTGTGTCAGCAGGTCCTGTACCCAATCTGGCCACAACTCTACATTGGGGCTGTACTATACACCTTGTGTGTCAGCAGGTCCTGTAAGTGAGTGAGTGAGTGAGTGAGTGAGTGAGTGAGTTTCTGGCGTGGCCAAGGGACACAACTGTCTGGTTACAATACCCACATTGGGGCTGTACTTTTCAGTTTGTGTGTCAGCAGGTCCTGTACCCAATCTGGCCACAACTCCACATCAGGGCTGTACTATACACCTTGTGTGTCAGCAGGTCCTGTACCTAGTCTGGCCACAACTCCACATTGGGGCTGTACTATACACCTTGTGTGTCGGCAGGTCCTGTGAGTGAGTGAGTGAGTGAGTGAGTGAGTGAGTTTCTGGCGTGGCCAAGGGACACAACTGTCTGGTTACAATACCCACATTGGGGCTGTACTATACAGTTTGTGTGTCAGCAGGTCCTGTACCCAGTCTGGCCACAACTCCACATTGGGGCTGTACTATACAGTTGGTGTGTCAGCAGGTCCTGTACCCAATCTGGCCACAACTCCACATTGGGGCTGTACTATACACCTTGTGTGTCAGCAGGTCCTGTGAGTGAGTGAGTGAGTGAGTGAGTGAGTGAGTTTCTGGCGTGGCCAAGGGACACAACTGTCTGGTTACAATACCCACATTGGGGCTGTACTATACACCTTGTGTGTCAGCAGGTCCTGTACCCAGTCTGGCCACAACTCCACATTGGGGCTGTACTATACACCTTGTGTGTCAGCAGGTCCTGTACCCAGTCCGGCCACATCTGTGTGTTCTGTGTGATGTCTGGTAATATGTGTTCTGTGTGATGTCTGGTAATGTCTGTTCTGTGTGATGTCTGGTAATATGTGTTCTGTGTGATATCTGGTAATGTCTGTTCTGTGTGATGTCTGGTAATATGTGTTCTGTGTGATGTCTGGTAATGTCTGTTCTGTGTGATGTCTGGTAATATGTGTTCTGTGTGATGTCTGGTAATGTCTGTTCTGTGTGATGTCTGGTAATATGTGTTCTCTGTGATATCTGGTAATGTCTGTTTTGTGTGATGTCTGGTAATATGTGTTCTGTGTGATGTCTGGTAATGTGCGTTCTGTGTGATATCAGGTAATGTCTGTTTTGTGTGATGTCTGGTAATATGTGTTCTGTGTGATATCAGGTAATATGTGTTCTGTGTGATATCAGTTAATGTGTGTTCTGTGTGATATCAGTTGATGTGTGTTCTGTGTGATGTCTGGTAATGTGCGTTCTGTGTGATATCAGGTAATATGTGTTCTGTGTGATATCAGTTAATGTGTGTTCTGTGTGATATCAGTTGTGTGTTCTGTGTGATATCAGTTAATGTGTGTTCTGTGTGATAGTTGGTAACATGTGTTCTGTGTGATATCTGGTAATGTGTGTTCTGTGTGATATCAGTTAATGTGTGTTCTATGTGATATCAGTTAATGTGTGTTCTGTGTGATGTCTGGTAATATGTGTTCTGTGTGATATCAGGTAATATGTGTTCTGTGTGATATCTGGTAACGTGTGTTCTGTGTGACATCTGGTAACGTGTGTTCTGTGTGATATCAGATAATGTGTGGTCTGTGTGATATTAGGTAATATGTGTTCTGTGTGATATCAGTTAATGTGTGTTCTGTGTGATATCTGGTGACGTGTGTTCTGTGTGATATCAGTAAATGTGTGTTCTATGTGATATCAGTTAATGTGTGTTCTCTGTGATATCAGGTAATATGTGTTCTGTGTGATATCAGTTAATGTGTGTTCTGTGTGATATCAGGTAATATGTGTTCTGTGTGATGTCAGTTAATGTGTGTTCTATGTGATATCTGGTAACGTGTGTTCTGTGTGATGTCAGTTAATGTGTGTTCTATGTGATATCACTTAATGTGTGTTCTCTGTGATGTCTGGTAATATGTGTTCTGTGTGATATCAGGTAATATGTGTTCTGTGTGATATTTGGTAATATGTATTCTGACTGATATCAATTAATGTGTGTTCTGTGTGATATCTGGTAACATGTGTTCTGTGTTCCAGGGAGGAATGGGGGCCGCGCTCCTGTCAAAACCAGAGAAGATCAAAGAAGTAAGGGTTTACTTCATCCACTTCAGTGATGTAATCAGCTGTGGGGTGTTCCGCCACGATGTTATGAGGGAAGGGTTGTTCCACAATCTCATTAAAATCAGATCTTACTTCTTGCTACTGCTAAACAAAAATCTGAGGACAACCCATTATGGGTCACTTCAGAACAAACTTTTATAGCATCGCTTCACAGAAAATGACAGTCGGAATGTCTTCAAATCATGCAACAAGCATGAGGGGAAGGGTTGTTTCATCAAGGACGTTGTTATGAGGGGAAGGGTTGTATCATCAAGGATGTTGTTATGAAGGGAAGGGTTGTTTCATCAAGGATGTTGTTATGAGAGGAAGGGTTGTTTCATCAAGGATGTTGTAATGAGGGGAAGGGTTGTTTCATCAAGGATGTTGTTATGAGGGGAAGGGTTGTTTCATCAAGGGTGTTGTTTGAGGGGAAGGGTTGTTTCATCAAGGGTGTTGTTTGAGGGGAAGGGTTGTTTCATCAACGATGTTGTTATGAGTAGGAGGGTTGTTTCATCAAGGGTGTTGTTTGAGGGGAAGGGTTGTTTCATCAAGGGTGTTGTTTGAGGGGAAGGGTTGTTTCATCAAGGGTGTTATTATGAGGGGAAGGGTTGTTTCATCAAGGATGTTGTTATGAGGGGAAGGGTTGTTTCATCAACGATGTTGTTATGAGGGGAAGGTTGTTTCATCAAGGGTGTTGTTTGAGGGGAAGGGTTGTTTCATCAAGGATGTTGTTATGGGAGAAGGGTTGTTTCATCAAGGATGTTGTTATGAGGGGAAGGGTTGTTTCATCAAGGATGTTGTTATGAGGGGAAGGGTTGTTTCATCAAGGATGTTGTTTGGGGGGGAAGGGTTGTTTCATCAAGGAGTAGGAGGGTTGTTACATCAACGATGTTGTTATGAGTAGAAGGGTTGTTACATCAACGATGTTGTTATGAGTAGGAGGGTTGTTACATCAACGATGTTGTTATGAGTAGGAGGGTTGTTATATCAACGATGTTGTTATGAGTAGGAGGGTTGTTATATCAACGATGTTGTTATGAATAGGAGGGTTGGTTCATCAACGATGTTGTTATGAGGGGAAGGGTTGTTTCATCAAGGATGTTGTTTGAGGGGAAGGGTTGTTTCATCAAGGATGTTGTTATGAGTAGGAGGGTTGTTATATCAACGATGTTGTTATGAATAGGAGGGTTGGTTCATCAACGATGTTTGTGAGAAAGGGTTGTTCCATCCATATTGCTAATGTCTCATGCTATCCCTGCTGCAGATATTGACAACTCTTGTGTCTGGCCTGTCTATACCTGTAACATGCAAGATCAGAATTCTGCCCAAGGTTTGTACAATATGTTTTACTCTCACCTTAAACACACAAAGTAACAAAGGGTGTTTTGTCTTATAACCCTAATCTTCAGAAGCATTTGTGTGGCATGACTCTGACCCATCAATGTCACAGTGAAAGTCATGTGTCACTCATATACCAAGAACTACAACACCTGTCCACTACTGTGAGTTTCCTTCAACATTGCCTGTAGAGTATTGCTGTGTACCTCCCTACTGCAGTATTGCTGTGTACCTCCCTACTGCAGTATTGCTGTGTACCTCCCTACTGCTGTATTGCTGTGTACCTCCCTACTGCAGTATTGCTGTGTACCTCCCTACTGCTGTATTGCTGTGTACCTCCCTACTGCAATATTGCTGTGTACCTCCCTACTGCAATATTGCTGTGTACCACCCTACTGCAGTATTGCTGTGTACCACCCCACTGCAGGATTGCTGTGTACCAACCTACTGCAGTATTCCTGTGTTAAAACCCTACTGCAGCATTGCTGTGTTATGCCCTACTGCAGTATTCCTGTGTTATGCCCTACTGCAGCATTGCTGTGTTATGCCCTACTGGAGCATTGCTGTGTTATGCCCTACTGCAGCATTGCTGTGTTATGCCCTACTACAGCATTGCTGTGTTATGCCCCGCTGCAGTATTGCTGTGTACCTCCCAACTGTAGTATTGCTGTGTACCTTCCTACTGTAGTATTGATTGTGTACCTCCCTACTGCAGTATTGCTGTGTATCTCCCTACTGCAGCATTGCTGTGTTATGCCCTACTGCAGCATTGCTGTGTTTGCCCTATTGTAGTATTGCTGTGTTATGCCCTACTGCAGTATGGCTGTGTAATACCCTACTGCAGTATTGCTGTGTTATGCCCTACTGCAGTATGGCTGTGTAATACCCTACTGCAGTATTGCTGTGTTATGCCCTACTGCAGTATTGCTGTGTTATGCCCTACTGCAGTATTGCTGTGTTATGCCCTACTGCAGTATTGCTGTGTTATGCCCTACTGCAGTATTGTTGCGTTATGCCCTACTGCAGTATTGCTGTGTTGTGCCCTACTGTAGTATTGCTGTGTCATGCCCTACTGCAGTATTGCCTTGTTATGCCCTACTGCAGTATTGCTGTGTTATGCCCTACTGTAGTATTGTTGTGCTGTGCCCTACTGGAGTATTGCTGTGTTGTGCCCTACTGTAGTATTGCTGTGTGGCCCCTACTGGAGTATTGCTGTGTTATGCCCTATTGCAGTATTGCTGTTATGCCCTACTGTAGTATTGCTGTGTTATTCCCTACTGTAGTATTGCTGTGTTATGCCCTACTGCAGTATTGCTGTTATGCCCTACTGCAGTATTGCTGTGTTATGCCCTACTGCAGTATTGCTGTGTTATGCCCTACTGCAGTATTGTTGCATTATGCCCTACTGCAGTATTGCTGTGTTGTGCCCTACTGTAGTATTGCTGTGTCATGCCCTACTGCAGTATTGCCTTGTTATGCCCTACTGCAGTATTGCTGTGTTATGCCCTACTGTAGTATTGTTGTGTTGTGCCCTACTGGAGTATTGCTGTGTTGTGCCCTACTGTAGTATTGCTGTGTGGCCCCTACTGGAGTATTGCTGTGTTATGCCCTATTGCAGTATTGCTGTTATGCCCTACTGCCGTATTGCTGTGTTATTCCCTACTGTAGTATTGCTGTGTTATGCCCTACTGCAGTATTGCTGTTATGCCCTACTGCAGTATTGCTGTGTTGTGCCCTACTGCCGTATTGCTGTGTTGTGCCCTACTGCCGTATTGCTGTGTTATGCCTTACTGTAGTATTGCTGTGTTATGCCCTACTGCAGCATTGCTGTGTTATGCCCTACTGTAGTATTGCTGTGTTATGCCCTGCTGTAGTATTGCTGTGTTATGCCCTGCTGTAGTATTGCTGTGTTATGCCCTGCTGTAGTATTGCTGTGTTATACGCTACTGCAGCATTGGTGTGTTATGCCCTTGTGTAGTATTGCTGTGTAACATTGTTCTCTGTTCAGTTGGAGGACACACTGAAGCTGGTTAAGCTAATCGAGAGTACAGGAGTGGCAGCCATTGCCGTCCACGGGCGCACAAAGTATGAGAGGTCACGGCATCACAACCGCAATGATGTCATCAGAGCCATCGCAGAGCATCTCTCAATACCAGTCATTGCAAAGTAAGTGAAACATGTCGCAGAATGGCTTTATTCTCAAAACTTGTCTGTTCGTGTTGGCTGACAAAGCAGTAATGTGCTCTTATGTGACATCACCTTTTCTGGGTCATGTGTCAGCTGTGTTAGGGTACTGCTACACTACTGGTTGGAACAACTTCTTCTGTAGCTGGACCTCTCACAGCTTTGTCTTTCTGTAAAAAAAAACAGCTGTAAATGCATTAACGAGTAATGCAGGATAAGTAGACAAATGTAAAGATTTCATTTAAATGTGAATAGTAAAGTCTTAATTCCAAGTTGGGAATTTTTACTGACATTTGCTGGGCCGAATATTGGCCTCTGAGCAAGTCTTGATACATCAAACAGATGCGTGTCTTATTTTTCCTATTTGAAAAAACAGTGGTGGGTCTCGAGATATAAAGACTCTTAAAGAAATCAAGGAATTCTGGAAAGAAGCAGGCACCTCCTCAGTGATGATAGCACGAGCTGCCGAATGGAACGTGTCAGTGTTTAGACCTGACGGTCCGCTCCCTCTGTATGAAGTCATCAGGAAGTACCTCAGATTTGTACGTATATGGCGACACAATCATTTATGAATGGTCTAATCTTGATCAATATGATCAAAAACAAAAATTATTTCTTGCATTGATCCAATATGGTACAATTTATGAAACAAACATTAAATGCTCACAATGATCTTGACATGGTTGGGTGCACAGGTGGTGCAGTCGTCTAAGGTGCCATAATTCTCTGTTACAAGTGTCATCCTTTAGGTGTGCTAGATTCTTGGGCCTTTCCCCCAGGTCATAGCAACCAAAAACAAGTCCAATGTTGGTAATACAATCTCAGTGTTACCGCCTCATTGGTATAGTGGAAAGAGCGTCTGCCTTCAAATCAGAATGTCAGTGGTTCGATCTCGGCCGCACCATACCAAAAGATGGTATCAATGTGACAGCTGGTTATTTTTGGTCGTCAGTGAAAAATGTTCTTCCTGCCTACAAAGATGGAATAGTCGTTTCCTCAGAACAAATTGTTACAGGTACCTGTAAGACAAAAATTGTTTTTTCTCTTCTCCAGGCTGCAGAGTATGACAACAACGCCATCAACACGAAGTACTGTGTCCTGCAGATGATGCATGAGACGATGAAGGAGCCAGAGGGACAGGCCATGCTGGGAGTCACCACCATGGACGAGATATAGTGAGATACTGCAGGGGGGATATAGTGAGATACTGCAGGGGAGATATAGTGAGATACTGCAGGGGAGATATAGTGAGATACTGCAGGGGGGATATAGTGAGATACTGCAGGGGAGATATAGTGAGATACTGCAGAGGGATATAGTGAGATACTGCAAGGGGGATATAGTGAGATAATGCAGAGGGATATAGTGAGATACTGCAGAGGGATATAGTGAGATACTGCAGAGGGATATAGTGAGATACTGCAGGGGGGATATAGTGAGATACTGCAAGGGGGATATAGTGAGATAATGCAGAGGGATATAGTGAGATACTGCAGAGGGATATAGTGAGATACTGCAGGGGGGATATAGTGAGATACTGCAAGGGGGATATAGTGAGATAATGCAGAGGGATATAGTGAGATACTGCAGAGGGATATAGTGAGATACTGCAGAGGGATATAGTGAGATACTGCAGGGGGATTTAGTGAGATACTGCAGGGGGGATATAGTGAGATACTGCAGGGGAGATATAGTGAGATACTGCAGAGGGATATAGTGAGATACTGCAAGGGGGATATAGTGAGATAATGCAGAGGGATATAGTGAGATACTGCAGAGGGATATAGTGAGATACTGCAAGGGGGATATAGTGAGATACTGCAAGGGGGATATAGTGAGATAATGCAGAGGGATATAGTGAGATACTGCAGAGGGATATAGTGAGATACTGCAGAGGGATATAGTGAGATACTGCAGGGGGATATAGTGAGATACTGCAAGGGGGATATAGTGAGATACTGCAGAGGGATATAGTGAGATACTGCAAGGGGGATATAGTGAGATACTGCAGAGGGGATATAGTGAGATAATGCAGAGGGATATAGTGAGATACTGCAGGGGGGATATAGTGAGATACTGTAGTGGAGATATAGTGAGATAGTGTAGTGAAGGTATAGTAAGATACTGCAGTGGGAATATGGTGAGATACTGCAGAGGGATATAGTGAGATACTGCAGTGGGCATATAGTGAGATACTGCAGTGGGAATATGGTGAGATACTGCAGAGGGATATAGTGAGATACTGCAGTGGGGATATAGTGAGATACAGCAGTGGGAATATGGTGAGATACTGCAGAGGGATATAGTGAGATACTGCAGTGGGGATATAGTGAGATACAGCAGCGGGAATATGGTGAGATACTGCAGAGGGATATAGTGAGATACTGCAGGGGGGACATAGTGAGATACTGCAGAGGGATATGGTGAGATACTGTAGTGGAGATGTAGTGAGATACTGTAGTGGAGATATAGTGAGATACTGCAGAGGGATATAGTGAGATACTGCAGGGGAGATATAGTGAGATAGTGTAGTGGGGATATAGTGAGATACTGTAGTGGAGATATAGTGAGATACTGTAGTGGAGATATAGTGAGATACTTGGAGCAGGAGACAGGGGATTTATATCACTGCTGATTATATAATAAAATGAGATACTGCAGTATGATGAATACTGCCACAGCCAGACCTTGCAAGTTATTGAGTAAAGCAAGAGATAATGTCTACATAGTAGACCCGGAAGTCAAAAAGCCTTACCTTAATGTTCAGTCAGTGGTAATTTAACACATTATGTCTTTTCAGTGACATCTGGGACATGAAGGAGTTCTATTCTGACGTTCTAAAGAAGAGGAAAGCGCAGGAAGAAATGATGAAAAGTGATACAGGAGAAAATGACCATTGTATAAAACGCAGGAAAACAGACGATGGCAGCGTGTTGTATGAATTCCCAGTCCGATTCATTAAGTAAGTAGTATTGCATGTGAAAGGATATGGAAAGGGAATACCCAGCTTCATCCAGCTTGTCTTAACCCTTTGGGGACTGGGTTAGCATAACTCCTTAATTCTATCGGGTGGTCGGGCTCTGTGACTTGGATGATTGTGTCATCATACATCTGAGTTGTTCCTCGTAATATCAACCTCTGGTTTGTCTGACCCTGACTCACTGACTCACTCATTGACAGACAGCTGAGGTATGGCTGGAACATTACTGACTGCAGTGACTAACAGCTTTAATGCACACTACCTATGTAAACAGATTTAGTGCCCACAATGTGCATGCCTTGTTTGTTGTCTCCCCTCACATGCTGAACTAAAAGTTCCATCCATTCATTGGTTCCCCTACAGAAAGGACTATCCAGTTGCTGTCACTCCAAAACAGCGCCTGTATGAATGGTGCAAGAAGAACAGGGTTGATCTACCCAAGTACAACACAGTAAGTCACTGAAGTACAACACTGTAAGTCACCCAAGTACAACACCGTTTATCACCCCAGTACAACACTGTTTATCACCCCAGCATAACACTTTTTATCACCATAGTGCAACACTGTATGTCACCCCAGCATAACACTGTTTAAAACACCCCAGTACAACACTGTTTATCACCCCAGCATAACACTGTTTATCACCATAGTGCAACACTGTATGTCACCCCAGCATAACACTGTTTAAAACACCCCAGGACAACACTGTTTATCACCCCAGCATAACACTTTTTATCACCATAGTGCAACACTGTATGTCACCCCAGCATAACACTGCTTAAAACACCCCAGTACAACACTGTTTATCACCCCAGCATAACACTGTTTATCACCATAGTGCAACACTGTATGTCACCCCAGCATAACACTGTTTAAAACACCCCAGTACAACACTGTTTATCACCCCAGTACAACACTGTTTATCACCCCAGTACAACACTGTAAGTCACTCAAGTACAACACTGTATGTCACCTCAGTGCAACACTGTTTATCACCCCAGCATAACACTGTTTATCACCATAGTGCAACACTGTATGTCACCCCAGCATAACACTGTTTAAAACACCCCAGTACAACACTGTTTATCACCCCAGTACAACACTGTTTATCACCCCAGTACAACACTGTAAGTCACTCAAGTACAACACTGTATGTCACCTCAGTGCAACACTGTATATCACCCCAGTACAATACTGTATGTCACCCTAGTAAAACTCTGTATATCACCCCAGTACAACACTGTATGTCACCCCAGTTCAACACTGTATGTCACCCCAGTTCAACACTGTATATCACCCCAGTACAATACTGTATGTCACCCTAGTAAAACTCTGTATGTCACCCCAGTACAACACTGTATGTCACCCCTGTACAACACTGTATGTCACCCCAGTACAACACTGTATGTCACCCTAGTAAAACACTGTATGTCACCCCAGTACAACACTGTATATCACCCCAGTACAACACTGTATGTCACCCCAGTTCAACACTGTATGTCACCCCAGTTCAACACTGTATGTCACCCCTGTACAACACTGTATATCACCCCAGTACAACACTGTATATCACCTCAGTTCAACATTGTATATCACCCCAGTACAACACTGTATATCACCCCAGTTCAACATTGTATATCACCCCAGTACAACACTGTATGTCACCCCAGTTCAACACTGTATATCACCCAAGTACAACGCTGTATATCACCCCAGTACAACAATGTATATCACCCCAGTATAACACTGTATGTCACCCCAGTACAACACTGTATGTCACCCCAGTACAACACTGTATGTCACCCAGTACAACACTGTATGTCACCCCAGTTCAACACTGTATGTCACCCCAGTACAACACTGTATGTCACCCCAGTACAACACTGTATGTCACCCAGTACAACACTGTATGTCACCCCAGTTCAACACTGTATGTCACCCTTACCTGGACGACTTAATATCTTGATACTTAAATGGGCATGCTTCATTCTATCCAGAGGACATAGGTAGTACATTCATAAAAGACACAGCAATTTGCTGTGCAGAGTTGCATCCCTTATGCATGCCAGAATCCAATGATTCTTGGTTTGAATCCCAGATTTGCCCTGATTATGTTTCATGGTTTGTCAGCGCCATACCCATCTCCCTTGGTTTCATCAAAGAGTTGACATTGTGAGCCCCCCTTGGTGAGAGTGATGTTAAACTGGTTTTCCTGCGCAGGTGGACCGAGTGGAAGACCGATGCTTCAGCAGTGTAGTGACAGTGCAGGGAATCAAGTACACAACTCCTTTCTGGTAAGTTCACACAGTCTCACAAGTTAAGTGAAGGTTTTATTATATATGGCACTCTTCATAATGCAGGTGCCGTAGGTCATTTAAGATGCTATATTAACTCCTAACTCAATGCTTGTTGATTGTGTTGAGGATGACACCTTGACGATTGATGTTTGTGTGGGTTGTGGTTTAGGGCCCCGTTCCACAAAGCAATCTTAGCGCTAAGACGATCGTAACTCCCACACTGTACCATAGACTTGCAACAGTCGTAAGGCTAAGTTTTTTTTTAGGAATGGGACCCAGGTTTCTTTACGCCCTATGGTTTGACTACATGTACTGATGGATGAGAGGTTGAGTAAGCTTGGTTTGTTGATATGCATATCTGGTTGAACAAAATCAACCAACTCAAGTTTGACCCATTCATTACCAACCCAAGTTTTCAGGGAGGAGAAGTGAGTTTGTAAGTTTTGCTTTAAGTCCAGTACATGTCCTGGTGGTTGAGAGCAGGAGTAGAAATCCATGCTGACAGGGAATGATGACACTTTGAGGTCAAACATTATGAGCACCCGATGCTCCGTGCTGCTTTTTCTTACAGCTTGAGGGGCTGTCGGGTAGCCTAGTGGTTAAAGCGTTCACTCATCACGCCGAAGACCCGGGTTCAATTCCCGACATGGGTACAATGTGTGAAGCCCATTTCTGGTGTCCCCCGCCGTGATATTGCTGGAATATTGCTAACAGTGGCGTAAAACCAAACTCACTCACTCACTCTTACAGCATGCATGGGTGCTGAGTACCCATTGTTACCGGTAGTGAATGGCTGGTCAGGTCATCTAAAGCTCTGCAATTCTATGTTGCACAGAATCCTTGTTTCACCCTGATTATGTTTCTTGGTTTGTCAGCACCATACCATTGCTCATGGGTTTCACTAAAGTGATAAATTTTCAAGATCTGCATCACTTCGGGCACTCCTCCCACATTGAACTGACATTCTGCGAAGTTGTATTAAACCATTCCCACTCATGCATACATTTTCAGGTAATGTTTGGATGTGTGTATATTAGACTGCTGACATATTATGACTGCAATACTGTTTAAAAACTATGTTAAACAAATTGCTTCACTCACTCATTCGTTCCTTTAGCCCCTCTGGGATGGCTGAGAGGAAGTAGCCATTGCTTTTATGGCAGATCGACGGATGCTGTAACTCTAAACAGACCTGAATTTTTTATTTTTTTTATACTTTTAGGGAGAAGTCCAAGCCATTAGCTGAACAAGGAGCTGCCATTGCTTGTATGATAACCTTGGGTGAAGACGATGGTCGCCTGGAAGAAGCTAAGCATGAAAAAGAGACCATGCACCGGAAGTGGGCGCAGTTCCACAGTCAAAGTAACAATGATGAGTCAAGTACGAAAAGGAAGGCCACTAGTGATCGAACTTCTGAAGAAACTGGTGTAGGAACATTTGAAAAAGGAGACTTTGTGGAACCAGATTCACCTGAAACAAACTCAAAAAAGACGCCAGAAGAGAGTTAACACATGCTTAGTTTTATATAGTCACTCCATTCATACTCCATAGCATTGTTTTTGTCATTCTGTCAGCTGAAGGACATATGTTGTGAATATGTATTTATTTCTTGACGCAACATTTTGCTAATTCCCTCTCCCGCCTCAATCCCATAACACAGAACCCAAAACGTGCCTTGTCAAGGATCAGAGTTACCTCCCCATGAACCCTCATTGAGATTCAGTGCATGTGTTGTCACCTTCCAAGAGACAGACATCATGGCGACTGGAATCTCAACTATGTCTGCTACAAGTCTACCCAATACCTTTGTCAGCTATTCTGTCGCTACGCTGTAGAGCTTTCTACACCTGTTATGTTGCATCCAAGCGTTGTGGCACCTCCTTCAGTTACTTCAAACCTGCATTCTTCATTCGTAAACACCGTGGCGACTGACAGGTCTACAAGTCAAGACATCCACAAGAAGCTACAGCAGCTTCGTTAATTCAGAGCACTGGGACACCTACAGCTACTTGATAGCTTTTGAGAACTTCTGCGCAATCGAGGGTGTCAACGCCTCCAAGCCCCTGGTTGTCTTCTCGACCTTTGTTGCCACCTTTAATACGGTCTTCTGTCATATTGCCACCTTCTAATGAGTTGCCGTCTGTGCCTGTAAGGCGTGAGATAGTGCCGTCTGATAAGGACAGTATCCATCAGATTGCTTATGAGTAACATGTGGTTTTGGCTGGGGATACGCTCCCTTGATGACTGTCTTCAATGGTTGGGGAATATGAACATCGAAAGGGAGAAAATTTCAAGTCGTACTTTGAAAGGCGCCTCCTGTGGGTTCCAGAAGATGTTGGCCTCTTTTTATTTGAGGCCTCAATCTACGATCATGTGAACATCAGCTGTCTGGCATTTCGGGCAGTAGCTGGTTATTTTAGTGATGCTTCATTCAGTGTATCTATGTCATTTGGTCAAATACTGAGGGAGACAATATGAATGTCTTGCAGCCAAAGCATAGTTGACATTGAAGTTATAATGTTGATATTACATGGCGACGAGGACAAGGATAGGAATGAGTTCCTGAACAACCCTATACTGAACGGTAATACAGGCTTAACACAGACATGGATGCAGCCTGTCAATTGGAAAGAACTTTCCTTCACATGAACAGAGTAAACACATATGATGATGGCTCGAAACAGGCCCATCCAACGCCAAGGGTGTAAGCCCTGTATGTATGGTTGATAAAAAATAGGCAGCACAGGCGGTAGTGAAAAAACATTGTATATCTGCTGGACTCTAAATGGGATTTGTTTACAGGCTACTGTCATACAAAGTAAATGAATCCCTATTACTGAAGAAGTTGCGGTAGGTACAGTTGGTACATATTTAGCGGCAATCTGTACCGGCAGCATCTAGATCGAAGATTAGAACTGCACCAGAGAAGATAGCAGATGAGGATGTCTTGAGGATGAGTAGTACAGCTCCAGACCCTCATTGGATTTAGGTGTGGTTTCACTAGCAGAAGCACTAATTCAGTTTCTTGCACAGGAAGCTGTACATTTGTCAGTGAAATTGTAAATTGTAATGTACATTTATACATTGTTTTTGGACTGCTCATTAATTTTTTGGGGGTCGGGGTGTGATGGAAAAACATTAAATAATATGGGTGGGGTGGGGGGAAGGGTTCCTGCAAAATATTATACAGTCCTAAGGCCGCCAATCTCACTGGCCCCCCTCCCCTGAATTAAATTACCAGTCTCTAAGGATATGACAGGATGTGGATGGGCCTTAAGTCTAGTCCACAACATAGTCCAGTCCAAATTACCAACAGAACAGCATTGCAAACTACAGACGTCAACGCCAACTGTGGGATTAGTTGGCAATATGTTGTATCAAGATAAGAAATAAGGTACATAAAAAAGAATGTTTAAAATAATAATATACTTATCCTGATTCAACAGCTCTATGGCCGACCCTGTCTTCCCCAATCTGAAGGTTTTCAGCAGTTTCAAATGACAGGAAAGAGATGGTTCAAGGGGAGGTAATTCTGAGTGGTGACCTGTTACAGAGCAGCTCCTTGCAGAGGGGCACATTTTGGGTTCTTTGTTATGGGATCGAAGAGAGTGAGTGAGGGAGTATGGTTTTACGCCACTTTCAGCAATATTCCAGCAATATTAAGGTGGGGGACACCAGAAATGGGCTTCACACATTGTACCCCTGTTGGGAATCGAACCCGGGTCTTCAGCGTGACGAGCGAATGCTTTAACCACTAGGCTACCCGACCGCCCCAGATCGAAGAGAGAGAGTATTTGCAACATGTTGTATCAGGATAAGTATAGTAATATTGTAACAATTCTAATGTGTATGGTTTTCCTCACTTTGAACCCAATCCAATCCCACCCAGGACATGAAACCTCTTTGGCTGTCCCATTTATGAACATATTGGAGGGTATGTCATAATTTATTGTTGACGCCATACGAACAAAACTGGATCACATTTAGGAAATGGCTTTATAGAGAGGGTTGATTATGCACACTGGTCTTTTGGTTTGCGAAAATTTGTCAGGATGTCTTTTTTCTCTGAAAATGTAATCTTACAAAACATCTAGCCCAAAATGGACAGCTGACCAACTGAACTTGTACATCTGGGCTAAATACATGGTACTAGAGTACAAACTGTCCGTCATGCTCTTGCTGATGACACCATGCTGCAAGGCATAGTTTCTCCTCATCTGTCTTGAGGACTATCGCTGGATGCTGTAGTGGAAGGCCAATGCTTTGTTACCCTGTTGGGATTCTTGGTCAGGAAAGGGCCAAGCAACGGATGCTATCGTTAAGAGGCAACCAAATGGTTCAGGTGGTTGGGCGACTTGGTTCATAGCATGACCAACTTTACAGCTGACTAATTATAAGATTCATGTTTATGGTTTTGAAAGTTATTCAGGCACATCATGTGAATACCTTACAAAACAATGTTATAATTTTTTTTTTTTTTTGTTTAACGCCACACTCAGCAATATTCCAGCTATATGACAACAGTCTGTATTTAATTGAGTCTGGACCATACAATCTAGTGATAGATATTATGACCATCGACATGCATTGACCAAGTCGATGAGTCTGACCACCTGATCCCTTTAGTGGCATGGGTTGCTGAATCCTAATCCTAATCCGCATCATCACGGGTAGAATGTTATGAATATCACCAAACGCTTATTAGTGCTTGAAACTAAAGGCCAAGTGGAAATGTTGTTTTTAGTCTTCTTTAACTATGACTGAATTGTAGTAATATATAACAACACTACACATTGCAGTGCCGTAGCCAGCCCTGGGGGGCAGTTGCCCCCCCTAGATTTTTTATAGAAAACAGTTTTATTTGAATCAAGTAGGGGACAAGTGATACTTGTACAAATATTTGCACCCCCTGTCAAAAAAAGTTAACTACGGCCTTGCATTGAGTTGGGGGTTAAAAAGTTATATATGTTTACAGACTGGTGGACATCATTTAATCCATCTTATTAAATAAATTTCTTTATCACAAATATGAAACTGATGTTTTATGCTTAGACTGTGGATGGTTTGGACTTTCTGTGTGTTTTATTAAATGTTTATGGGACCAGTCATTTGTTGCAGGGGTGATGGTGAAGATATTTCATCCCTGAATGTACGAGAGATTATTGTCCACTACAATATGATCGCATCTGTTCCAAAGAATGCAAAGTGTGGTCGTGGGAGAAATGATCCAAAACACTGTTATCTACACTACCCATATCTCACCTTCCTGAGGCAAGAGTGTTAACTGACCAGTTCAAAGTCCAGTTTCCACCCTTGCCAAACTGGGCTGGAATTTCTGAATTATATTTTGGCTGACTATGCATAGTCCGTAAAAAAAATCACATGAACCAATTCATAATCAACATGGTGCCTGTCGGGCAGTGTTTGGGTGACTGCAGGATATTTTCATATATTTAATCAATTTGCTCTGGAGATTTGATCATGAGGTAAGATCGGTTTTATTACAATAGAGTGCTGGATGAGAGATCAAGTCAAATTCCAGCCTCGTTCGGCAAGGGAGGAAGCTGAACTGTCAATGTCAGTTAACTCCCTTGTCTCGCTTGGGAAGATGCTCTCATGAAAATATAAAGACACACACCAATCAGCCAATCAGTGTTGAGGCTTGTACAAGTGAGCAAAACATTCAGACAAGCGTAGCTGATTTATGTATGTCAATAACTGATAATCGAGGAGTTCGAAATGAAAAAACAATAAAGATGTGCTATTATATTATTATGGATATTTTATGCATCCTGTCATTATCCCCCGCCGCGCGAAAGCGCGAAGCGGGGGATATAGTATTCACGACCGTCCGTACGTACGTCCGTACGTCCGTCCGTACGTCCCACCTGTTTGTTGCCGCGATATCTCAAGAACTAAACACTGGATTGTCTTCATATTTGGAACTATGGTGTATATACAGACTCCGCAGACACCAGTCGGTTTTGGTGACCTTGATCCCATTTTCAAGGTCACAGCAGGCAAATCTGCTTTTGGAGTTGGAAAACGGTGTTGCCGCGATATCTCAAGAACTAAACACTGGATTGTCTTCATATTTGGAACTATGGTGTATATACAGACTCCGCAGACACCAGTCGGTTTTGGTGACCTTGATCCCATTTTCAAGGTCACAGCAGGCAAATCTGCTTTTGGAGTTGGAAAACGGTGTTGCCGCGATATCTCAAGAACTAAACACTGGATTGTCTTCATATTTGGAACTATGGTGTATATACAGACACCGCAGACACCAGTCGGTTTTGGTGACCTTGACCCCATTTTCAAGGTCACAGCAGGTAAATCTGCTTTTGGAGTTAGAAAACAGTGTTGCCGCGATATCTCAAGAACTAATCGCTGGATTGTCTTCATATTTGGAACTATAGTGTATATACAGACACCGCATCCACCTGTCATATTTGGTGACCTTGACCCCATTTTCAAGGTCACAGCAGGCAAATCTGTTTTTGGAGTTGGAAAACGGTGTTGCCACAATATCTCAAGAACTAATCGCTGGATTGTCTTCATATTTGGTACTATGGTGTACAGGCGGGGGATATTTCGTCACTCTGTGACAAATACTTGTTTTTTTATGTGATTGCCACACCTACTATGGAGGCTATCTTTAGTTCTGTGGCAGTTTTCGTTTGCTCAGATCAAAGTTTCCAAAGCAAGGCAGGAGAAAAAGGAAGCAGAATGGTGTCAGAAAGCTGACATCAGATTGGCTGAAAAGTGAAAACCCATGCATCCTTTATTTTAAATGGGTGGTCAATTTACACTCAGGGTTCACCTGACGCAACCTTCTATGTTGTCAGATCTTCATGCAGAGAGGCATCATACCAGAATATAAGATCTGTTTTCTGTGAGATTGATCTGGGCCTGGTACACTGCTCAGATGTTACTGCCCCATTTTCCAGTTTAAATCTTTATTTGTATTTCTTTACATCAGATATATGTGTATCTTCCCTTTTATCACAATCCGGATCTGTATGAATGGGAATGGCCTTCACATTGACTGATTTTGAATGTAAAGGATCAGAAATGTTTGCAGACAGTGAACAAAGGTTTTATGTATTTCATGACTTCAAATATGACAATTAAAGTGTTGGCAAGAAGAAACAAATAATATACAGTGAAACCATGGCCAGAATCCTCCCAAACCCCAGACTGTTGAAAATCTATAGTCAACCACTGTTGTGTGTCGAACTTATGTTTGTCTCAAAATAAGAGGTTGGTCCCTGCATATTCCATCCTTAGTCATCTCATTTTCAGTTGTGTTGAACTTCAGATAACTCAAAGTAATTAATTACGTAGGTCCCTTCAACTTCCACAATGTTCTGTGACTATATATTTATATATAATTCCTTGAAAATAAATAAGCACCACTCATTCTTTATTTTCTTATATTCCAAGACACCGTGTATTTTGGGGAAATATCTACATATGACACTGACATCAAATGTCTAAGATGCCACTAATACCTGATGAATGGTTATAAGAAAAGTGTAAAAGAACACAGTATGTTTCTCCTGGTGGTTGCGAGGATTGTCAGAAATAGTGTGAAGAAGCAGAGGAAGCAACTGAAAGGATAGTCACATGCTTATTGCCAGTTACATAAAGTCATTAGAAATTCAATTTTGGTTTCTGTATTCAAAAGGAGTATGTCACTTTCGAGGCAAAGTCAAATGTGTTTCGTCACAAAATGAATGCAAAATATATTTTATTTAAATGGTTATTTAAATAAAAATATATGGTAATTTTAGTGCTTAATTATCTTCCAGGTGTATATGTAAAAGGGACATCACTCAATACCTATAATTCGTTAATCTGGAAATTTGATGTGCAGGACAATTCACTTGGAAAAGTAACATCAATTTTATCAGGGTTTCACTGTGTATCAACGAAGGAAACATACCTTTGAGTTCCTTCTTCCCCCCAAGAAACAAAACGTCATTGTAACAGAAAAATGTGCTTTAAGAATGTAATTCTCCAAACAATTGTCTGAATTTGGTGCCATAACACCACATTTCATTTCACCTGAAACTTATTGTAGATAAAACAAGAAACCAGGACTGCTGCGAAGATTGACAAGACTACATAATTCACCAAGGCAAACAATATGGTACTCTCATCTTTCAGCAGGGAGGGGGCAGAGGATTAGTCTAGTGGTAAATATGTGTTGGCTGATCACACCAATGACCCGGGGGGTAAATGCACTCCCATACCCTCATTCCCTGAAGCAAATACTTTCTCACACTCCCTATTTTCTGGGGCAAATACTCTCTCATAGGTATATCTCCTGGGGTAAATACTCTCATACTTAAATCTCCTGGGGCAAATAATCTGTTCTACACCACCACCAAGCTTTGCTTTTGTATCTGTGACATGAGTCATGACAAACTAAGGACCCTCAAGTTTATCATTTTCACTCAAAGAATGTTGCGAACAAATACATAAACATATTCACATTAATTCAAAGAACTCCCACATGACAACAGAAATAGTCTCATGTCTGGCCACGAATCATCACAAGGACAAGCAATGCTTATTTTCTGAACAGAATCATTCCAGCAGCTATTGCCATTTACAGCACACAGCAAGAATCCTCCACAGCGGGAAATAGGGCTGGTCATGAATACTGGCATGCAGACTAAGGAGAAGAAAACAATTAATAGACAAATTCTTACACTTGAAATATCTACAAATTTATTCCACCATAAAAGCACACAGAATTCCTGTACATACACGTGACTCCTCCAAACAAGCCGACTACAGTTTTCCTTGAGATGTGCATTCTAGGGATCAAGGACAGCAAAAACAGACAAGTCGGGCTGCAACTGGTTGTTGTAAACAGAAAATACAGTACATGCTGTCTTGAAAATAAAATAAATCACATCGTACACACAAAAACAAAATATAGGAAATACCAGGTTACAAAATGCTTACAGTTTACACTTGTGATACATACAGAATTTTGTTTTGGATGATATGCAAGTTCTACATTCTGAACAAATCTAGTTGCTGTCAAATACAAGAATGAAGTTAAAATGTAAACAAAAATGATTGCAAGGGGATATTTTCAAACATCTACTGCCGTTACTTTTTATTGGTGAAATCAATACTTTTGCCCCAATAATCAACAAACATTTTCAAGACAGTGTCCTGAATGCCATATACCGACACATGGTTGCTGCTTCTGTCATAACTTTAAATGGACGCTAGTTGACCATTTTTCTACCATGTACCTTGATGCATTAAACACTTCAGTAAAACAAGAAATAAAACTGGTCTGGCATTGAGGTCAATCAAAATAAGTGTTCTCATCCTATGTCCTGAGTTCAACTGGGAAAATACATTCCAAGTACCTAAATGTACATAAATGTATTGACACAATGTTCTCTTTGGCAAGATTCTTGGGAAATATTGAAAAAAAATTGATAACCAGGTTTCTCATCTACTCATTCTACCTTCCAAATTAATTACACAATCTTTGAATACCACTGTTCAACACTCCGAACCAAGTCCTACCGTATTACACCATCATCAATACTTCATTGGTTTTTATACACTATGTTCCTCTATCACCCATGAATACATACATCCACTTTGCAGAGAAATCACTGTTCTTAACACACAAATCAAGCCATGGCCTCATTCCAGTGAGAGGGAAAACAGAGGTTACTCTGACCAGTAAGCATTACAGTTCTGCTGTCCTCTACTCTATTGAATGCTGGGTAATTGTAGGGTTCGCACAAATTCACACACTGAGGAGGACCTATTTGACTTCCACAAGCTACAGGGCCTAATTCTATTACTTGACTAAAAATAGACATGTGTCACGATTATACCGCATTTCCGCCTTATGTATTCACTGGTGATGTACAAACTGGTGTATACAAATCTGTGAAGTATTACCTTGATGTATTACAGTGGCAGTTATTTTTCTTTTGTATGCTCCACTATAATCAACAGTAATAAGCCTTCTTTTCCTCCTTTCATTCTGTAGGAAATAATACATAAGCAGTTAACTACCTACCTTCCATTTGATAGAACAGATTTAACTTTAACATGTTAAAGTTCTCAAATTTAATATGAAATGTCCCCAGCATCCACCCTCTCACAGAGAAAGCAACAACAAAGCAGGTACGGTGGAACCTTGTTAACTTCTTACAAAAGAAACTTTGGATACCATGTGAGATCTTGAAAGAAATGTGCAAGATCACATTTTCTGAATTCTATTATATATTAGAAAACACATCTCAAAATATGGCACCTCACACATTACCCACTGCCACATCAGAGTTTCCTGTTATTTAATGCCACTCTCAGCAGTATTCCAGCTACATGATAGCCACCTGTGAAAAAAGGAGTCTGAACCTGACAAACCAGTGACTGATATGATCATCAGTGTATATTGATATGCAATCAACCAAATCATTGCATCTGACAATCTGATGCATGCATTCAACAAGCATGGAGTTTGGGGGACCAGTCCTAAACAGTTATGTGTTCAACAAACGTGAAAACCCAGTTTTTCTGTCTAAATAGATCCGAGAAGGGCTATTGGATTGTTCATTGATATCAAAGGTAATTCAATTTATGTGAATTAATCAGGGGGTTACAATTTACACTGCAAACATAACTAAGCAGTTGAAATATTTCAGTATGAAATTATACAAAGACATTGAATCTGATCTTGCACCAAGGGATTTACAAGGTCACTGTCAACACAGAAAGATGCACAAACTGTTACAACAAATCCGAAACCTTGACAACTACCAGATGGAAATGAGGATTGTTGGAGGGAAAATTTAAAGAACACTGTTGGACAGTTTAACAATTATATACACCATTCCTTGCAATCTCAACCTCCAACATGCTGTGCTCACAGAGACTATTCTTCAAACATAACAAAGACAACCAATAAATAAATGGCCAAGCCAACAGTTACGCTTAGCCTGACCACCTGAGCAAAGATATACTGTAAATAATGCTGTACAAACCACCCTCGACAAGAGCAGGGCAAAGTGTAATGGCACCTACGTTAAAAGAATGTATGAAATGGAAAGGTAGAAAAAATATTTCTCAGCACCCCAAACCAATATTTTATTAAAAAGACTGCAACATTAATTTTCCAACGCGCCAATTCTTCCATTTCAAAAGCTTCATAAATCCTGTCTGCCTTAGCTAACAACACAGTACAGTTGTTACCATGGAAACCAGTAACTCGTACAATGTATAAATTCAAACAGACAAAAACAATTCCAGTGACTGCCACGACATTGTTCATCAAAACTCATTTGAAAAATCTTAATTTCTTATTCTTCAAATCACCGTCTAGAAAACAAATGAAAGAATTATTTTTTTCCTGATAAAGTTCATTTATCAGTATTCCATCCAATATCCATAGCAACAGTCTGTGCCAAACACTTTTGAGTCCACCTGTACCAGCCCCAAATCATCTATCAACAACATACCGCTTAGGTTTTAATGAGAATATAGGGGGAATAATGATATTTGACAGAAAGTTTACTTGACTCAGACTTAGGACTAGTTGATAAAGACACAGACAGCTAACAGTCTTTAGTGAAGAACCAACCATGCATTTTTACATATCTTGCAATAATCGAGAGTGGTCAACAGTACACGAACAAGCCCGAGTTCAGCAGCCTTCTTCAAATGTTCAATCAACATATACACAGATGCAACCGAGCATAAAAGACGAGAGACGAGTGTTGTATGATTTTTAATAAACAACTAAAATCATGTCTACACTGCCAGTACCCAGGACAACATATGTACAAACCTGACATTAATATACAGACTACTCACATAACAGTGTGGAAGCCAGTATCTCCACGCGAGGGATAGAGTTCACAGAGGCAGATAATTTAAAATTGGATCTTGTACACATACAAATAGTCATAGCTCTCAGGACATCATGAAAATATAACTACCCCGAGTAATATTTGGGGCATCACTCATTCAGTAGAGCCATAACACTTTTCACTTGGAAATCAACACATATGGACACTACACATACAGTACATTTAATGGTTTGGCCATGATAAAAAAACCAGCACACTTATTTGGCATATAATTAGCACAGATGTTGAGGATCCACTACACGAGTGTGTACACAAAATGTGTCAATTTATCATACAGTTCATACAAGTGCGGATATTTCATATATTGACATAATTCCCCTGTGTACAGTAAGCACTTTGTGTAAGTTCAACAGGGGATGCTTGAAGTCAGGCATTTTGATTTCCATAGTATCACTGCTTGCATGAATGACATGAAGAAGGCAGGCAGATAGGTAATTCTGGCAGCACATAGCATCAACTTGGGGCCTTACAACATTAATCAGACATATGGCAACAGTATCGACTACACAAAGTCGTAACAGCATCACAAGGTATGAATGAAGAAATTCAGACACTATCAAAATTCATACATACAGTCTTCAACTGAAACGATGTGTATATGACAACTGGAAACAATATTTAGTATAACAAACATCAAGCAAATCACAATATGTGTAACCGTCTCAACTGAATGTAGTACTAACGGAAAATAAATCAGACGAAATATTTCTTTCATCTTGACAGTGTTGAAGCTTTCCCTGTCATTTACAGTGGAAGTTAAATATCCATAGAAGACAATATTAACTGCAGAAAGAAAACAGGTCCATCTATCACAATGGAAACAAGAGATAGCAACATAGAGAAAATAATAGTATGAAGAGGTAATGGGGAAGAAATGATTTCTGTATTGTCAGTGGCTAGATATTTCTAATACATTTTGGACAATTCATTCCTGTTTACAAGTGTGTGTGTGTGTGAGTGTGTGTGTGTGTGTGTGTGTATGAGAGCAGTGTTTGAAATGACAGGATGTCCTGGGGTCCTTGGGGTGTTGGAATAGTATTTAAATTGAGGGTTACCTCAATCTTTACCTCTTAACATCAGTGTTACTAATGTCAAAGACCCCCTGACATTCATGTTTAATTTCAAAACCTGTGTATGCTTTTAAAGGCATCTGAGACCAATATCCACACTCTTTACCTTACTGCCATTTAAAAGCATCAGCCATGAATGGCATCCCATAGAAGATGTCAACACAATGGGAATTGTCGAAATGAAAGAGTCAGAGAAGAATACAGAACGTAATGACAGGTCTTGTTCCAGTGACCACAGTTACAGGACAGTGAACCACAATAAATATTTCTAGTCTTTTTCATTAGACTCCAACAAGTTACACATTAACATACTGTCAACTATTTACCTTCATCATATATATATTTATATACAAGTATACAGATTCTACATTACCTTTGAGTAAATATGTAAGTATTTCACACTATTATCAATATCAAATCTACAATCACTTAGCATGTAAATACTTGTTAAAAATGTATGTATAATCAAACAAATTCTTTAAAACCTAAAGATTAAGCCAAACTCAAAAACTAAATTAAGATTTTTGACAATACCAAAGAAATCCCTGACATACGATAAGATAACAATTGATCACAATTTGCTCTGCCTTCAACTCACACACAGTTTAACCCTTAACATGCAAGATTTATCTCACATGAACCAGATGTCATTCAAGTTCATACAACACCACATACAAAGGGTTAACTATGTTCAAGGCTCAATCAGAATCCAGCACGTCAAGCTGGGACCATACAATTTTTACATCACAATGTAGGAGGGAGGCAACTGCCATGTACAATGTTGGACATCCATATCCAAGTCTTGAAAAATATTGGTTGAAATTCCTGTTAATACCAAAAGTCCTCAGCACAACATACTATTGCTTGTGCATCTTCACACTTTACAGATTTAGACGTAATATAGCTTCTGAGTTCCATATATCTTTAGATCCGTCTACCATATTCTTGTATTCATATTAATATCTAAGTTACAATACTAGGAAATTAGGTATTAGATTATGACAAGAATTCCTTTTATTCCTCCCACCTTCAGTAGATGATAGACATGTCCTTCTTTCCGCTGGGTGCAGGAAAGGAAATCTTATGGACTGGACAATGATATAATATCATGCATGTACTTAGTTTGTCATTGTTCAAAGGATAATGAAGATGAAACATTAATATAATAGCTGAATATCCCTTTCAGGCTTAAATTTACAGGTGCTACTGAGAAACATTTACATCACAAGCTTAGCATGCCTTGATCTTGCTTTGAGCTGCAAGGACATTTTTTCCCCAAAATATATATCAATACCATTGACAAAAAAACATACGTTACTTGAACTATTGATAATATAACATTACCTTATCTGTGAGAATTCACAATTTGGGTTGAAATACCATAAAATAGGGTTTTGTTTATTTGTCTTCATGAAAAAAGGACACTTTTGAGCATAAAAGCCCTGAACTGTTTAGCTTTTAAAATATACAATACAGGGTGAGTTTGAAGACTAAATCTACATCTTTCAGCAATTTGCTATAGAAAAAATGGTCACCTGGGGCAGTGAATCATGTTTATCAGTTATAACATATTGGGAAAACTCAGGTTATCTTTTCACTTGTCTCTTCTATTTCGTTTGGGCAAATCCAAAAACCAGGCCCTTGAAAGCCTGATAAAGCCCTGGAATAAATATATTCAAAACAGTACAGAAGCAATATACAGAATGACTAAATTATCAAGAATTTCTGGTCTTAAATTGCTGGATTGTACTGTCAGTCCACAGACACAGAAAGTCTACTTCACTACATGTTGTAGGAATCTTCTTTCACATTGCGTTCTGGTCACATTCATAAAGGACTCAACTTTACCATACATGTTCAAATAGTTGGGACCCTCATGCTTTTCTGGGTTAGAAGGTGGCTCATGTAACCAACCAATGCTTACAAGAAGCGAAATCTGTTTGTTGTACATTTGTACTGAGTTCTCACAAATGAGGATCTTTTTATGGACGTTCTCTTTGTTGACAGGCAGCTGTAGTAGTATGCTGGGCAACTTGAGCTGCTTTCTGCTTTAGCATTGTCCAGTCAAATGTGTAATCATACTGATAGTTGAGGGTGCGGAACAAGATGCGGAACAGCTGTCGCAGATACATATAATCAGGTGCCTCTTCAAATCTCAGACCCCTGCAGTAATTTAAATACATTGCAAACTCTGCAGGGAAGCCTTTACACAGCACTTCAACAGGAGTTGACATCTTCTTTTCGCTGATTTTCTCATATTTCTGTTTCTTCGTGTTGGCCTTTAATCCTTGCCAAGGGAGACATCCCCGATTGAAATACATCAACACGTAACCAAGGGACTCCATGTCATCACGCCTGCTCTGTTCAATACCCAGATGAGCATTGATGCTGGCATATCGAGCTGTGCCAGTTAGATTTTTGTCTTCTCTGTATGGTATGTGTTGTTTGGTTCTTGAATCTCGGAATTTCTTTGCTAACCCAAAATCAATAAGAAAGACTTTGTTACAATGTCGACCAATGCCCATCAGGAAGTTATCAGGCTTAATGTCTCTGTGTATGAAATTTTTGTTGTGGGTGTATTCAATGCGTCCGATCATTTGGTCAGCAAGCATTAGAACCGTTTTCATGGTGAATCGCCTGGAGCAGAAGTTAAACAGATCTTCCAAACTCGGGCCAAGGAGATCCATGACCAGGACATTGTAATCTTTTTCATCACCAAACCATCGGATATGAGGTATTCCAACTCCTCCCTGTAGTATTTTGTAAAGCTTACTTTCATACAGCAGTTGGGGGTGGCGAGCTTTCAGCGATTCTAACTTCACAGCAACCTCTTCTCCACTGTGTATGTTGATCGCCAAATAAATGTCGCCAAAACTTCCACTGCCGATTTTCCTCACAAGACGGTATTTCTGGCCTACAATGAATTCACTTTTAGCGCGAGACGTATCTGCTTCGCTAGACATGTTGGTAGAGTGTTCAAAAATGCCTTAGAACCGGAGAAAAGAGGCTTATTTTTCACCTTTTAGATTATCTGAATGGTTGCCATCTTGGGTGTTTCAGTGTAATAAACCTGGCGCTCCCAGGGATCTTTGCACCAGCCCATAATCCTTCACGACCAGGAAGTACGCATGCGTACCGGAAATACGACACAAGGCTAGTGATATTGGACTAACAACAGCTTTCAGATTTTAAATATGACAACAGTCACCAAACGGTGTACCCGAAACACCCCTAACAACCGCGATAGCCCCCTTTTGAATTCATAACAACAGTGTGTTTGGATTGTCTCGACGAATAAAGTCTTATTTCGAAATAACCAGTTATATTCCTAATTATTAGAAATGCTTTGGACAGATTTATTAATGTTGTAGATTCATGCACCACATTTCAAATGTTTAAACCTTTGCATATTATAATATATTCTTATTCAAATTCTGAATCCCTTTCCTGAAAGATATTTTGTAAAACAAATCATAGTGATCTTACACCAAACTGATTTTGCATCCAGTTACCAACATGCTGCAAATATATGTAAACATGGATCAAATATAATTTCTAATATGGCAGTAATTATTCATCAAAATGTTTATTACAATATTAGATCACAACAAATTATTAATAATAATTACATTTTAAATAATTATTTTACATACAAGTTATATAGAATGACAAATCGATTTAGTTGCCAAGATATAGAATTTCTATGTAATGTCTTGAGTGAGTGAATGTTGTTTTACGATATTGTTAAAACATGTTAATTTCAATGAAGAATGAAGTTTAAGATGGATAGGTTACTGGAATTGTTTTTTTAAATTGGATTTTATGATTCAAAATTGACAGGCAAGTTGTGAAAAGATAATTATTTTGAGCCAAATTGACAATATTTTAGTGACTTTTCTTAAAGTAAGAGGTCGTGCAATATTGCATCCAGTACAGTAATGCTTTTTGCTTTTTATTGGTCCTGTTATGAGTGAAATAGAAGTTACCTCTACAAAGCCATTTTAGTTACAATTTTTTTGAAATTGGCAATTTTGTAATTCCAATTTGAGAATATGTAGTGAAATTTGCTGAAGACTTGGAGCTGAATGCCAGCCTCTGACAGGTCCAGATATGTCACTGTAATATGTTCTAAATGGAGGGACTTGTGAAGTTGTACAACTTCAAATATCTAAACAAAGCACACATGTATAAAATACCTTTATTAAAATTATGACGTCTAACAATATGCTTAATGCCTAACTGCCATGTATACAGCTTATGGGTGAGCTGAATGACCATGTCTTCATAAATACTTGAAAGATGTAACTGTTGGCAACATTATTGTGTGGACTTATGATACAGTTTGTCTTTTAATATGTTCTGTGTTTAATTGTGTTCTGAGGTGTTTTCATATGCATAGTGAATATTTGTGTTCTGAAGTGATTTTATATGTTCAGGGTATAATTGTGTTCTGAAGTAATTTAATATGTACTTTGTATGGTTGGTTGTATTTTATGCTCTGAGTATAATTGTGTTATATGGCACTTAATATGTTCAGTGTTCAGTGACCCGTGAAGATCCGGGTTAGAATAGGTCTTCAACAACCCACGCTTGCCGTAAAAGGTGACTATGCTTGTCGTAAGAGGCAAATAACGGGATCGGGTGGTAAGACTCGCTGACTTAGTTGATGCATGTCATTGTATCTCAATTGCGTGGATCAATGCTCATCATGTCAATCACTGGATTGTCTGGTCCAGACTCGATTATTTACAGACTGCCGTCATATGGCTGGAATATTGCTGAGTGCTGCGTTAAGCAACAAACCAAAACTAATATGTTCTGTGTATTATTATGTTGTATGGTGCTTTAATATGTCCTATGTGTAATTGTGTTTTATGTACATATATGTGTTCTACTGTGCTTTAATATGTCCTATGTGTAATTGTGTTTGATGTACATATATGTGTTCTACTGTGCTTTAATATGTCCTATGTGTAATTGTGTTTTATGTACATATATGTGTTCTACTGTGCTTTAATATGTCCTATGTGTAATTGTGTTTGATGTACATATATGTGTTCTACTGTGCTTTAATATGTCCTATGTGTAATTGTGTTTTATGTACATATATGTGTTCTACTGTGCTTTAATATGTCCTATGTGTAATTGTGTTTTATGTACATATATGTGTTCTACTGTGCTTTAATATGTTCTATGGGTGGGAAGTCTTCAACACCCTGGGTAAACATGCTAATGTCCCGACCAAGTCACTCCCCATCCATCCCCAGCTTCACTGAGACGTAATTTGACAATATTTACCAAATATCCACCATGTTTTCAGTAAAAAACCATGCAGGTACTCTTGGTGGCCAAGTAATTAATGTATTTATATCATCTGTAGGTTTCTAGTAGCAGTAAACACTTAATGCTTATTAAGGAGATCAGTGCAATTATACAGTCATTGCTTCGTATTTCAAAAGTATTGAGCCAAGTTTCCTGAGTATTGTCAATACAAGGCACATTAATGTGTGAGTGAGTGAATACTATTTTAGTTACAGGTATATTCTCTTGGTGATTGTATAAACCAGCAGTCACAAGCTCATTTCATTTTCAAACTTTCATTGTTCTGACTTTTTTAATGACAAATATAAAGTGTTTAATGTCTGAGATGTGATATTTTTAAATAAATTCAAAAGGTCAGTTTCCTTTTTTATTTGAAGGAAATGTTTAAGAATTAGAAATGTTTTGTACAAATTTAGTTCATAAAAAGCTTAAATTTGTGTACCATGGATGATGTGTTATTGTGTATATTTCATCATATTCTCTTAATGTTTATAGGATCAGCATAAAACATTTTATTAACACTATTAATTCTGGTAAATTCCTCACTGAGCACATTTAGTCACAGATATTGGTGACTGTCATTCCAACTTTATGTTGCATCATGAAATTATTATTTTTTGTTTCCATTTAAATTATTTATTCTGAACGATAACACTATCAACAGTTATCAAACGTGTGTTTGGAGGAAGTTTAAAATATTTTTGATATAACGTAATAACTGATTTGACCCATGACAGTTAGTTGCTCGTCATACAACAGAGACACGCACTGTCAGATCGAAAGCGCGATGTGTTGAACGGTTAATAGTACATGCTAAAAATAAACTCGTACAACACCTCAAAGCCGTGATAAACGGCACAAAAGATAACGCAATGTCCGAGTTGTATATTCCAATGTGATACCGATGTGACAAGTGTCTGCTGATCAACCAAACTAGAGAAAATGAAGAGAAACGTGCCCATTGCGCGACAAGAATCACTTGTTGTACCGGACGTTCAGAACCCGTTTGTGCACCGGTTGCATTTCGGAATCTTGGACAAAATTCAGGTCTGATTTACTTCCCACCATAACATTACGGATCGATCAACATTGGGTATTTAGAAAATATATGTGTACAATGATTTATTTATTATTTAATAATTGTGAACATTTTATATGTGTACCTGTATATGCATGCATAGTCATTGCAATTGTGACAGTAGGTCTAGTTGCGGAACAGGCGTTGTCATAACTTACATTGACCACCCTTCTTCAAGATCTTTACTGTTTTATAGAAACATGTCACACATTGGAAGTTATAATATTTGTGTTACGAGTACTTAACTTAGATAGTCATTTCAACCACAGTGAGTGGGAACAAATGCTCTATTCGTTTCCAGTGTGTTTATAAATAGAAGATATGTATAACCTTTCAACAGTGTTCTGTGACATCCAACAAATCTTAAATATTCCTTCAATACTTTTACAATTTCGTCATCTCATATCTCATGTACCCAATACGAATTTATTTTTTTTATTTTTAATGTCATTTTGATATTTTCCCAAACATTTCCAAAGTTTAACCATGTCATTGCTTGCTATCACCAGGTCACAGAGGCCCTTTTTTAAAGTTATGTACCATTGCCCTTGACTCAAGTACATATGGAGGAAAATTCCAGTCCGTAAAACTTTAAAAAAGCAGGGTTTTTTTCAGTTTTAATGAATATATTTTTCAAACTCACAGTCATGCCAAAGTAATATGAACATGCTTCTGACTCAAGGTAACATTTATGTACATGAATATAGATCTACATGTACAGTAACTGAAACGTGTCTGACAGAACACTTTCCCAAAAAGGTTAATTAGACATTCTGTTTGTTTTTTATACACAGACTTAACCCTCATAGTGCCTGGCCGTCAACTGGCTTTGCATACTGCTTAGTGCCGCACTATGATGTCGCAGATTCAAAAATGTATACATTGTATCAAAAGTGTTATTTCTTCACACAGTATTACCAAATTGTATAACAGGTAACTTGAGTTGATTGTCTTTCCATCAGTATCTAAAGTCACCAAATCCAAAAGATCTATGCACTGCCTAGCCATTGATAAAAGTGCTGGTATTGTATGTTTCCTACTTTTCTACATTACTCGTAATATGGAAGCACCCGAATATGGCAAGTAAAGTCAAGTAAGCGCTCATGTTTGAAATCTAAATGTCCAATAATTCATATCATTGGCAAGTACATATCATAACAGTGATAGACATATGACATTGATGTTGCAGTACACATTCACTGAGAGTTTTCCGTGAGTTATATTTACTGATAAAAAATCCCGAAGAAATTGTCTGTGTTTTTGACGGCAAAACAAAATTGACAGAAGTGGTCGTGATTAGTTCATATGCAGACTGTTTCAACGATTATGTCACACTACCCTGTTACGTCCATGTATGTTTCATTGACCATGCCCTTTTATTAATGATAAAAACAACTTCGGGGTAATTGACATCATACATTTTCAAAGGACAAACTGTGAAAGATCGCTAAACAGCCCTAACAATACTCTAATTGACACCGCTCAATATCGGACTTCAGTATTATTTCTTAATAATGAACAAGTTCATACTAATGTAATACCACCCAAGAGTAAGTACATGTAGATTCAATCAAGATCATTGAAACATTTTCATGGGCAGCAAATCTATTAAAAAAAACTATTTTCGATCACTCGCAACTCGGAAGCCATATGTCATTGCTTCGCTGTGCAATCACACAGACCGCTTATTGATACTTCGGGTGTCATGATGTGCTGTAATTAATTATAAAAACTTGAAACAAGATGTAATTGGACAATTTTAATTTTAAAAGTAGGCTATATTTAATACAAGGAAATGATAACTTGCACAGTACAGGTGAAGGAAGGCAATATTATTGTTTTACGGTACAATTATAAATAATATCTAGATCAAGTGAAAGAGAAAATAATGAAAATATGAATTACTTCGATTAAAGTAGTGTTCAATGTATATACAGTTCATGTTTCACTATGCCCACTAGAAAACATACATCCTCGTCTCAGCTAGTATTTCGCACTTGACTGCCTTACTTAGACCTTTGCTCAAAATATACTTGTATGGATAGTCCATATAAATACAACTTTTTCTTTCATATTGTTTTATAAATACGACTTAAGAAGTGTCTTTACACCTAGGTATGTACATGTACATTTAAGGACATACCTGATAGTTTATTTCCAGTGGTTTCCCATTCCATCCCATTCTACTAAAGGAAAAGTTTGAAATAGATAATAATCGTAAGTCAATGAAAGTAATGGAATTATTTGTCATAAATGGATAAATATATTCTTGGTATTGAACTTCGAAAATTAACCAGCAAAATCTGAAAGATAAATGGTTTTCAGTTAGTAAATATGTCTTTCCTATTTTTCTTTTGGTCTAGCTAAACTACAGCTTTGAGGAAAGATATACAAATTAAAATGGTAAAAAAAGAACCACAAGAAGGCTTTGATTTTGAGAAATATTTATTTTGTTAAAATCTATTTCATACTAAGGATACAAAACATGGTAATTAGTACTATGTCACTGATCGAAGTATTTGATAATTAAGATAATGCAGAGTGAAAAAAAAAACATAAATAAAACTATGTAAAACATCAAAACGAAATCACATTTACACTGAAACCATTGTCTTTCAGAAATCTATTATCTATATATTGTCAGCAAATCTAATTACTTTTTACTGTTGATGTTATAAATTGAACCATTTGAGATTCTTATAGATGAAGCTAAAATATTAAAAGTCTAGGTTGTTTAATATTGGATCCATTTGGACAGCTTTCTCACTGTAAAACATTCCTTTCTGAGTTCAAATCACGTGAACCTGTCCAGACGATAAATTCAAAGAGGCGGGAAATCACTGACTGTCTATTAGCCTATTTGAATAAAATTGCAGATTGTAACGGAAAAAAATAAAGTTTTCTCATTGCTGACATTTCAGATAACATATCAAATAAGAGTTGAAGACTTGGAATAGATTATCATACGTTAATTGAGAGTACAGTGTACATCAATAATTTGTAAATGTAATATTAATTAGATCTAATGTCTATGGCAGAATGTTTGAAATACAAGCTGTTGTGTTATGATAATATATTCTATTTTCTGAGGAGATTAATAATGTGAATTTGATTATATATATGCATACACAATTGGAGTAGTATAGGCAATGACAGTTCTTCCGCGCTTCCACTGGATTCACCACCCAATAATGTTACTACAGAGGTCATTTTTTATGCAATACCCATGATACGATTCAACGATGTCATGAATTGTTTTAAAAGAAAGATTAATCTTTATCAAAAATGGAAAAAATTTACTATAGCCCGGGAGGATATTGGAAATGAAAGCAGGTGAGCCTATTCTATATTATCTTAAAGATGGGCTGGGCAGGGGATTTGTACGAGAAGAGTTGCTCATTGTTCCCAACGATACATTATTACCGCCCTAAGTAACCATAAGCATAGGTAGTTACACCATCCTCATCAATCCACCTTTTTCTAAGAGGGATAATGATGTCTTGTTCATTCTTAACCCATATATCCTGTGATTATCACTTCTTAAAGTGTTCATCTCGTGTTTGAATGTTCTGCCATTGAAGGATGCTTCTTTATACTGGTCGTGTTTGAACACCCTTAGCTTTTCGTATCTCCCCATTATCAGCCTTCTTTATAGAATACATCTTAGACTTAGGTCTTTATCCGACATACTCCACTGTGCAATGGATTATCTATTGGGTAATCACTCGTGTCATACATATCTATTTTTTCTGCCATATCTTTATGCACATCCTCGGTTTGTATTTCCATCAACAAAGAATCAGTATCGGTATATAACACCTCGCATCTATCACTGTAATGCTTCTTATGTTCATTGTAATAAAAGACACACATTAAGTGTTTTGACAAGTCAAGTATGCTCATACCAACGTACACTGGTCTGTTGAAATTTATATTATTTTTTTGCATATGCAGCGCTGGTAAGTCGTTATCAGATATCTTGCTTCTATTAAAAGCCAGGCTGGCTATAAGTTTCCTAAGTCTTTCTTCCTCATTAGATCTGACTAATTTAACATCAACATGATCAACACGCTTCCCTAGATTTTCCATAGTATTTCCAAATACTGAGTTATTCTTGAGCTTATATAGGTACTTTTCGAAATTGCTTGTAGCCATCTTTCTTAAATCTGTGTTCAGCCTTGTAAGTTATATAGGGCTCCATCCAAGGTCTTTGATCAAACTTAAGCATGTTAAGAACTCTGTGCATTTTCTTTATTTTCATGCCTAGTGATAAATATAACTGGAGATTTCTGTAGTGAACTATATATTTTGTCTTATCCATCAAATTTGGTACGAGTTTTTCTACGTTAGCTAACCTAGTATTACCCATCAAGGAGTGTTGATATGCCGACATCCAATCTCTATTAACCATTAATCTTTTGAGAGCTAGCAGATAACTGTTATGGTCTTTGTGTAACTCGGCTGGATATTCTAAGTCAACTTCTAGTATGTACCCTTTATCGGAATCTGTGGGGATATCATTCACATCAACCCACTCAAACCCACCTGTGGGTAAAGGTTGACTCATAGCCCATCCGTACAAATTGTTGGAATCGAGATATAATATGTGCGTATCAGGTTTACTCGAATCATATCCTTCCACTAATTCATTATTAGCTTTAGAATACCTTTTCGCCATCATCGATATGCCACCTCTTAATCTTTGCTCAACAAACAAGTGCATTTCATAATCGGTGAGTAATTTTAGTTCTACACCGGTCTTCTTCAACAATGCATCCCACGATAGTCCGGGACTGGAATAGTACCATGCCGTATCCAAACCGTATTGTTTTAAACATGTTTTTCTAAATATCTCGAATATATCGGCGAGTAACAGTACATCGTTTTTAAAGTACAGATCGTGATAATCGCCTAAATTCTTACAACCTAATTTATCCCACACCATCAGATCATGTTCATAATCGGCATTTGTACACAATTTAGCAAACCAATCTAGCGCCATTATCACAGTTTCAATGAAAGGGAAAAAAAATCAAAATCAAACTTTACAGCACATCGTATCCATAAGCGGTTAACCCAAATGCAAAAAGGTATTGCTGTCATCATTGTAGAAGTTATGTTGATGTTTTCTATAATTTCAGTAGTTGGATGATGTTTGTATCACGTGTACCATCAACAGAAACGGGGGCCGAGCTACCACATGTGAAACCGACCTTGGTACAATTTGTTTACAATATGGCGTTGTCTCACGTTAGGTGATCATGGCCACACTTTTGAAATGTCCTTTTGCGACAAAATGTGAAACAGTTAGGGCAAGTCATTCACACGATCAGGTAGTTTCAGCAATTACCAATGACTCTTAGTCAATTCATATAAAAAAAGTAGCAGTTATTTGTCTAAACGAGCGAGCATGTAGGACAACCGGTAGACAAGAAATCGTGGCACAGATATGATGCCAACGTGCCCTGTCAATCACTTCGGGCTTGGCCATTCAATAAAAATACACTATACCACCTTAATATTAACGGTCATAGCTATTTTTCCATGTCTTTGATTTGGATATTTTCTGTAAATCAGCATCATAAACAGAAAGACAATCCGCACTGTCATTTCATCTCTAGCGCCGTGTTTAATCGCCATGACACACAGTCGATAAACTTATGCAATACTTGAACAAAAAACTTCCGTTATGGACTAAACGTTTGTACTCTTACGCCAATAACTGTACAGTGGGGACAAGTAAAGCTTTCTGACCACTCTGATCAGATTTCTTTTTCAAATTGGTTGTCTGATGTTATAATAGTTACAAGAATGTGAAATTGGTGCATAATAAAAATATTGCCGTCATTCGCATGAAGTTCAATGTGGCAGAAAAGGTCGAGAAGCTCAGTAACTACTTTATTAATCTCACCATATTTCACAATCCGTAGTACTGTTTAAACTATGACTTACATGATGTTGAAGCTGAGATGATTAGGGTGATGATTGTTATAATTTTAAGTTTGCGCACTCAGTGTTTGACATCTTAATTCACAGTTGAAAAGGGACATTTTCATGGGACCATATATGGTCCCCTGGCACTATATAGGTATGAAAAGTGGGGGACCATATATTATATGGTCCCATGGCACCAAGAGATCTTGCAAAGATAATAATTTGAGTTTGTTCACATAAGAAAATATAACTGGATTGTCTGGTCCAGACTCAATTATTTACAGACCGCCGTCATATAGCTGGAATATTGCTGAGTGCGGCGTTAAACAACAAACCAACCAACCAACCAATTGCAAGACATTGACTGTCTCTTACTTCAATGGGGTAAACATTGGAAATAGAAGACTTTTCATAGCCCGTGAGAAGTACTGCCATACAATCTCAGTTATTTATTAAACATTCCAGAATTTTCTCTTGTTCAGTTTTCAAATTTTGAATCAAGAACTTCATCAAAATATTGTTCAAAGTGTAGTCTGGAATTGAAATTGCTGTGTTTAGAATAGCGGCATAACACTTGAGAAAGCTGCTTTCTGATTGGCTAATATGGACTTCCTGTTAGTCATTTCATTGGTCGGTCAAAGTTCATCAGAGGTAGTTCTGACATAACCTGTAATGGGACATCCTCAGATCTTTTGTGTAGCATTAGTGAGCACTAAGATCTGACGTTAGTGAGATTGGACTTGTTTTCAGAATGCTTAACAACATAAACCAGTAGTCATAACTGAGATGTTGATACTTGGATTAATTAATAGTGTCTACCCATGACCAGGAAACTGTATTATTATGTTAATTGTATTGGACACTACCAATGTTATACAACAATGGACAATGCAGAAAGCTTTTTCTTTATTCACTGTTTCAATAGTGTTTTCAACCCAAAGTAGTCACAGATAAAAAAGGTAACTGATAGTCATGCTGTGTTAGAGTCTAGGACCAGTATATGAATACCATCCATGTCATGAAGAGCCCTCAATACGAGGTCTGAAATACATGTCAGTAGATATTACCATCAACCATGCTATTATAGTAATAACTAATGTTATTGCTAGCAGAGGTGACTTGCATTTTACTGACAAGACCAATAAACAAAAAGATGTTTTAGTTTTACGCTTTTGCATTGGAAAAAAAAGACATTTTAACACACTTAAAATATCCCTGAATTTACAAATACATCTATATACATGATACAGATATTCATAATAATCACAGTTATGAACCAAATTATGTTTTCCCCAATTTGTTTGCCAATGGCACTTATTTCGGAATCCTAGATTAAATGTTTTTACAGTAGGTACAGTGTGTTTTCAGTGGGACAAGTTACATAGAGTTGTCAGAAAGGAAACTGAATCTACCCAGGTATTTCAAATCAATATTAGCACTGATAACTAGGAGCTTAAACTGCCTTGCCCAGCATTACTGCATTATTGGTAGAGCTGTTTTCACTGCTTGAATTGATAAGCCATTAAGATCTTTTGGCAACTGGTGCCGAGCAGTTTAAAAATGATCATTGACTCATTATTTAATCATCATTCATGTCATAAACTTTTCCTTTTTTTTGTGGCTCAGTTGATCAAGATGTATCAAAAACAATGTTGAGATTTGTAAGCTATCAAAACCATGGCAACATGTATCGTATCCATGTAAAAAATCTGATTTGAATGAGATTGACCTCAGAGTCAGTTCTATAAGGTTGCCGATTTATAGTGCTAGCTCACTGAGATACCATGCCGCAGTTTAACATGAATACCCCACTCAGACACAGTATACTGACTCCGAGCCGACCAGTCCTTGTTTTAGCCCCTTAATGCCGAGCGCAAGACAGGGTAACAACAAATACCATCTTTTAACGTCTTTTGGTATAATGCGGCCAGGGATCAAACCCCGGACCTTCCACTCTCCGGGCGGACACTCTACCACTAGACCACAGTGGCAGTTTAGTTCTATGAATTAACCACAGGGTCACCAATGCAACTTTACATTATCAACATGTTTTCATAGCTGAATCTTTACCACACAGGTAATGCAGTGTTCAAAACTAAGGTGGCCAACAGGTTCAGCAAGGTCTTCTTCCTAAAGTATTTTGAAATAAAGTATCTTTTTAGCTGACCTGTTCTTCAACATTTGTCATTTGGCCCATTGCTCAACCATTTGTGTGTACTATTATGAAATGTGATATGTCTGCAACTTAAGCCACAGAGTCAAGTCAAATTTCTTTCTGTCTGGAAAACATAAGCAGATCATAAAAACTAAACTTCAATTATTCTTGTTGCTGACAAAAAGTAGCTACTTTAGTGACTTTCAAATGATAATTGTGTTGATACAGGCAGATGGAGGTATAGGTTTGTCATAAAGCACCAACTGACATTGAAGCAGTTTGTGCCAAAACTGTTTGCATCAACTTGCCCCAACTTGTCTCTCAGCATCATTTTCAGTAAATTTAGGGTTAGAATACTACTCCAAAGAAGTTAAGGAACATCTGATTCGTTTATATGACTATAGATAATCTGTCATGCCTAATAGATTAACTATGGTAATATGAAAGAATAAGCTGGCCCAGTCCTTAACATCTTTGGAGTAGTATATATTGATAGGTATTAGCCAAGCTGACAGGATCAACAAAATTTGACTAGCCTTGGGCATCAGACAAGTGGCTAAAGTCACAGACTGCTTGGGAATCTGAACAATCATGGTTGTGTTTTCCGTGACATTAATTCTTCTCATTTTGTTTCAGATTGTGATTATGTCAGTGACGGTTGCCCCACTCCGACTTCTGATGTCAGGAATGTGTTTGGTTCTAGCATGGCCATTAGCAGCACTGTCACTCGCATTTCGAACAGAAGAAGAAAAACGTAAACCTTTGACAGGATGGCGCAAGTATGTACTCCAATGAACATGATGTAAAACATTGAATTATGTTATCATCTATTATTTACAATACTTACCTTTGTAATAATGTTATTGTAGTGCTGTAAAAGTTTGAAATACAACATATTTAAGTGTTGAATATTGGGTACTCACATACTGTAAAAATGTTTTGTGAACTGAACTTTTTATTTCTTTTAATTGGCATCAATTTCTAGTGTCTGAGATGTCAAATGATTTAAAATGTTTTATTCAGTTTTTACCTAAGTATATCAATTCAGCAGGTGTGTGCTAATGTCAACCACTTGGGTATTCAAAGAATGGGTTTTTATTGAAATATTCTCAATTGAGTATTGCTTATTGATGTTTTTTCCCTAGAATCTTTTATAATCTTGCTAAAAAGTTATAATATTTCCATAGTTCTTGAATCTTTGACCAAATACTTGAAAAAGTTGATCAATGACGACAGATTACAAATTTATTTATTTGCGTTACTGATAATGTCCAATTATTAATAAGGAATGTATTTTGAAATTGAATATGAAGGTTATCATTTTGGTTATCTGAAACATGACTATCAGCTGAATACAGTATTTGTTAACAAGTTGCTCTCCATTTGGGAGCCGCCAGGAGCATTTATGCATACTGCAATTTCACCATAGTGCTGACTTCATTTCTTTATGTATAAGGAAATCTTGGAAGTATCTTTGTTATTTCAATTGCATATCTATTGATATTTTGAATACAAGTAAAATAATTGCAGTTGTTTATTAACCAGTCTTTGAGGTCAGAGTATTGAATGTTCAAGGAACTAAACTTTTGTCAGCTTGTTCTCTTTTTCAAGCTTGGTAACCTAAACACAACATGTTATGAGCTTTTAACCATGATTATATAGCAATATTCCATCAAATAACTGCACAGCATTACATAACCATGAGAGCAACACCCTTGATTATCCAGTGTATCATATCTAATCATCTCCATTGTCAGTGGTAGAAACTAACATTTTTATCTACTAGTCCTTATAATGATAATATATATCAAAATCCCCAAAATGGCAAATTTCTACTATTCCTTATGATACCTTAACTATTGGGCAGTTTAGCAAGGACTGCAGGACTAGTGCCAATTTCTAACGCAGATTGTGTTATGATAGATATCTGGACCCAATCGCCATCAAAGCTTCGTTTTGAGTAGGGTTGAAATGAACTTAACCATCCGATCAAATTATGTTTATAACAAGTCTAACCATTAGATAAAATATATCAAGGGCTTGCTCATATGAAGCTTCAACTTAGATCTGTATTGAACTTGTGTTTAGAAGAGGCATTTTAAATGAGTGTTGATTTCAAGCTTATGAGAGAGAGAAATTCTGTGCCAAGTTTGTAATAGGAGGGAGGGAGATGGGGACGTTGCTTCTGAAATGAAGCAATGATGGTGAATGGGTTCAGGGTATTTTTTTTATAATACAATGATGACGTGATTCATTGTTTAATGGAGGATGTGATAACTATAGCTGATTCAGTGTTTGCAATGACTTGCTCAGTGTTTAGTTGGAGACTTCAAACAAAACATAATTGCTGTTAGTTTTACTATGTTACTAAGGAGTCTTATTTGAGTGCCTGTTTTCAGAAATTTCTTTAGATCATTGGTGTACAGTGACACTGACTCAAAAACATGTTAATTCACCCCATCAGGATTCTGGGTTAAAATAGGTCCACAGCAAGCTATGCTTCTTGTAAGAAGGTCAGATTGGGAGGTCATGCTCAGTGACTTGGTTGATTGCATGTCATTGTACCATGACTATCATGGACTATGTGTATTGTTGTTCATGATATCTATCACTGGATTGTCTGGTCCAGACTCTAGATTATTTCCAGGCTGCCCTTATTTTGATGGAATATTGCATAGTGGTGTTAAACAACAGACAAACACACAGACATGTAAATTTGTAATATGTTTGATTAACTATTGTAACAGTAGTGGTTTTACAGATATATTATTTTTAATGTTAAAGGACTTTGCTACTAGGGGAGGATTGAAAGAACTTCTTAAGCATACATTGTTTTAAGTCTCCACATGCCCTACACATGATTTGTGATAATAGTATTTGTGAATTATAATTTAGATGCCTCCAAGTACCAAATGTTTACATGAAAATATGTACAGGGTATGTGAAGGCTTTTTGTTCGAGAAAAGATGTCATGTGAAATTATTTTTTGAAGACCTATGAAAACAACAATTGTAAAAGTGAACCATGTTTTTCCGTCTTTGATAATGATCAAACTTTTATCTTTTGACTTTGGTGTTTGGATTTCCATATCTTTTACATATTTATTCTTTGATTCTGACCTGTATTGAATTTATTTGCGAGCCATTTCAAATGTACTGGCAGTAGAGCTTACTTCCCTATATTCTTCATTGTTCCCTTATTCGATTCCATCAGTATATTACCAAAATGGGTATTACAGGCCTGGATTATTGATTTGCTTTTTTTGGCGTGAACTGCTGACTAATTGATTCTTTCAGCCATACTTGCAAAATACAAAATGTTGGATTTATTTCATCAATAACTGCGATTTATGGACAAATTTCAGTTTATGCCAAAAACTTTTGACTGCTTAAATGAACTTTGCTCTTTTCCTCATTTTCAGTAGATTTTCGAGTTATTATGTGAACAATTATTACCTGGGTTTTTTAGACCAATGTCATTGGACCAGTCTGCGACACTAGTCTGAAGCTACTACTCCAAGTGTAGGAAATGTATGTTTGGTCTCGTATGCTCAGCTTATAATAGTACATATTAACACTGCAATCTATAGAAAATTATGCCAAGAGACAATTGTTCAGGCTAGTGGACTCAGAAGTTGTTGGCACAGACTGCTGAACTCAGGGCTTCGGACCAGTAGCATAAGTTGTCCACTGTTTTTTTCATCGATCTATCACTTAAAAGGAGTATTTTATTTAACTTATTGATAGGGAAATGTAGTTTTCAGATACCTAAACTCAATGTCATTCACAAAATGTGATCACCAATGGTGCTTAGTCACCACAGTAGACAAATTCATTTATTTAATGCTGACTACAATCAAGTTAACGCAGTCAGTGTTTGGAATAATGGATTAACCATCTTTCAGCGTAGTCTTGAAGATATGTTCTCGTATACTGCTGATGTCATTTTACGTGTTATGTCAGATTTCCATTATTAACAGGGCTCAACAAATAATCTGGCCGGCCAGACAAGTGCTAGCCATATCTTTTATATTCTCCTGACCAAGATGGCTAGTGCAATAAATAGGGACCGACCATAGAAACTGTAGACCTAACTGATAAGTACCTTTACAAATTCATTGGTTTAATTCATAGCTGAAATAACTACACAGCCATTTGATCGTTAGTTATCAACAATAAACAAATAACATTGTCTAATTAATTTTCTTATGATTTGGAATATGTTCTGCAAAGAATATTTAAACAAGATAAATTCACTTTGAACAATGCCAATCAGGGGTAATGTTTTGCACAGTGGGCTAGAGGCATTGGTACTTTGCTAGTATTCTTGTCTTTTCTAGACACATGAGCTGGTGTCTATTTTCTATTTTTTATTTTTGAGTGTCAAACCCTGATAAATGTCAGCTTATTCATTAATACACATCTCTGAAAAGGCAGAATATGCATAGTATGATTAACAGTAATTCTGTCCTATACCGTATTCTCCATAATAAGCACCTTTTGAACTTGGATAATTGACAAAGTAAAACATACTCAAGTAAAATTTGTTGTCAGTGATCGAGCGGTAGTGAACAAACTATTTTCAAACATCGATGAAAGTAATAAAAATTCTATAATAGTTGCAAGGCTGTTATATATCTGTGCTGCTGTTTCTGTAAACAACCTATATTCACAGAAACTATGGACTGTCATGTAAATTTTCGGTCTCACATGGGGTGCTTGAGAAATTACTTACAAACCTGTGAGGATCCGGGTTATAATAGGTCTTCAGCAGCCCATGCTTGCCGTAAAAGGCGACTATGTTTGTCGTAAGAGGCAACTAAGAGGATCGGGTGGTCAGGCTCTCTGACTTGGTTGATGCATGTCATCGTATCCCAAGTGTGTAGATCGATGCTCATGATGTCAATCACTGGATTGTCTGGTCCAGAGTTGATTATTTACAGACCACCATCATATTGCTGGAATATTGCTGAGTGCAGCATAAACAACAAACAATCAAACTTACAGATTGTTCTAGTTGGTCAGGGGGCACTCACTTTAGCAGGGCCAAAATATGGTGAATACAGTGTTCACTTATAGTTCTTACCTTGGCTCCAAGGATGATTTTTTAATCCTAAACCCCCCAAATAATAATTGATGAAAGATACATACGAATATATGATAACCTGACATATATGTAAAAATAACTAGTCTTTCGAGCATTGACCTATGAGTATTATAGTAACTTAGAACTGAGAACTGATAAATTCTTGTGTTGTCCATGTACTGGATAGAGATGAAAATCAATATCTAGAGAAAAGATGAACAGATCTCTTTCATCAATTGCAAATAATTTGGACAATGTGGAAACCCAAATGCAGTAAATGTGTCAGTGCATGTTCATCATAGGTGTAAATGACAGTGAAGTGATCCTGTAAATTAAACGCTAATTTTAATATAACACAGCTTTGTCAAGAAACCAGACCAGTACATCATAAAGTTCAGTTATTGTGACATACTTATTAATCATGAAAAAAAATATTTTTATCTTGTGTTTGCTTTGGAAGTTCTGTATTATTTGAGTAAGGCCACCTGTGTGTCTTTTTATTCTCTCACAAGATCTAAACAATACCCACTCCAAAGGGTCAAAAAAGGATATTTTCATTTTCCCACCCGTTTTGCCCACATGGATATATATGATTACAGAAATCAGAAATACAAAAGTTATATGGATGGCCTAATCAATCTGAATATTTTATTTCAATATCTAATGTAAGATGATTCATCAACACACCTGTTGC